GCGGCAGCTTCGTAAAACTATAGACACCTCCGGCTGGACTGCTTTGGCCCGATGTTTTGTCAACTCAGACCTCATCTCGCCGCGACCCCAATCAATTACCACAACACTGGCCGATCTGTCGACACTCGCTCTCCACACCGCCCAGCCGAGCAGGCGGGGCGGGCCGACCGAGCGGGAAGGGCGGGCGGGGCGGTCCACTGCTGCGCAGGGTCGGTGATTCGATTCGCGGCGCTCACCGCCTGTCAGCGGGGCGCGCCGCCCTGATCCAGTTCATCGCTGCTCGAATCGCCGCCGGTTTTAATTAACACCTGTATCATGGGCAGGCGCGCTGCGGGGAGCGGGGTGGCCGGAGATTGCTTCTGGGCGGCGCCGGGCCGAGCCGGGGCGGGGCGGGGCGGGCCGACACCTGCAGGACTGAGGTCAGAGCAGAGGACAGGCGGGCGTTTGGGTGGTGACGGGTCGGGCTGAGGGCACTGGCGGTCCCAGGGGGGGGGCCACGGGGGCCATGGCCCCCCCTTTGGTGCTGAAAGGTGGGGCCATACTATCTTTTGGCCCCACCTTTCAGATCGAACAAAAGTCCTAGAAAAGCTTTTCGTATGTTTCGTTTTCTTTCTTGCGCCATCAAAGGACGTAAATTTCACTCATGAGGGCTCAGTTTCGCATTCTGTCAATTTGGTGGTCAGCGTCGCTGGCACCGGTTCACGAGTATGGCCGGATCTTATATGGAATATAAGCGTGCGTTTACTTGAGGCTCTCGTAGGCCCAGCAATGGCTGGCATGAGACCCTCTTCGGCAGTGGTGGGTGGGCCCTGCTAAAGGAGATTGGCTCTAAGACACTAAAGTAAGACCTCATGGGTTGGTGCTGTGCACCTCAGAAGCCCGGTGGTGACGCCGTATGCCGGCTTGGTTTCTTAAGGATTAGCGTGGGAACTCCGGGGCCTGCATAGAGTTTGCATGAGCTAGTATGTAATCTCAGAGGCATGTGTGTAATGTGTACACAGTGGCGGTCGCGGGGGGGGGGGCATCAGGGCCATGCCCCCCCCCCCCAAGGTCAATAAAGGGGGCCATCATATCATTTGCCCCCCCCCCCCTCAAACAACCAATGGGCCCCCATATAGGTGTATGGGGCCCTGGCAATTATTCGATCGTCACGAAGCTCAAAAAAAAAACCACGCCCAGCTATTAATATAGCTCCCACACCGGTCTTTGAGCGTCCTACACTGACCTCTGAGGGACTTCAGTGGCGGTCAAGTGCCCACGTTGACCGCTAAGAGCCTACATCAACCTCTGAGACCCCACATCTGGCCTATGAGGGCCCCTAACAGGCCTCAGGGGTCCCAACCGGCGTCTGAGGGTCTCACACCGGTCTCTGGTGGCCTTATTTCTGTCTGTAGTGTCCCAAGACGAACCTTAAGGTGCCAATGAGGGCCCCGTACTGGCTGCTGAAGACCCGATGCCGGCCTCTAAGGGCCTGCATTGGCATTTGAGGAGGGCCCATCTTGGCCTTTGAGGGCCCTCTGCTGGCCTCTGGGGTCCAACGACGGCTCATGCCGGTCTTTTAGGGCCCCACGCTGACCTCCGAGGGCCCATGTTGGCCTGTTATGACCCACATTAGCCTCTGAGAGCCCAACTCGGTCACTGATTGTCTCAAACTACTGGCCTTTGTAGTTTGCAGGCCCTGTACTGGTCTCTGAGGGCCCTAAACTGGCCTCTACGTGAAAACATATATGGGTGGGTTTCTGAAGATCAGAGGGCTCACGCAGTCTCCGGCACAGCCTTACGTTGGTCCTGATCGAGATTACTTTGCGTCCTGATGGTCCGGCGCAGATTCCCTCATATTTCGACGTCGGGACCCCATGAGCCGGTGTGGGTCCTGGGGCTGGCAGAGACTGATGAAGTCCTTAGGGCTCAGGGCCAGTCTTTTTAGCAGTAAGACTAGGCAGGTTGAGTGAGCCCCAATAGAGCCGCTGCGAAGCCCCGCAGGAGTCGCGCGCGGCCCTCAGATGCCAATTTTGAAAGCTCGGAACCTGTGGGGGGTCTCCAGAGGTCGGTCGGTGTACCTACTCTCTCCCGCCGCCACACAACTAGGTATGTTACCTATATGAGTAAATGTCATAGTCTGAAAATGCTCTCTGGGTTTCACATGCTTGTTCAAAGCAAGAGGTATCTGTACTTTTCCGAATTGTTTTATAGTGGTAAGGTCATGAATCCGCGTGCCTGACCTTCCAGTATACCTGTGCTACACCGATCCGTCGTCATGGTGCAGTGGGCCGACCGGTGGAAGCACCGTGGGACGGGAAATGGAACTGGTGATTTTGCCTTAAATTGAGCTTAAAAATTTCACGCAAGAATCAGATGGATGAAGCATAAGTAATGCCAACTGCGCGGCACCTCGTGGACGTAAAAAATTAGCCGATCACCCCCCCCCCCCCCCTCCCGGTGACGGATAAATGTTATGTCCCGCGAGTGTGACTTTGGCCCCCCCTTTTGCTAGCGGCTGCGACCGCCAGTGGCTGAGGGCGGTATAAACGGACAGGCAGTGATTTGGCTCAAGCTGGCGAATGGGGCATGCACTGGCTTCTGCTCGTACGAGCAGTGATGGGCATAGGCAGTGGTTCTGTTTGGGACGGTCTGGTGCGGCGGCGAAGCGGCGTTTCTCGACCAGATGAGACTGACGAGGCGTTCAAAGTTGGTCTGGCCGCCAGCTGCCGGACAAACTGGGAGGAATTTTGTCTCCTCCGCGTCCCACTGTGAGGAGAGAGCGGCCACCGGAGCGGGAGATGGTCCGGGAGGTCTGGACGAGACACGAACACCGGCAGGTCACAGATCCTGGATAGGTACTGGATAGAGCCGGCTGATACAAATACTGCCCTGGTGTTGGTAAACCAGTCCAAGGCCAGTGCGACGGAAGATGGGTGAATAATGACCAGGGCGGAGGGAGGGCTCGTTACCGAATCAGGCGAGTGGGCGGAGGCGCCGTGCCCGTCCAGGGCTGTGCTGGGGGGCGAGTCGTGCTCTCCGCTGGACGACGCCCCGCTCACTGCCAAATATAACAGTATATAATTATTCATAAGTGGATCAGTGATCAGAGCACTACGTCCTTCGGCTGACGACTGGGTGGATCCGGGCACCCAAATGAACCAACACATCCTAACGAACCGACAAAACGGCTCCTGCGTAGAGCAGCTAGCTTGCCGTGGACTAGAATCTCCGTCTGGCGCGCGCGGCACGCCGGTCACCAGGGGATGAGCGGCACAATCTGACAGTCCGTCACTCGAAACTGGGCATGACGCCCGACAGGTCAGCAATGCGTCACATCTGACAGGTCCTACGGTGGCGGGCTGTCACGGCTGGCAGCGCTGTCGGGCCGTCAATCTGCCGTAATCTGAGGCGACACTGCCCGTTTCACGGTGCACGGCACTGCACGGTGGGGAGACGGCACTCGACCGCCGGCGGCGCATGCGCACTTCCCTCATTCCATTCCAACAAACCCGTGACATTACAGAGAGCCATCGCAGATTGAGAGGGCGTGGTCTCATAGTCTTGGGACAGCCTTCTTTATAGCTACCCAGCGTAAATGGAACGTTACAGCATGCGCACTGTGTTTTATCTGGCGAAAGGACTCGACACTCCAAAATCAAGGCAATTATAGTGATAAGATGGTGACGATTAGCTGAGGCAATGGTTAGCTTATTTAAACACATTTTAAAAGTAGCAGTGCAGATCGCATTACCAGCACCCAGTGGGTACCAAATTAAACTGTCACTCATCTCAGACAGAAATCGCACTACACTAAATTACTCTCATTTACATTTATCACACTCGCGAATTAACAGGCAAGCGCTTCTCAACGCGCAAAAAGCATAGGATCTAAATATTCATGACTTACTTTGCGGCTTCTAAAAGAGCTTGCGATAGAACATATAGGTTAAACTACTCATGATCATTAATTTTCCGTGTCCAGAGCCCATTACCAAAATTCTTATCGAGTACTATTCATATTTCAGGGGTCCATCGTGTGACAGAGCGAGGTCGGCAGTAGGAGGCGCCACAACGGGGAGCGACCTCGGGCGGGGCGGAGACCGGGCTCGCCCCAAGCCCACCGTTCCAGCCGAAATTATCGAGATAATAGGTCCTATATAGGTGCTGATATCAGCCGTGAAATCGTTCATCAATCAGCCGCTGATCCGGCGTCCGTCAGCTCCTTTATCTCGTCCGTCCTCCGCCGTTTGCCAACACAAAATAAATGGCTTCTGAGATTTTCACTGGTCTGTCTGGTCTCCTGTGGGCACAATGCCTCAGTAACGAGCCAGCCTGTCTGATGTTCGGGTAGAATTAGATTTACAAGCTGCGGTCTTCTGTATCTTCAGGTGAGGTAATTAAGTTTTGATGTAAAAGAAGTGAATCTCGAGTGGCTTTGATATAAAGTGTAGACGGTAGAGATGCTTACGGTTCATCTCACGGCTCTAACTTCTGTCAGCCTTATAGGGTTCCGTGTATTTCCGTTACTGTTACTGAAAGTTCCTTTTTCTTCTTTTGGGCAACATGATATAATGAGCATACGCTTCAAAATGTTACTTTGCGGGGTTGTATCTTGTCAACAGGAGAGGTCAGTGGGATTACTCATTTATGTAGTTAGAATTTACTCATTGTGTAGGGATTACTCATTGTACTACACTTGTCGGGATATGTACATAAGTTGCCGTTTACAATGTATGCAATTGATCGAAACTCCTCGCCAGATACTAAATATGTCGAGATGTTTTACTACATGGCAAGATATTAAAAAGTGGACATCGATCTTAATGCCGCCCGTAATTAGTTCCCCCAGTTGAGTAAACGGGTAATCAGCGGAGACTCTGGTGTCTCTCTTACTGCGGCACTCGGTACATAACAGCGCAGCCCAGCGTCGGTCGGCTAAAATCGATCGTCAATGGCACAGGTAACGATTACGGCACCCACTGGCGCCCAGCTGCTCCGAGCCCGTCACCCTAACTCACCTTCAGGTTCCGGATGATGTCCTGGCACTGCAGAATGTCCACGTCCTCATCCACGCCCACCACCAGTCCCGTGTATCCGTTATGGACCAGTCGGACCCTCGAGCCAGTGACGCCGGTACCCAGCACAGTCAGAAGCAGCAGCGCGGCGCCCGCCGCCGCCGGCCGCCCCATCGTCACAACCCCACCGTCCCGTCGAAATCGACGAACGCGCGCGTCGCGGTCGACGGAGCTCGTCGCTGGCGACGATCGATTGCCGGCGTGCCGCGCCGTCTCAGCCGGCGGTACAGGTGTCCGCCGAGTGTCCGTCTGTCGGACGCAGGTGCACTCCGTACTCGCGCCGCTCATACGACACCCGTCCACGTCCGACCGGCCCCCGACGCACTCTGCGCCGAGCGCGGTCCGACGGAGCGCCGCCGGTTCAGGGGAGAGTTCCGCCACCGACCGGCAGGTGGCAGTGGTGAGACCACCGGCAGGTGAAGCGGGCTGGAGGTCCGGCCGGGGTCACGGACTAAACCCTGTGGGCCTTCTATCCGCAGATCGTGCCGCAGAGTATCCAACGCCACGCTTCGCCACTAACTTCATATCCATGATTCACGACCTGGATCCTCAGCACCGATCGCGCTCCCTTGACCCCGGCGCTGACCCGTGACCCCGGACTGACATCGCCGTCTCCAGACATGTGTCCGGTAATTTTCGAATCCTTTCCCACAGAGGCTAGTCGTAGAGGAGGGAGACCTCACTACTGCCTTTCCCTAGAAACTTCCCGACACCTGTCTACCCCTCAAGTCCAGCTTCCCTTCTCCTACTGCCCCTCAAGCCCAGCCTGCAGAGTGCAGACTCCCGTCTGTTTCCCGGGCCCAGCCTCCCTCCTGCCTTCCCGCGAGTGCAGCCTCGCTCCTCGAGCGGCCGGCGCGGCCGATCAGGCCAAATTAGCCGCACGTGATCTGCGGCCGGTCCGAGTGACCCCGGCGCGGCCACTCGGCGGCCATCGACTGCCGCCGCCGCGCCGCAGCGGCCCGTCGACACGCCATCCCATTTCGCGCGGCTCCTCTTCGCCTCGTAAATCGGCCATCGCGGCCGCCGAGACGGGCCCGAGTGCAGCGGCGATGGTCGCCGGCGGCGGCACCGACGGCGGGTCGTCAGCGGGGTCGTCAGCGGGCCCGTCAGCGAGCAGTGCAGGCCGGCTCGTCAGCGGCCGCCCCCGGGGGCTCGCGCCGCTCCGCCGAGAGTGCCCACTGGCTCCGCCGGCAGCCGGTGCTGCTGATGGCGACTGCACTGAAAACAATTTCACCCAAAACTGGCGAGTAAACCGGTGTCTCGCGGGTACCCCTATCCGCAACCATTTTTAACCACCCTGCCAGGAGTCAATTTAGGACATAACACTTTCGCAATTCACTCTGGAGAGTAGTTACCCTCCACGACTATTCGCGCACCAGTGGCTCGCGACCCCTCCATCGAAAGGTATTCATCGACGCCTACCTGGCAGCAGCGCCCCACAAACCCCTGCCTAGGAGATGGGGTTACCCTCCACGCCTACCCGTCGCCGACCAAGTCACGAGGGCCAAAAAAACTCCCACGCTTGACCATATTTGCGGGAAAATATCTATATTATAGCAATCTCACACCTAGAAAACATCGGTGAGAAAGTTTCACATCGGTGGGAAAGGTCAAATCGAATTCCCATAGAAATTTCGTCATAACTCAGTCACCGGCAGTCATCCAGACCGCCCGAAATCAGAAAGATGTGTCGCCGCTGCTTTCGTGACCTATATAAGAATCAAAATGGTCTCACTTGGTAGTTTCGGAAGAAAAAGCGTTGCCAATCGTCCCGTGATGAATATTGCAGAGGTTTTAAAGATGCACCCTAACAATTGTACTTTCGCCCCCACTTGCAAACCGCCAAACAATGTGCCAACATATCATTGGTTCAAAAAAAAAGTTAAAAAATTGTTGTAATTCAAAACTGTATGAGACAACGCCATCTAGTTGTAACAGTAGATCCAACTCCTTCAGGGCAGGTTATGTAAAGGTTCGCCATCCACGGGTACGCGTTTACGATACCTCGAGTAGTTCCAACTCTTTCAGTGAGGGCTATGCCAATGACTCGACACCCGCGGGGACAATATCCGGTGCTGGGTAGCTACCTAACTGCAAAATGTGGGTACAGTGCATATTTACGAGTAATAAGGCAGGCAAGTCTGCTTACCCTCTAGCTAGAATCTGGACATGGCGAGTTAATACACATATACCACCCGCAGAGCAACGCTTAATTCGCCAGCTTCGGATGAAATTGTTTTCAGTGTGGTGGTGACTAGTAATGGCTGGTGATGAGCAACGGTAGTGGCTGGTGGTGGTGACTGGTGACGCTCACATATGCGTTAAGGGTGCTGGCGCCTGGCGGATGCGTTTGGTTAGGTACGTGGTTTGATGGGCAATGAGTGACTGCTTCCTGTAATAATCAGAAATGAAGTGGGCAAAATGGATGAAGATTGTAAATGACCTCACGCTGATCCAGTTTTAAGCCCTTCCGATTGAAAATAGAAACAAGAGCAGCATTGGTAATAAGTAAGCATAAGCGCAGCTATCAGTTAGGTATACCTACCTACGAGTACAAGAAGACACAAAAATAATAAAACACGTAAGTAGGTATGTGATTATGTGTTTTGTTTTAGTAGCAACATAAATGGATGTTGCCAAGAGCAGCCGCGTGCTTGATGATGTTACCGTGATGGCGTCTGACTCTGGTGGCACCGACAGTTGCTGACAGTTGGTGACAGTCGGTGACAGGTAGGGACTGATGATGACAGGTGATGATTGACAGGTTATGACAGGTGTTAATGTTATGTAACGGTACGATGATATTGTTTGTTTGTCTGTTTGACCGTGTGTTTAAAGGTTTGATGGCGCGACGACAGCTGGGTCATTTTACGCCCACACTTACGCTAAAACAACAGGAATCAGGATGCCAATGGCTGGTGATGATTCGTGACAGGTAGAGACGGATCGCACTAACGTTCACGAGCAGTGGCCGGCGTTAGCTAATGATGACCGGTCGCTGTAGTGTCTGGTAATATCCCGAGTGTTGGCTGGAGGCAGCGGGATGCTGATGGCCGGGGGCACAGTGTTACGACCCGCACCCGGCCGCCGCTGACCGCAGCTCTCTGCAGCCCAGATAAAGTGACTCCGTTCCACGAACCCCGTCGCCTCCAGTGGCGGAAGCTGTCAGCGCGGCGCCGAGGGCCTCAGACGCCCAAACGGTCCGCCCGGCCGTGCAGCCCAAATCTGCACATCATTTCTCTAATCCTCGGGAAGTTAGCAGGTAGCCCCGTAATGAGGCTCGTGTTGCCGCCGCGGATATAAAACAGGCCCTGGAGGGCTCCCGCGGCTGGCGGCGCTCAGACTCGAACAGTGCACTGGCCTGTAAATTATCGCTCCGAGTACATGAGCTGCTGATCAGGACGGCCCACTGAAGCTGATCAGTAAATAACTATCAGTGATCATTGCCAAGGTTGAGTTAATTGATTGTTGCTGCTTGGAGACTATCTCGGAACATTTGGGTACCTATGTACATGTACCTACATACGTACCATCTTGTAATGGTTTGTTATTGTGAGATGCGCTTGTCTAAAGCACACTTAGGGGAGAGTGAGGTAAGATGCCCACTGCCCAGGGTGGGAAAGACGCCCCACCCCCACTAACGGGGGTGGGGCGTCCGTACCCACAACAGCCTGCAGGGGGGTCGGATCCGACCCCCCCCCCCTGTTATCTCGAGAACCAATGGTCGTATCGAGCCCCGCGGGGCGGCATTCGAAAGGTCTCTACGAAACCTTCCCAAAACACTCTTAAGATTTTAAGATTGAGGTCAACTTTCGGGTCAAGGTCAGGTCAAAGGTCAAATTCTGGGGTTTTGCATGATTAGGCTTACGGACAGCGGAATCGATAGCTGCTGCTCGTCACTCACCAAAAATGACCTCAAAGACCTAGTGAAGGTACCATGTGCATATAGGGGTCATACTAAGTACGGGTCAAGGTCAGGTCAGGTCACGAATGGTCACGGTTTTCACTTTCTGCTACATGGGCGTGCGACACATGTTTTATGGCTTATTTTTCACGCCGAATCCGATGGTAATGGTTATATGTGACCCCAAGTCACTGTGCTGGTGATGGGTGTACATCGAAAGCACAAAAAATCGTTTGTAGTTATACCATACATAACTACTGGAATCTAGTGGTGCCATTTGTTTTCACATGCGATGTTCAGAAGTGCCTCTAATTCACGAAAATGCTTATGACGTCACCATGCCCTATGCATGTTGGAGCTATTTTTTACAATGTGGGGGTCAAAAATCAAGATAGAAAGTTGAAATTTGGGACATCTAATGTTCTAATAGAGCTCTATAACATATATTCCGTTTTTTGGAAATTCTCAAAATTTTGGATTTAATTACCTGTTTTCCAAAAAACATAGCTTTTTGAATTTTTAGGGGTGAAAAACGCATTTTATGGAAAATCCGAGATACCCATTTTAACACGCGCAGTGGAAGGGTTGCGAGTACTACGCCCAGTGGAAGGGGGGGGCGGATGTCGCCCCCCCCCCCTAAGATCTCAGCTCCCACTGGAGCTAGAAAGACGAAATTTGGAGGGTAGGTGGGGGCCATGGGGAACTCTGTTGTGTGTGAATTTCATGACCCTAGGTCAATATCTTCAAGGTCAAATGAGGTCAAATGTGGTCAAATCTGCCATATTAGCGACTTTTTTGCGTTTACACGCCGATAACTCAAAAAGTTACCGGCCGATTTTTTTTAAATGTTTCATTATACGAAAGAGCAAACATTTGTGAGTATGTATGGTGAATTTTCTAGATAATCCAACAATAAATATGGCAGTTAGAAGCCTGCTAAGGGTAAGATGTCGCCGGCTGAAGTGGCATCGGCCGACGCGGGAAACGCGGCAATCACAATTTTGTGTTTACACACTCATAACTCAAGTTGTTACCGGCTGATTTTCAAAATTCTTTGACCATATGATTGCCTGTACATTTCTCAGTCTTCTCACCGAATTTGACGCGAATCTAATGTAATCAGCGGTAAGGAGCGCGATGTAAAGACGGAACCGTCCCGCCCCGGCACAGTCTACAATTCAGGCGGCGCGTAACGGCTAGCGCCGGCCGCCGCGCCGCCGCGCCGCCGCACTATGGTTGGAAACGGCCTCACGGATGGCCGGGGGTCAACGCGAAAAAATGTTTTGCCCATAACTTGTTAATGCGTAGACCGACTGCGATGAAACTTTGCATAGGTATACCAGTGTCTTTCGTGCATCATACAGTAACTCAGAAATGACGAGGTCACGTCACGTCACGCGTGTGTGACGTCATCATTGCAAGTATGTCATAAGTCGCCTATGTCTTTCGTTATGTTATCGATATCGTGAGGCATTTTGAACATGTTTTGAATACTGCTATTACTGAATGGATATTGTTGTTATGCTTTAGGGCGAGAAATATCAACGTAGTGACGCACAGTGTCTTACTATTGGTCATAAAGGGTCACAAATTTGGAGAAAGAGTATTTATGATTTTTTTTTTAGATTAGGCAAAAAAGTAAGAAATAAAATGACGATCAAATGACAAAACATGCGTCAGATTAACCCGGCAGTTGCTGGGGTATTTCCCCATCCGCCGTTTGCCGGGGGGGGGGGCGTTCAACGCCCCCAGCCGATAACTCGCGAACAAATAGGCGCAGCGAAACGCACGAGGCGCGGCAAACGAAAGAAGAACGCGACGAGACGATTCACATGAATACTTTAAAGCTGAATTTCGAGGTCACAGGTCGGGTCAAGGTCAGGTCAAACACTTGAAATCGGGCTTTCAGTAGCATGGACTTTAGAACCTCGCAATCGGTGCCTCGCGTTTCGCGTTTCGATTATATCGTCATCAGTTGGTCCTAAATAAATTCAGTCATCAGTTGGTCCTAAACAATCTGTCACAACTGTCACAACTGTCACAACCCTTCATATAAGTGCTAAAAGAGTGTCAGATCAATGTAGGGGTCAGTCAAGCATAGGCCACTGGCCAGGGTCAAAGTCAGGTCAATCAGGTAAGCACATAACCCCGAAAATTAAAACTGGTACCTATCCGCAGCCCATGCATGACACATGTTTTATGGGTACTTTTGGGCGTAGAACACGATGGTGACATTCATTTTATCATACGAGTACGTGGCTGGTTGAAAAAAGATCAATTTCAGAAATGCATGCGTCATGGTCGTGAAGTAGTCACGAGAAATTGCCAACATTCAGTTCAAGATTTTGGAAACTGTAGAACGATGATCAAAAACCATAGATAGCCATTTGATTTGCCATGGTATTGGCAGTGTAATGGAGTTTACAGCATGTCTGTATGTCTGTTCTGTCAGTGGATATCCATATCCATACTCCAGGATATCCATACACGTTTGCACGATATTCATACTCCAGGTGCAGGGGCGAGCAGTTACTTCTTACGAGGGGTGCGGAGTCGAAGTCAGAGTCGGAGTCGGAGTCGGAGTCGGAGTCAGAGTCGCCCAGAGTCGTGGCAACGAGCCAGGAGTCGGAGTCGGAGTCGGGGTCGGTCAGGAGCCCGCAGTGGAAGTCGGAGTCGGTCCGAATCGGAACAGCTCCATCGCGACTCCGAAACACTGGCAGGGGTCCGGAGTCGGAGACAGAGTCGGCCGGAGTCATGGCAACGAGTCAGGAGTCGGAGTCGTAGTCGGAGTCGGATTTGGCGCCACCACGACTCCGCAACCCTGCTTCTTACCATCATTTATAAGGATAAGCGATTGCAAGACTGACGAGCCGACCTGGTGCTAACGAAGCGACGGGTAGGTACGCCTCGGGAGATGACGCTTCACGGACGATTTTGCGCACAAGTGCGCAGTCTGCTTTTACGTTCCCCTTACGCAGAATTGAACAGCGATTTATTCTGCCAAAAAGCTCAATGGAGGTCGATGGAGAACTTTTTGTATGTCCAATGAAACATAAACGCAATTTTGCAAATATTGCTGTGGTGACACTGCAAACAGAATGCAATGCCGTTCCTGATTTTGAACACGCATGGGAAAAAGAGTCACTCCACTCGATAGCCAACATAACAAGGATTATTTTGATATATAATAATCCAGTTTTACAACGTCATGGAGGTACTCCACATGCTATCACCAGCGCGGTTGTTTAAACCTTTGACGGCGCACCAAAAAAGTCACTGTCAGAAACTCCCGATTCCACGTACAATAATGGAGACTAAATGCGCAACTAAATAATTTTTTCTGCCCAATTCAAAACATTTCATCAATTTCCAACAGAATGACACCCCAAATATACAAATATTCCGAAATTGCCCACGGCCATCCGTGAGGCCGTTTCCAACCATAGTGCGCCGCGGCGGCAGGATGTTTGACTTTACACCGCTATTACTAGAAAAGTTGTGAACCGATTTTCTTACTTCTTGCACGAGAAGATCCGCAATTCAATTCTGGACAGGTAGCCGAAATTTCACTTTGATATTATGCTTTCGGCGCGAGTTATTGACGAAAAACAAGAGGGGTGGGCGAAATCCGCCCCCCCCTTCCACTGCGCGTGCTGAAGAACTCGTTGAGCTGCGTCTATTTTTGTTCTCAATTTGCAATTTGCTTCAAGCCTTGATTTTTGGCGATTTTTTAAACATTTACCACTTTTTGACTGAAAACGCCATGTAGTTACATAACTTTAATCGATATATCTAAAAAAATGCAAAAATTTTCTTAAAATTACACAGGAGACGTCAAATTGATATGGGAGAAGGTATGCCAAGTTTCAAGTTGATAGCGTAAGCGGTTCATGAGTTATTCAAGGAAACGGAGGGGGGGGTCGGATCCGCGACCCCCAGGCGGTCGCGGGTTAAAGTGGATTCTTCATAACCAGGCAGCGGAATGTGACGCATTGATTTATAAGAACCTTTTCTTGTAGTGCATCCACTCACAATCAAAATAATAATCGATTCGATGAAATATTTCGCTTTTATTAAGACAGAACTCCGAGTTACGTGAATATAACCAATAAACATTGAACTAAATATTTCGCAGCTTCTCCAACCTAAAAATAGGCGACAGTTTCTGCCTCAAGAGTATACTCGTATACCTAACTATAATATATATGCTTCAGTTAAATGAATTCTGCGCACAGATTGTCTTTCCTAGCATGCAGAGTTGCTACTCCAGTGAAGCGACCTCTTCGTTCCTCCACTTCAAGAAGGCTTCACTCTCCTCCTCGGTGAAGTAGTTTCTCCAGTCGCCCACCATCCCCTTTCTCATGAAGGTGCCTTCCTCGGTGCCGGACACCATGCCGCTGTCCTCCCACTGGCGGAAGTTGGTGTCCGGATTCGCCTTCATCACTTCGAAGCTGGTGTTCTTCACGATATCGTCGACGTCGGCGTCGCTCAGGGAGACTCCCAGGAAGTCTGCCACCTTACGGACGACCGAGCCGCGATCCTGGTGCATCTGCTCGTACGTGAGACAGAGCACAGTGTCCGAGTGCTCCAAGTAGCCCTTCACGTGCTCACGGTATGGGCAGAACATAAGAGCGTCCCGCATGAAACTGTCACGAAAGTCTGCGAAGGTGCCACGGTACTTGTGAACATTGATCATTCTCGAGAAATGGTAGAAGGAAACGCAAACATCTCTCACATCACGATGCACGTAGAGCACTTTGGCTTCACTCGTCTTAACGCTTTCTGGTAGCATATGATAGTGCAGATGCGTCTTGATGAATCGTTGGTCCGTCATGTCAGCCCAAGATGCCATTTCCATGAGTTTTTCCTGAGATTGCATTTCTAGCAGAGGGAATCGGTACTCCAAGCAAGTCTTTGGTCCTTTCTCGCCAGCCATTGACTGGTGGTGGGTGACACGCCACACGATTTCCTGCAGCCAAGTGGTGCCCGACTTGGGAAAGCTGGCCACGATGATATCGGAGCTTCTGCCTCGAAACTGCTCCAACTGTTGCATAACACCCCATTGGAGATGAGTGCTGCTCATTGTGGCTCCACGGTACTTGAACGTGCAATAGCCGGGAAATTTGTAGTTGGGATCGCTCGGCAGTGAGTGTCATTCCTCCGGAATGGTGATCTCTGCTGGTGGTATTGCTGGCTCAGTGGACATACTCTTAGTTCCGCGGCGCTGTTTATCTTCCAACGAGTGTCAGCCTTTGCTGTGTCACGCTTAGCAGTATTCAAGTCACCCGCACTATGCAGTGTCACTCTTCGTACTTCTGCCACTGTATGATATGGATGCGCGATGCTATGTTTGTCCCTCGGCACGCTTCACTCCGCTCTGCACCACACGGAGGTGAATCCAGAACTGAGTGGCGCCTGTCCAACGCCTCGCCTTGAGACCAGACAGCACATATGCGCTGCTGTTTATGAGACTCCTGTTCTGTCGTATGAGCGAGGTCTGTGCTATACCAAGAAAAGAGGAACTGGACAGTTGCTGGAAGTCATCATACTTTTTTAACTTTTCAACGTTCTGTTTGCGTGAGTAGATGGATGCGTTATTCGTCTTTCCCACACCAGCAATGACCTGTTTTGTTTTGTTTTTTATATGACACAATTATAGCGCACAGGCAGTTTGGGAACAATAATTAAGTTAATTGATTGAGTGGGGCTGCGACACTAGCTTGTGTAAATAGGCATTACGTTACAGTAAAATTATATTATATTATGTATCTACATAATTTGGTCTAGCATTACATGTTTTGTTTTCCGGAACGGAAAAGGGTTGGAGTTAAAGGGACTCTCCCACCTTCAAAAAAGTTAATGAATTGGCATTAAAGTGATGTAGCTCAGTTCAGAAGGACCAAAAACGAATATCTACCAAATTTCACCGAAAAATATTCACCGGTTTTCAAGATATTAGACTTTTACTTCTGTTTACTTTTTGGGATCCCCGCTGTTCCTAGCGAATTCATTTTGGAAGTGCGGCGTTTGCGGCAGATGTTGCTCGCAAATAGCATATACCACCACTGCTTTACAAAGATGTTAGTATAAGGTTTTGAAATCGTTAGATCACCGCTGACGTCACAAATTCTAAGGGGGCATTCCAATGCATTAGCCCCTTACCTAGAATCCGAAAACTGCAAGTTTGAAATTCCATATCTCCGAATTAAAGCATTTTTCGATGTTTTGAGTGCCCAAACCGGTATTTGCAGGCCATGGCCACTAATTTGGCTATCTCGACTCAAAACTAATGTTAAGGTGGGATGGTCACTTTAAAAATGAGCTGCATGCATAGGTATACTTAATAAAAGGCTGTAGACTGATATATCTGAAAATGGCAAATATTTCATTTAATATTTGTTTCTATTTTAGCTTTCACATATTACCAAAGTTAGTGATTTGCCCGTCTCCAGTCCACCATTCAAATGTAATTATCAGTAGGTACAGTCACCAGCACTTGCTAGTTCACAGTCATAATAAAAACAAGACCACGCAGAATACCACCATAAATCAATATCCAGGACCAACAGAATATCATGCAAAACAAAAAGGGCAAGCAAGAGTCAAGAATCGTGTCGTTGCCGTGAAACGCATCTCAACCAATGGAATACTGTTTTTCCGGCAACAGCATTAGGACATTCCTTTGAACGGTAGAGTTTTAAATGCGCTGAACTTAAAGTTAACTTAGTGAGTTCACTTTCACTAGCATTTAGCAAATCAAAAGTGGAAGCCAAATTCAAAATCAGCGCCAATAAATATACCACATTTTACTAACTATAGGTATACGTGTAAATGCATCCAAGTTCATCCTAGCTCATCTGAAATAATTGTTCAGTCTTGTCTTTCTAACAGAATTTTAATAAATAGACATGGTTTGATGCATTGCAATTGTGTTGTTGCCTTCATCGCTCCTGTTCTATAAATATCTTTTCACCAAAAGTGAAGCCTGAATTGTTGAATACCTATCAACCTAGCATTAACCCGGCACCGCCTGGGCTATTTCCGTACCCACATCAGCCTGGGGGGGGGGTCGGATCCGACCCCCCCCCCTGTTATCTCGAGAACCAATGGTCGTATCGAGCCCCGCGAGGCGGCGTTCGAAAGGTCTCTACGAGACCTTCCCAAAGCACTCTTAAGATTTTAAGATTGAGGTCAACTTTCGGGTCAAGGTCAGGTCAAAGGTCAAATTCAGGGGTTTTGCATGATTAGGCTTACGGACAGCGGAATCGATAGCTGCTGCTCGAAACTCACCACAAATGACCTCAAAGACCTAGTGAAGGTACCATGTGCGTATAAGGGTCATACTAAGTACGGGTCAAGGTCAGGTCAGGTCACGAAAGGTCACGGTTTTCACTTTCTGCTACATGGGCGTGCGACACATGTTTTATGGCTTATTTTTCACGCCAAATCCGATGGTAATGTTTATATGTGACCCCAAGTCACTGTGCTGGTGATAAGTGTGCATTGAAAGCATAAAAAATCGTTTGTTCCATACATAACTAAACGAGGGCTAAGAAAAAAAGTCAATTTTTCAATTTTTTATTTTTGACATAAAAATGCACTTTTCTAGACGAGCTTTGTCCCAGGAATCTAGTGGTGCCATTTGTTTTCACATGCGATGTTCAGAAGTGCCTCTAATTCGCGAAAATGCTTATGACGTCACCATGCCCTATGCATGTTGGAGCTATTTTTTACAATTTGGGGGTCAAAATTCAAGATAGAAAGTTGAAATTTGGGACATCTAATGTTCTAATAGAGCTCTATAACATATATTCCGGTTTTTTTCGAAATTCTCAAAATTTTGGATTTTATAAGCTGTTTTCCAAAAAATATAGTTTTTTGAATTTTTAGGGGTGAAAAACGCATTTTATGGAAAATCCGAGATAGCCATTTTAAAGAACTCGTTGAGCTGCGTCTTTTCATGTCCTTAATTTGCAATTTGCTTAAAACCTCGATTTTTGGCGATTTCTTAAACATTTACCATTTTTGACTGAAAACGCCATGTAGTTACATCACTAAAATCGATATATCTCAAAAAAATTTGAAAATTTTTTCTTAAAAATTGCACAGGAGACGTCAAATTGATGGGGGAGAAGGTATGCGAAGTTTCAAGTTGATAGCGCAAGCGGTTCATGAGTTATTCAAGAAAAACGGAGGGGGGGTCGGATCCGACCCCCCCCCCCAGGCGGTCGCGGGTTAATGGCCACCCTCTAAGCTTCCGAGGAAGAACGATCGGTACCTAAGCTCGTTTTTTCAGCTTTTAGGGGCCAGTCTGGGGTTGGTCGTATGAATGGCCAGTAGCGGCAATGTTTGGAAATTATTGTTACTAAGTCGCTTCTATTAGTATTTTGGACGACACTTTAATTGGATTCTTCATAATAAGATAATAATATAGGAGCGGAATATGACGTAGGTATTGATTTATAAAAGTAAAGTGTAGTGCATACACTCATGCAAACAATAAACAATATTCGATTCAATGAAATATTTCGTTTTTATTTAAGACAGAACATCGAGTTACGTGAATAAAACTATTGAACTGTTTGGCAGCTTTTCCAACCTAAAAATAGGTGACCGTTTCTGCCTCGCCGAAAAGTACATAGCTATCATACATATTACATATGCATGTTATGATGTTAGAAAATGACCTTATGCTCATGATACAATGATATGATATTAAAACAAGTCCAAAAAGTATTATGATATATTTCGACTTACGTCGTCTTCAGAATGTACATTTTCGGAATTGTCGACGAGCAAATTCAAATCCTTTCAAAATAGCGTGCAACATTTTTGTGAGACCTCTGGCTAACAAATTACAGTCAGGTCATACCTATGATAAATTTATAATATAATAACTTATAAAAATTTATTATAGGTATGACCTGACTAATTTATGATATAATAAATTCTAAAAATTCATTATAAGTATGACCTGACTGTAATTTGTTAGCCAGAGATCTCACAAAAATACTGCACGCTATTTTAAAAGGATTTGAATTTGCTCGTCGACAATTCCGAAAATGTACATTCGACGCAAGTCGAAATATATCATAATACTTTTTGGACTTATTTTAATATCATTTCATTGTATCATGAGCATAAGGTCATTTTCTAACATCATAATATTAATAATTATGCTCAAACTAGCCATAGCTCACCTCCAACGAATATTACATATGCTTCAGTTAAATGAATTCTGCGCACAGATTGTCTTTCCTAGCATGCAGAGTTGCTACTCCAGTGAAGCGACCTCTTCGTTCCGCCACTTCAAGAAGGCCTCACTCTCCTCCTCGGTGAAGTAGTTTCTCCAGTCGCCCACCATCCCCTTTCTCATGAAGGTGCCTTCCTCGGTGCCGGACACCATGCCGCTGTCCTCCCACTGGCGGAAGTTGGTGTCTGGGTTCGCCTTCATCACTTCGAAGCTGGTGTTCTTCACGATATCGTCCACATCGGCGTCGCTCAGGGAGACGCCCAGAAAGTATGCCACCTTACGGACGACCGAGCCGCGATCCTGGTGCATCTGCTCGTACGTGAGACAGAGCACAGTGTCCGAGTGCTCCAGGTACCCCTTCACGTGCTCACGGTATGGGCAGAAGATGAGAGCGTCCCGCATGAAACTGTCACGAAAGTCCGCGAATGTGCCACGGTACTTATGAACACTGATCATTCTCGAGAAATGGTAGAAGGAAACGCAAGCATCTCTCACGTCACGATGCACGTAGAGCACTTTGGCACCACTCGTCTTCACGCTTTCTGGTAGCATATGATAGTGCAGATGCGTCTTGATGAATCGTTGGTCCGTCATGTCAGCCCAAGATGCCATTTCCATGAGTTTTTCCTGAGATTGCACTTCTAGCATAGGGAATCGATACTCCAGGCAGGTCTTTGCTCCTCTCTCGCCAGCCATTGTATGATGGTGGGTGACACGCCACACGATCTCCTGAAGCCAAGTGGTGCCCGACTTAGGAAAGCTGGCCACAATGATATCTGAGCTTCTGCCTTGAAACTGCTCCAGCTGTTGCACAACACCCCATTGCAGATGAATGCTGGTCATTGTGGCTCCACGGTACCTGAACGTACGATAGCCGGGAACTTTGTAGTTGGGATCGATCGGCAGTGGCTGCCATTCCTCCGGAATGGTGATCTCTTCTGATGATGTTTTTAGCTCAGTGGACATACTCGTAGTTCCACGGCGCTGTTTACTTCAAACGAGTTTCAGCCTTTGCTGACGTTTAGTTATTCAAGTCACTAAAACTACGCAGTGTCACTCTTCGTTCTTCTGTCACTGCTATGATACAGACGCGTGACGTCCTGCTTGTATAGGTTATACCTATCTCAGCACTCTTCACCCTGAACTGCGCCACACGGAGGCGAATCCAAAACTGAGTGGCGCCGGTCCAACCCCTCCCCAATCCCCATGGCACCAGACAGCCCGCGGCGCTGTGTTTATGTGACTCTGTTCTGTCGTACATGAGCGAGGTCTGTGCTATGCCGAGAAAAAGGAACTGGACGGTCGCTGGAAGCCATCATACTTTTTAGCTTTTGAACGCACTGGCGAATCCAGAGGGGCATTTGGGGGCAAATGCCCCCCCCCCGCAGCGCCCGAAATCGACGATTTTTTTTAGAATAAAACGAAAACTAAATAACTTTTATCTGGAGGTTTGTTTTAAACTGCGCAGCAGTGCGTAAGGATTGTTCGTCTGTCCCATCCCAGCAATGACGTACTCCGTTTTTTTTTTTAACACGGAATAATTTAAGTGCACAAGCAGATTCCAAACAACCTAATTAAGTTAACCTTCGCCCCAGGAGGGGGGGGGGGGCATATGTTACCACCCGGTCGCGCTTTTTTGCGTGTGAATAAAAAACCACGGCGCGTAGCGCCGCGCCGCTTCGAGCATCTATTTGTACATCAATTTTGGACAATGTGTAAAATTTTTTACCCCAGGTCATGTCAGGTCAGGTCACCAGGTCAAGTTAACTGACCAAGCCTAAAAAAGTTTGCAATCATGTCCAGCCTGCAGTGGTTGTCAGAAAGGTTTTAAACTTGGTGGATTGCATGATGTTATGGGCGCCTTCAATTTATTTATCTCGGATTTTCTATATCCGTGACCTAAGGTCAGGTCATTGGCGTGACCTTACCATTATAAGGCAATGGAGAAAAACGAAAATGCCTCTAGATCCGTGTGCACGCATAGGAACAGTCAAAATATTTCAGAATCACAATAATTTGGACCACCCGTGACGACCAAGGTGTGTTTTTTGCTGATAGCCTCTAGAAAGGTCATCCGGGGTCATTTGAGGCTACAAACAGATTTTTGTCAATAACTCTCGATTGGAAAGAGATACGACGCTGGAGATGGCCTCATTGTGTTTGTCTTGTTGAGACGCACCGAATGATATGCAACATGACCTTTTCCGGTCAGGTCATGACCTTGACCTGAGGTCAAATTTTCAAGTTGACCTTTTTAGGTCAAATCATAGTTCATTCGACGCGTCTCGGCGAGAGGAACACGATTCTGGCAATAGAAATGTCGCGGCTTTTTATAGTCAAAAGCTATTGTCGAAAAATACTTTTCATAAAAACAGCTATTTTTGGAGTTTTTGCACTCTGGTGGCTAAACCGTTGACCTGAGGTCAAGTTTGATGATGACCTTATCAAAAGAAGAGTTCAAAAGCTATCGATTACTTTTCTATGCGTTTTCTATTTTATAGTAGTTCCTGAGATAAATGCATGTACTCTTAAAAATGTAATGACATTTGGTAAATTTTGACCTTTGATTACCCCCAGTGACCCCAATATTGCTCTAAGATGAATAATTTCCGAAATACTTTTAAACGTACGCATTGAGAGACAATTGCCCAAGCGGCTGCTGAGATATGGGCCTCTCAAAATCACTACTTTTGCAAAACAGCTTGAACACCCTTGACTTTTCACGTGGCACGTGCCATGACGGTCACTGAGGTGTATCAAAAGTAGTCAATTACGGGGTAGAAGGGATGGGGCTACCCAGCAAAAAAGATCGCAGGCCTATCGGTCCAGCGGTTGCTGAGACAAAAGCCTCTCAAAAGCGTTACAGGCCGGGCCGGGCCGGGCTCACACTGAGATTTTTCCGTTATATTGAAAAGACTCGCTTCGCTCGCTGCGCTCGCTCGTCCGTAATAAGTAACTAAGCACGTTTTAGACACCGCACGACAAAACAAATAGGGCACTCGTGATTCTTGTTCAAACTGTATCTGAATGACACCGTGTGTCATGACATTTTTAAACGTTCTCAAAATATACCGGGTGGCCCAGAAAAAAAAAACGTTCCCAACTTTAAATCAATATTTCTCAGAAAGTGATAAAGATACAACATTGAAACTTCGAAGAGTCAATGCGGCACACATTTTCAGTAAATGGTGTGATTTTCATGGTGTTCGGTAAATTACTTTTTAAACGGTTGGTGTTTCAAGCATGCCATGTAAAAATTACTTTTTTGCTCCGATGTTTACTCAAAAATGTGAGTGAACAGGTCACTTTTACCCCTCGGCACCACGGCCTAGAGCCATGGCTGCTACTGGCAGCTAGTCTCATTGATGGTTCGGGTCTCAGGATGACACATTCCATCAGGCAACCACGATGGCTCTGTGCCAGTGGCATCGGAAGAAGTTTCCAGTTTTCTAACCATCTTGTGGCTCAAATGCTTTCCTGGCTGACATTCCTGGGAAAAGGTAGCTTTTCAACCAGTTTTCTTTTTTTGTCATCTGCTGGCAATGTTGTTTTTCATTAAATGTTATGTGGTCTTCTGGCACAGGAACTAGTTTGTTTTAGTTTGTTTTCCTTATCCGGTCGATTTACTGTTTGATCTACTGAAAGGAGGGTAATCAGCAGTAATCCATGCACCGTGCCACGAATCATGATTTGGTGTTAAAACGAATGGCATCCATGAGCACCATTTTGGCTCAGTATTTGAATATTTGGCACATAAGTGAGACACAAATATTTAAAATAAGAACATAGGTGTTGGTTTCATTCACATGCTCTATTTTTCTATTCTTTTTTATAACATGGGGCCGGGGGCGTCTAACCCAATCATCACTATCGTTTGACATCGGCAAAAAAAGCAAAAACGTCTTGCTTAATTCAACTCAAGATTGCCAGCTTGAAAATGATGGTATAGTGTTATAATTTAGCATACCAATGCTCAAAGAAAAGACGCAAACTTGCTGAAAATTTTGTCTCGTTATTTGCACTCGAATTTGATATATAGGGCTCCAAAGTTCGGAACGTTTTTTTTTTTCTGGGCCACCCGGTATGTCCAAAGTGGACCATGTATCGTATGTCACATTACCATTATATAATTTTTTCCTTTAAACTTATGTGAATTTTAGTGACCTAGCTTCACATACATACCTAACTCGGAATCATTAAGCATTAAAAGTTCAGGCACGGTAACTGCGGGATACTTTTAGCATAGGTACCTATAGTTATCTATGAGTGTGTATGCCAAAATTCCTGAATGTTGATGATTTTCACTTTGACCTCAGACCTATCCTGTGACGTTTGCAATGACCTCTCTCTGGGTAAAAATAGGTTTCTCTTGAGTTTTTTTTTGGGCTTATCAAGCGCCTTTTTATATAGCCAATAGCTTCCGGTGTATGAACATGAAAAGGACCATGAAAAGAGTGCTAGAAAGAGGGCTCATAGGGTGAAGGGCCCCTCCCTTCCCCAGTAAACCACGCAATGAGGATATGCTTATCAATAATGGATTTCATGAGCTGACGGTATGCCTTACTCTACATACTGTTTATAATGGGATACAAACATTTTTATCCGGTGACACAGGACGGTTTGGACAAAAACCAGTCCCTGCGGCACACAGTTTATAGTGCTCTGGCCGGGGCTGCTAAAACAGGGCACTGCTGTCAGCTGTCCAGACTGCTGGCGCTGGTTTTGGAGGACCAGACTCCCACATACTGACCGCGCAGAACAGCGCCTTACTGCAGACAGACGGCAGCACAGCGCGGGGGACCACCGGTACCGGCCGTGCGGCGGGGATCGGCGCCAGTGTCAGGTAACGGGAACCTCAGGAAGGGTGCCTTCAGCAGGGACAGGGCCGCGGATAGACTTAAACATACCCACACTGTACCTACATACAACAGCATTGCATCCTGTAAGTTGGTTAGTCTTTTTGGAAGACACCTGATAGGGCTAGTTAATTACCGCGACCAGTTACTTACTTACATATTGTGTTTGTGTTTATAACTGGCTGTTCCTATGATTTGCTAAGTTTGCATGTGCTTCCCCTTGCCTTTCAATTAGGAATAAAAGCTAATTTAGGTACGGAAAATAAGGAAGAGCAATTAATTTTTAGTCCATACCAATTGATCAAGTGTTTATCGTGCAGCCTTTCACAATCAGCACACAGAATGGCCTGCTGTGAAATGTGAATCATCGCAGAAACATTCAAATGATACGGATGTCGGATGGTTAGCTAGGAATCATGCGCTCTTTTAGGTATCATAACTTCTTCACCCTCGCCAGACCTATTGTTTTTTATATACACCGTCTACTTGAGATAGTTTTAAACCATTCCTGGCGCCAAAAGAACAGTTGACAGACCTGACCTTAGGTGACCCTTGGGAAAAATTCGAGAATACAAGCTGTGAGACCCCGCAAGGACACCTACTATAGGTCCTGTAAGTGTCATCTCCCTGTGAAAGTTCCTCTGGCACTCAGGGCATTGCGAAGTTAAGCGTCATTTTATGACCGTGTAGAGGTTTACTTATGATCTCATACGTCAATGACCTGACCTGACCTGAAAATGCAGTTGATGTCAGAAGGTCCAGCTTGAATCAGCGGTCAGGTGTGCCAGGTCTCAGCTCTCTACCGCCGGCGTGTTACAAACTATCGCGGAAAAACCTTATGGGGGGGGGGCGGCACCCCTCTCGGCCGGTGCGGGTCAAGATTGCTGAGTGCATGGTTCGTGTCATGCCGATAGCTTCTGTCGGTGCTGGCTTTGATTTATCTTTGCATAAATATAGGTCATAGGCCTTGCAGTGAGAGACATGCTCTACCAAACATTTCGTGATATTTTTATCCCATCATTACCGCGACATTTTGGGAACATCTGGCAAGTAATCGAGATGAACTAAGCGGGCAAACACTGCAGACCTTGAGGTAAAGCGGGAAGTGTGAGCTTAGCAGATGATACGGCAACCTGAATGCCTATCTGCAGGCATCCGGAACAGGGAGTCATTTAGCAAACCAATTAAGAATTAACCCTCGCCCGCACATGGGGGGGGTTGCCACCCCCCCCCCCCAGGTAGTCTTTCTGCTCTGCACTTAACATTTTTAGAGCTCGAGAGCTGATTTTTGGTATAGCTGCTCCTCTATCCTTTCTTGATGTCCACTGAAAATTTCAAGTTTCTGTGATTTTTGGTTTCGGAGATATGACCTTGTTTGTCAGGTCATGTCATGACCCAAATGGCCAATTCTCAACATCTTGCGTTTGCCATGGGCCTTGTGAGATTTTGACACCTTGATTTCGGCCTTTTTTGCCAGTCTTACCTCCCACCTATCATGGAACATGTTGTTCGACGATGTACAGGGGTCAAGGTCAGGGTCAAGGTCAACCTAGGTCATCTAAGATAATTGCGTTTTAGGTAAGCTTAATTTACTTTTTGTGAAGTTTTTTTTTGCCTGCATTTTTGGTAAAAGCTTCTCAGATCATGATTTCATGTAATATGGACACAAAAACAATCGGTGCACACATTAGTATACACACAGACACACACAGACATACAAACACATATAACTGACCATGACCTAACTTGACCTGAAATGACCTCAGCAGCAAAAATCTGGTCGGGTAGTGTGACAAAGAGGTTCTAGCTGGCTTGGCACCAGAAAACGGCATCGTCATCGGTATATGATAAGCAGCGCACTTGATATCCAACGGTGACCCAAAACAGCAACATTTTTTAGTTTGACCTGACCTGGAAGGTCAATGACTGACCTGAGAAGGTAAAATCGGGTATCATTGGATTCGTCACTTCCCAAAGAATCTTTTTGGTCTTTACCGCTAAGCTCTATCTCCAACAGGAACGAAACGGCGCGGGGGGGTGGCAACCCCCCCCCCCCCCCCCATGTGCGTTCTAGGATGGGAAAATGGCATGTGCGGGCGAGGGGTTTTTTTTCATACATTTTATTAACACAATTCACATAAAACACAAACAAAAATAAGCATAAAACATTTTTGTGCTCCCATCGGCGACCCGCCTGGCCAGGCCGGGACGGTGTCAATCCGTGACATATGCCGTCCCGGCCCCGGGGAGAGCTGTGGGATACCTCCCCAGCCGGGGAGATCTGATGGCTACCTCCCCGGCGCTCCAGGCGGGCCGCCAGCCCCCGCCCGCACCGCCCGGCAAGCAGCCCCGGGCGGTGCCCCCTAGCCACCGACCGGGCGAGCGAAGCGTCGACCCGTCTAGGTCGGCGCTCCGCACGCCCGGCCGGCCGACCGGCCCCTCACAGGAGGGGCCAGTCCCGGGTTGGCCCGGATGGGTCATGGGGGCGGGGGCTTGTAGCGCGCACATCGTTTTCCACTAACACTTTATATAACAAACACCATATGCATACATACAAGGGACAGTCATTTTAACATTGTGTATCATCGACACCTGACATTTGCCCCTTCCCCCTTCCCATCGTAGAAAAAAAAAACTGTACACATCATGTTGCACTACGCAAACATCGTGACACACAACAATAATTAGTCACAAAGTGCTTGTTTCATATTCTAAGGCGGTTACCTTTCTACACGCTCCGCTAAAGCGCAAAACAGCGAGCCCCAGGTATCGTTGAATTTCGTTTCTCGATCATTTATTTTATAAGCATACCTTTCTACTTTAAGATAGTTGTACAGGTAAGTGACGAATGTGGGCTCAGATAAGTGACTATTGCATTCCCTCTTATACCATATAAACTGTTTTCCCAATGAAAGAATAGTATTGATGCGCTTGCAGACCGCGGAATCGTTGTGCTCAAAACCGGTGACTACGACTTTGTATGTAATATTGCGCTCGTTAAATAACTCACCAATACTGCTCCAAAAAGCCCTTACTCGGTGGCAATGCCAGAATAAATGTCCAATTGTTTCCACCTGGTGACAGTACGTACATCGATCCGTATCTTTGATGTTACAAGTAAAAAGAAGTTTGTTTGTTGGTAAAATTCTTTTTATGCATCTGTAATTCAACCATTTTAGATTAACATCTTCAACAGCGTAATGCAATCGTGCGTAAATAGCAGGCCAATTCAGCCGCCTTCCACCTTCAAGCTCTGCTTCCCACTTTGTGTGCGATTTTTCACCCCGAGTAGTATGTAATACTTGTTCTAATAACTTGGAGTATGCCCATCTTGCTGGTTTAGATGAATTTTGCAACTGTTCTATAGATGTTGCATTGACACTTCTCTGAAGGTTTCGTATTTTATTGCTCCAAGCGGTTGGCACTGCGTTTTTTATTGCCGCTGAAACCATTGGGTGCACACCAAATTTTTGTGAAATTTCATTAACTGTCATTAATTCTTTCTTTCGTAAGTTACATATATCTGCTAGTCTAATGATACCTTTTTCTATTAAATGTTTCCTGTTGATATTGGCATTGCTTTCTATGTTCAAATCTTTGTTCGCCCATAATATGCTATTTTGCAATTGATCTGTGGCACTAAGATTAGCTCCGTTAATGTTATTCCATGCAATGCACGTTTCCTCCCAAAAAGTATTCTTTACCGTGTTTTTTATGTACTTTGCATTTGTATTGCAGTGAAACAGCGTTATGTCGTCATTTAGAAAAAGCATTGGGGTCACCAGGCCCTTCCACTTAGCATCGTGGCTTTTATCTAGGAGTCTTTTTATCCAGGTAACCTTTAAACTCTGTGCCTGAAGTGCTAAGTCTGGCACCTTTAGGCCGCCACCTTTATATTTACTTTTTAATGTCATACGTTTGACTTTATCTTTCTTTCCGCCCCATATGAATTTGAACATGAGCTTTTCTACTTCTTTTATAAATGGTTTTGGAGGAGCTGGAAGCACTGTCATAACATACACCAGCTGAGATATCAATTCGGTTTTCAAAAGGTGAACGCGCCCGTATGGAGTAAGACCGCGACCTATCCATGGCGCTAGTTTATCCTTCATTATGACAAATTTCTCATTATAATTTATTTCTGAAATGTTAATATTCGGGTTGTTAGATACCTTCACGCCCAATACATTAATGGGTGTCGTTGGCCACTGGATATTAAATTGCGTGCAAATCGGCTTTCTTAAATGCCCGTTCCTACCCAACCATAGAGCTTGTGACTTATGCCGGTTCAATTTCAGCCCAGATGCTGTTTCGAAGTCCTCAAAGGTATCCATACATTTATTTAGAGATAGCTCAGATCCATCCATGATAATCGTTAAGTCGTCAGCGTAGCTAGATACTTTAACATTTGCTCCGTTAATTGTCAGTCCTTTAATTGCATTTTCTTTACGAATTCTCTCTAGAAGTGGTTCAAAGCATATGATAAATAAGAGACAACTCAAAGGGCATCCCTGTCTAAGGCCTCGCTCAATTTTATACGGGCTTGACAATTTACCGTTTATTTGCACATTTGCCTGACATGATGTATCCTGCCCACCATTGTAAATAATATCAATCCATCTACAAAAGTCTCTTCCAAACCCAAATCGTTTCAATGTCTTTTTCATGTAAGACCAATCAACGCTATCGTAAGCCTTTTCTTGGTCACATGCTAGTAGGATTGCAGGAATATTTTTGTTTTTACATGCCTGCATGACGTCAAGTATTAATCGAATGTTTTCACCTATGTATCTCCCTTTCAGGAATCCAGTCTGATCTACATTTATTATGTTCGGTGCAGCATTCGCTAGTCTTGTGGCTAGCAACTTTGTTATGATTTTGTAAAATGTATTCAGGAGACTAATAGGCCTTAAGTTTTCGATTCTTCTTGGATCTTTGTTCTTTTTGGGTATCAAAACTGTGACACTCTTCTTAAGATTTGACGGCATTACTCCGGAACTAAAAATTTCTTTACATGTAGCGAATACTAATGTTTTCAGCTCTGACCAAAATACTTTGTAAAATTCTCCAGTGTATCCTGATGGCCCAGGAGAGGTATTATTTTTTAATGAAAAAACTGTTCGGGTCAGCTCTTCCATCGTAATGTCTGCATCGCATGTTTGTCTATCATGTTGTGTTACTTGACTTAACCCTTCTGTAAAGTCAATTCGTGACTCATTCCCAATACGGCGTTCAAATAGCGTTTCGAAGTACCTTTTTCCTTCCTCCAACATTTCCTCGGTTTTGTTAGTAATGGTACTCTGGTTGCCCTCATTTATATACATTTCTCTCGTAATGTTTTTGGGGAAATTTCGCTTAGTTATGCCGTGGAAATATTTTGAACCCTTCTCTGCGAATGCCCTCCAGCGCACTTTATTCCAAAATATTCCTTTTTCTGTTTGATCAGAAATAATTTCATCTCTCTTCCTTCGCAGTTCGTCACACTCGCCATTCAACGCATTATCACCTTGCTTTTCGTTTATTTTCATTTCAATTTCTTTGAGTTCGTTCAAACAAATTCGTTTCTTGGTTGCAACGTACTTTATGATTTCTCCCCTTACAACACAAAGCGTCGTCTCCAGCAATATTGTACTGGAGGAGGCACTTTGTTCGTTTGAACTAATTACTTCAGGTATTCTGTTTTGGATCAATGATACAAATTGATCGTCTTTCAAAAGATCATTATTAAATTTCCAATATCCTTTTCCTATGTCAACATTGGAAATATTTATCGACAAAGTAATTAACTTGTGATCTGTTAGGTATCCGTCTACAATCTTTGCGCTTGGCCTCTTTTCACTGTACATTAAAGTTTCGCTCACGAGGAAAAAATCTGCGTGATCTACTAGTCGGGTTATTTCGGATAAAGGTGTACTCCTCCTTTACTGGATTGATTTCACGCCAAATATCGATTAAGTTCTTTTCAGACATCAGGCTTAGGATGACTTCTTTGTTTCTATTATTATTTGCTACAATCCTTGCTGAACTTCGTCTATCTTTTCCCAAGTCGAAGCAGAAATTAAAGTCACCTCCTACAACAATCGTGCTATCGTCGTAATCATTTAGTTTTGCGCAAAAATCTTCTAGCATGCTTGGGTTATCGTGATTTGGCGCATAAACGTTCCCTATCGTCATCCTAGCACCATTGAATTCGGCGTTGAGGATAATGTAGCGACCATTATCGTCACTAAAAACATTGCTAAAAACGATGCCAGAGTTTGGTCGTGCTAGTATTCCCACGCCTCTGCTGTTTTTCTCTCCATGAGCGAAATATCCACTGCCTCCCCATTGATTTAACCACATCTGGGCGTCTGATTCTGATGAATGCGTTTCTTGAAGAAGAATAATATCTATTGCTTTCTGTTTAAACCAGGTAAATATTTTACGCCTTTTTGGCATTTTTCGTTGAGCGCAGCCTCGTAGCCCGTTTACGTTGAGAGACGCTATTTTAAGCTTAGGAGACACAAACATTTCCTAAATTTAGCATTCCACGGTCTGCATGCGCATCGTCGCTCCATCTGTGAAATTTATAGATGGAGTGCAATGTAATACTGTTTCGATAATATTTTGAGTTTTGACCCGTAATGCTCCCGCAGAACCCTCCCATCCCCCCTCCCACTGGACGCAGCGTACGCACGCTGTGCCAACGAGCCGGCACCGATCGCCCGCAGCCGCACCGCCGGCCGGCCGCCAGATGGCGTTTTTATTTCGCGCGAAAAAACAAAAAAATCAGCATACGCATTATTTAAACGTAGGCACGCTAACGTTACATCTCACTTACGAAAAAGAAACGCAAAATGTAAAGCACATCGCCATAATTTTATGTAACGTTTCCGTAACTTTCATACAATGTAAAGCACTGCGACCCTTGTCAGAACGATCATCGCGATGTAGCCTGCATTCCAAGGAAATTCAAGAGATATCAGTACCCCCAGCAATACACACACCGACACACCCCTCCCCTGCAACCCGCGGTACTGTTACCTGTACAGGTAATTGCCGACGAAACCGTGGTCACCTGCATTAGTCCAGGTACAGACGTCGCGCCAGGCTGTACCGGAGACGAGCCGTCGCGACAGATCACCGTCGCCCGTCCGCGGCCGCGCCGCCCGAGCCGGGCTCGGCAGCCGACCGACCGGAGCCGCCGTCAACTCGGCCAGACCGCCACGCCGCCGGCGCCAGCCGCGCGTCCAGGGGGCCCCCGCGCGCTCCGCCGCCGCCGTCGTCGTTTGCGTCGCGGACGGCACGAACATCAGCAGCAGCAGCGGCACCGGAGCGATCGACATCGGCCCCGCCAGCCGCCGCCGGACGCCGGCCGTCGGGACGGGCGGCCCCGCCGAGGAGTGACGTCACCTGGTCCATGCTGACCATCTTCTGACCTCGAGACTCGCTGTCCAACTTGCAGAAGACCGCACCTCTCCTTGAGTACACGGTGTAGATTTTTTTACGCTTTTTTGCTTCGAGCAGAGCGTTGAAGATCTCCTTGTTCATAGCTGATAACGACTCATTGATATAGAGAGGTGCCGCCGGTCGATCTCCATGGTTTTGTACTCTGGCTTGCTTCATCCTTCTCTCGTAAATGTCGTCCTTAACCTTGGTCTTGAAAAACTTTACAATGACTGTGCTGTCACCCTGGAGTCTGTGAGCGGTCTGGATGTCGCTGCCGGTGACATGTACCTCAGGGAGGCGTCGATTGAGGACAGATATCACCTTTCCTTCGATATCTTCATCGCGCTCCCTTTTTCCAAATTCCTCGCTCTTGAGTATCAGGCTGTTCATTCGTCTGTTGGTATCTATGCCTTCTAGCTGCTCCTGTAGAGCCTTAATGGTAGCTTCTTGAGAGCTAACTCTGTCCTTCAGTACGTTTGTTTCGGCATCTTTCAAGAACAGTTCACCTTCCATGATTTCAATACGTCTCTCCATACTTCTAAACTTTTCCTCCATGAGCTTCGTCACCTTTTCGATGCCTTTATCTATAATTGATTTCACGGCATCTAAGGACTCGCCGTCCAGACGGCATGAGTGCTCACCTTTTTCTGCGCTGTCTTTTTCTCTGCTGGAACGCTTGCTCTTTTTTTGACGTCTTTGTCCGTGTCCGTCATCCAGAGCCTGCATCATCTCTGGGAAAGAACACTGACGTTTTCGGCCACCTCTCCCTATCAGAACGGAGCGATCAGTGTCCTCGGCGTCACCGAACACGGAGTCCAGCTCCGATCCACCAGTGTCCGTGGTCATTTCACGCATCGACACCGAGACGAGCCGAAAATATCACTGTGTCCACCGCGAACGGGTACAGGCGTACACAAACACAAGTGTTCCACAAGGCTATTCCAGCGGCCGGCCGGTAACTGGCGCGGCTAGGCGACCCTACCGGCCCGGTACCTGTCCCTCAGGGCACGGCCGGCGACCCTCGCGCTCGGAGCGTCCGACCTCCACCGCCGCCGGGACGGGAATATGTGTGCGGGCGAGGGTTAATGAACAGTAGGTACCTATATCCCTCGCCCGCACATGGGGGGGGGGGGGGTTGCCACCCCCCCCCCCCAGGTAGTCTTTCTGCTCTGCACTCAACATTTTTAGAGCTAGAAAGCTGATTTTTCGTATAGCTGCTCGTCTATCCTTTCTTGATGCTCGCTGAAAATTTCAAGTTTCTGTGATTTTTGGTTTCGGAGATATGACCTTGTTTTTCAGGTCATGTCATGACCCAAATGGCCAATTCTCAACATTTTGCGTTTGCCATGGGCCTTGTGAGCTTTTGACACCCTGATTTCGGCCTTTTTTGCCAGTCTTACCTCCCACCTATCATGGAACATGTTGTTCGACGATGTACAGGGGTCAAGGTCAGGGTCAAGGTCAACCTAGGTCATCTAAGATAATTGCGTTTTAGGCAAGCTGAATTTACTTTTTGTGAAGTTTTTTGATTGCATTTTTGGTAAAAGCTTCTCAGATCATGATTTCATGTAATATGGACCCAAAAACAATCGGTGCACACATCAGTATACACACAGACACACACAGACATACAAACACATATAATTGACCTTGACCTAACTTGACCTGAAATGACCTCAGCAGCAAAATTCTGGTCGGGTAGTGTGACAAAGAGGTTCTAGCTGGCTTGGCACCAGAAAACAGCATCGTCATCGGTATTTGATAAGCAGCGCACTTGATATCCAGCGGTGACCCAAAACAGCAACATTTTTTAGTTTGACCTGACCTGGAAGGTCAATGACTGACCTGAGAAGGTAAAACTGGGTATCATTGGATTCGTCTCTTCCCAAAGAATCTTTTTGGTCTTTACCGCTAAGCTCTATCTCCAACAGGAACGAAATGGCGCGGGGGGGTGGCAACCACCCCCCCCCCCCCCCCCATGTGCGTCCTAGGATGGGAAAATGGCATGTGCGGGCGAGGGATATACCTATACTATTTCAAGTTGTATACCAACTGGCATGTGGCATAGCCATTGAGTTGAAAAAAAAACATGTGAACGCCTGTGGGCCAATTTTACTTGTGACAGCAGACAGTTCATAAAAGATAATGGTGTTATTTGAGATAATCGCACATTTGAGGTGTTACCGAACATTTGTTTTACACATTATTCTGGACGGCGGTAAATAATACGTTCCCGGGAAGATCACCACGCAGGCCATAGGCAGGCCAATATAAATCTTGAATTCCAGCGCCGATCTTAGAAAGTAATTGCAGCGGCTTGGCATAGCTAGGCTCGACTGCCGCAGATGAATGAATTCTTTTTTAACCTCTGTAACGCCGCAAAAAAGCCCGCCGCCAAACGAGAGGATGAGCCTTGCACGTGCAGACCGGAATGGGTGTGCTACGAACTGACATGCACTGCACTCCAGGCCCGGGCAGCGCTTGTCGAATAGCACTGCGGATCCGAAGGTTGGGACTTTAATTGTGAAAAACCGCCCGCCCGCCGCAAAACGCAAAACCGCAAAACTCGCAAAACGCACGCTCAAAACGCAAACGCAAAAGCCGCAAAAACAAAAACAAAAAACAATCGCCCGCAGGCACAAAACGGCAGAAAAAAAACGCAAAAAAGCCGCAAAACGCCCGTCCGCCGCAAAACGCAAACACCGCAAAAAACGCAAATACCACCGCCACAAAAAATCGCCTGCGTCGCCCGCCGCCAAAGGCAAAACGCCGCAAAACACGGCCGCCCGCCTAAAATAGTGTTTGTCTTTTCAAACAACCTGCGGTTACAAATAACGCCCGGCCGCCGGCGACCGCAAAACGCCGCAAAAAAAAAACGGCCGCCCGCCGACAAACGCAAACACCGCAAAACACCCGCATCGCCCGCCCGCCGCCAAACACAAAAAACCGCAAAAAAAACGCAAACACCTCCGCAAAAAAAAACGCCCGCAACGCACGCCCGCCCGCCGCCAACCGCAAAACGCTGCAAAAAAATGTGGCAAATGTGGTGCATTCATATCTGCCGTTTAAGCAGCCATCCCTTAATTACAGGGCATCCTAATCGTCCAATGTTCGACAAAGTTACGCACATTTTGCACTTTGTGGCAAAAATGGCGCTTTGAGAAAAACGTGGCGCACTCAACAAACGTGCCGCATTCGTTCATGTCGCTTAACAATTCATCAACCCACCAAATTCTAGTCCAATCGGACTTAAACTGGCAAAGTTATGTTCATTTGAATATTTCACTATAAAATATCTCCGCAACGGAGGTGCCCAAATTTGCACGTGTGCCACGTGACCGCCGGTAGTGTAAGCAGGACTTGTCCCCTCACTGATTGCACCATTTCAGTGTTCCTGGCTTGTGCTGTTTTCGTGCTATAAGGCCACAAATCGGCAAACACACGATAATCTGGGAGGTACGCGACTCAAACACGTGGCCACGTGGCACGTGCCGGACCTCTGATAGCTTCACCGTTCACGCCACGTGATGACCCATCGACGTGGCCATCAGCATGTAAAAGATGACCCCGGCCGGTGTCACCGTCTCTGAACAGTGGACGGCTAAACTCGAAAAACGGGAAAATTTAGGGAAACTTCACCTTTCGAATATATAATTTCCCCAGAACTTTAAATTTTTCATTTTACAAAAAATCCGAGATAGCAGTTTTTTAGCGTCCTTCATTCTGTGCCTAAACCCGTTTTCAGATCGACCCTATCATAAAAACTGACGGCCTGACGGCTATTTAACCCACTCCTTGCATTTCACAATGCTAGTATATTTAAGCACCAAAATTGACCCCGTGCCACGGCACGTGCAATAGCACGTGCGACACGTGACCACCAGTGCGACAAGCTGGATTCATCTGCTCACCGGCTGCACTGATTTGGTGTCGCTAGTTGAAGTCGTTTCCACGCCATAGGACCCCCAGTTGGCCAATGTCGGATTTTCCCGGAGGTTACCCCATCGAACACGTTTGCACGTGGCACGTGCTTTTCAATCGCCCCATATCTGACCCATACCATGTGGTAGCCGACACCCTGGGGCACAACATATTGGAACATTTTCAAAATCTAACGTGGAAATTTTTGACAAAATCGATTTGAAAATAGGGGCATTCCACGTCAAATCGAACAAAAATCGGCTGTTTTGCACCTTACCATCGGCGATTTCATTATAAATTTGTGAGCGAGTTCCTGTGTCGTCCCGAACATTACATTGATGTTTTTTGCACATTCTGACCACAGGTCTTCTAAATATAGGGCATCGAATTTTTACAAAATGCTGCATCTCTATATTTTTGAACGACCATAACTTTGGTTGTACTTGTTTGATTTGAATGAAATAAACCTTACTGTTTAGGTAATTTCTTAAGCATTTGTTTAGAATTGCACCTACTTAAATATATGACCTTGAAATTTGCTTAACTCTGTTCTTAAGCACAAAAATTGAAATAGCAAAAAACACGTCACCTTCGATTTGGCTAATTTTCATATATTTTATTGCTTACCATATTATTAACAACCTGTGAAAAAATTAGAGTGGGCCATTCATAAGTTTTGAAGAAAATGGCACTTATGCTAACGCATGTTACCACGCGCAGTGGAGGGGGAAGAGTGAATTTCGCCCCACCCCTCCTGTTTTTCGCCAATATCTCATAGTATTAATGCGAAATTAATTATAGCTACCTGTCCAAAATTGAATTGCACATCTCATCGTGCAAGCAAGAAGAAAATCGGTTCACAACTGGTCTAGTATTAGCGGTGTAAAGTGAACATCCTGTCGCCGCGGCGACGCGGCGACTCGGCAGCCGGCGCCGACCGCTAGCCGCCGCCTGAATTGTAGACTGTGCCGGGACGGAACGGAACGGTTCCGTCTTTACATCGCGCTCCTTACCGCTGATTACGTTCGATTCGCTTCAAATTTTGTGAGAAGACTAAAAAATGTATAGGCAATCTTATGGTGTAAGAATTTTGAAAATCGGTTGGTAAACAATTGAAATATGAACGTGTAAACACAAAATTGTGATTGCTGCGTTTCCCGCGTCGGCCGATCCCACCTCAGTCGGCGACATGTTCTTAGCAGGTCTCTAACTGCCATATTTATTATTGGATTAACTAGAAATTCCCCATACATACTCAAAAATGTATATTCTTTCGTATAGTGAAGATAAAAAGACGTGAAGATATCGTTGCGTGATAATGTTTTCGTTGAATTTTTGGCTTCATGATGCATTTCCACACGGCTCAAAATTCGCCGCAAAATACCGTTTGCCTGAGACACTTTTACTATGGAACTTGCATGCTTGACTACGATGACTATGTATTTCCATTCTCGCAGAGTTTGGGTCGGGATATCACTAATCAGCAATCATTCATTTCAGAAAGTGTACACAAGCAAGCATGTCTTGACTCTGTCTTTCAAGGTCACGCGCGGTTGCGTGATGTTGATGCATGAAAACGGCGTTTGCCGCGAGAGTTATGAATGGCCCACTCCAATTTTTTCACAGATGGTTAGGAACATTGTGACGGACATAATATGTAAAAATTACCCGAATCGAAGGTGACGTGTTTTTTGCTATTTACATTTTTCTGTTTTAATTCAAGGTCAAATGCATTTCAAGGTCACTTCAATTTAATTTTATAATGAAAAACCAAAGCCTTATCAATTGCCTACAAGACCCTGTTAATATCATTTTGATACCAGAAAAGGAACCAGAGTTATAGACATTTAAAAAATTGATGTGTGGCATTTTTGGCTATATTCGATGACCTATATCTCAGCGATACTTTATCAAATTTCGAAAATATTATACGTAACTCAGTTTTGAACCATGCCCAGTCTGCCTACAAATTTTCAGAAAAATCGAAGGGGATGACGGATTTCGGTGTTTGATTTGACGTGGAATGCCCCAATAATTTTTCGAAATCGCCATTGGCTCAACATGGGGTAACTGTTTGTGACGATTACCCGAAATTTTGTCAATTATATTTTAAGTAATTACCACCGTCAGTTGAGGTGCCAGCCCGAGATCTGACCCTAAAAATATCAGCAAATATAATTGACGAAATTTTTCGCAAATCGCATTTTAATTTTTTTCCCATGTTAACCCTATGGGAAAATGCACGTGCCGATTACCCCAAAACGGGCCATTATATTTCATAACGAAGCATAACATCATATTCTATGGTCGTTTCTCAACAGGTCCTGAAAGTTTAAACAAAATCGTATCATATAATTTTGTGCAATGAACGAATGAAAATGTCTCTGCAAAAACGTCCATTGACTTAGCATGGGGAGCAAAAAAAGTTCAACTTCAAACTTGTGCAACTCAAGTTAACGAATTCTGACGGGTATACGGCGCCCACGGGCGTGTACCTGAACGTGTCGGTCATAAAATGGTGTGCAGCAAACCATACCTTGATCGGCGATTTTTTCCGCTATTCGCGATCGCGCAAAAAGTGTCCAAAACCCCGTTGACTTAACATGGGCGAAAATTGAAACGCACGTGCCACGTGCCACGAGGTTTTAAGCGAGTGGCGACCGGTGCCATCAGGTAGATCGCCTGCTGGAGCCCATACCCTGAAATTTTTACGAAAATCGCAATGCACGTTTAGGCCCCACCCAAGTTGTACTGATTCGCGGCCAACTTTGCAAAACATAGCCCGGAGAAGGACCGCTCCGGTTGTTTTTCAATAGAAAAACACAATTCTAACGAATAGTGTTTGTCTTTTCAAACAACCTGCGGTTAAGAAGGACAAAAATCGTAACGTGATTGATTCGGTGTCCAGGAACAATCCCATCAAAAGGTTGTAGCAGGCATTGACGTTCTTCCCCTTCCCTATACCTATCCTAGATGCTGGAAAAAGTCACACATCACCGGAGGGGTTTCAAATATCACCCTCGCCTGTGTGCGACGTTTTCCAGCGTCGTATGTGTGTGTGTGGGGGGGGGGGGGCGGGGGAGGGAGTCGCTTGGACCTCTACTGCCGTACTCGGCCCCTGGTGGCCCTGGTAGCGAGCTATAGAGCTTTGCGGAAAAAATGAGCGTGTTGCCTGTGACGAGAGGATGCCGATGATTCCCAAATTTAAGGTCCTTGGTCATTAGTTGGCGTTCCAGGCCTGGTCAATAGCCCAAAAGTCGGGAAAATCGGGACCTGCTAGAACTTCGTACCTAAAGCTTTATGTTTTTTTTCTGGGTGCTGATTACGAATTTCACGTTAGTTTTATCACAGACGATGTCTTCATGCATTTAGGCCAGGTCGGGTCAGTCGTAGGCAGGTCAATTAGTGGGCGTCCTGCCGGCTATCCATAGTGGGTGTCACCCATCACTAATGGCGTCGTAACATGTTATGAAGCACTGAAACCACTCCGTAAATGTTCAAATGGATGCTGAACCCTCGCCGGCACAGGCCATTTTGCGTCCTTCGACGGCACAAGGGGGGGGGGGTTGGTACGACCCCCCCTCGCATTTGGCCCCTGATCGAGCTAGAGCTTTCCGGAGAAAACGTGCGTGTTGCCCGTCACGAGAGGAAGCCGATGATAACCAATTTTAAGGTCCTAGGTCATCGGGTGACCTTCCAGGTCAGGTCAATGACCCGAAAATCGGGAAAATCGAGACCTGTTAGAAAGTCGTAAAGTGTGGCTGCTATGGGGTTTCCGGGGTGCTGATCATGAATATCGTGTTAGTTTTGATCAGAGATGATGTCTTTAAGCATTTAGACCAGGTCGGGTCAGGTCAGGTCAGGTCAACCGGTAGGGGTCGTGACGGGTATTCGTAATACGCGTCGACCGCCTCTGACAGCTTCGTAACATGTTACGAAGGCACCAAAACTACTTCGTAAATGTTCAAATGGTTGCTAAATTCGAAATCAGCTCCGAAAACTAGCCTAGAAACATGTAAAACTCGAAAAAGTGAACCGAGGTCACCAAAGGTCAATGACCTGACCTGACATCCAGGTGACCTTGACACCCACCCTAATGCATGGTAGCAACATCAAATCACATGTTTGAACGTTTGAAACCACTAAAAGCTTGCAAACGCGCGGCTAATGCGAGCCGACATACGCCGAATCGCGATTCCGGCCAAACATGGTCTCGGAAAAGAGGTCACAGGTCAAAGGTCATTTGGGTCAGGGTCATGAAATTTTCAGGGTAGGTGTAAAATTGATCATTGCGAGGGTACTGAAAGTTTCGTTGCGATCGGCCGCTTTTTACGTGAGTTATTCGCGAAAAACCTTAGGGGGGGGGTGCATCAACCCGCCTGTGCCGGCGAGGGTTGATACGAAATCAGCTCCAAAAACTACCTTAGAAGCATGTAAACCACAAAGAGAAATCGCGATCACGGTCAAACATGGTCTCGAGAAATAGGTCACAACAGGTCAAGGGTCATTTTGGTAACGGTCATGAAATTTTCAGAGTAGGTGTAAAATCGATCAGCTCGAGGGTACTAACAGTTTCGTAGCGATCGACCGCTATTTACGCGAGTTATTCGCGAAAAACCGAGGGGGGGGGGTCCATTCTATCAGCAGATGGCCGGTACACCACTATTGCTGCTCTATAGTCTATTTTGCTGCAAATGATAAACCAAAGCTCATTTCGGCAGGTTGCAGCTATTGGGAACACCTGAACCGCAAGTCGATCGCCACCGCTGATGCAAAGGCAACCATTCAGAGGGGTCATCACAGCGCGGATCGCCTTCACGAAGCCAAGAGGCTGAGTAGCTCGTCGTTCCGCTATTCCCGCCACTATGCTGGCCGGCCGGGCCGTGGGACGGCTATGTCGCCACCTGCTGGGGCAGCCATCTCTGGTCACCCGGCGCGCGCAATACTCGCTCCGCTCTGAGCGCGTGCCCCCGCCGACCCGTCTGACCCAGAGCGTGGTCAGCTGTCCGGGCGGCGTGCCGCTGCTGCACCTCACACTGGCCGACGCCGTGGACCGGGCCGCCGCCGACCACGGCAGCCAGACGGCGGCCGTGTTCGTCCACCAGGACATCCGGCGCTCCTGGCGGGAGATCACGTACGAGGCTGACCGGCTGGCGAGGGGCTTCCTCTCGCTCGGCCTGCAGAAGGGGGACCGGATCGGAATCTGGGCAACGAACGTGTACGAGTGGCTGCTTACGCAGTACGCTGCCGCAAAGGCAGGTTTAATACTGGTGCACGTGAACCAGGCGTACCAGAGTCGCGAGCTGGAGTACTGTCTGCGGAAGGTGGGCGTCCGGACGCTGGTGGCCGCCGCCGGCTACCGGACGTCCGACTACTACACGATGCTGACGGAGCTGGTGCCGGCGCTGGCGGACGGAGAGGCCGGCGTGCCGCTGACGGTCCGCTCCGAGCGGCTGCCCCAGCTGCGCGACATCGTCATGATCAGCCCCGAGCGGCGGCGCGGCGTGCTGCGCTTCGACGACCTGCTCGACGCCGGCATGGAGTCGCTCTCCGGCGAGCTGGAGCGGCGCCAGGCGCAGGTCGACTGTGACGACCCGTGCAGCATCCAGTTCACCTCGGGCACCACGGGCCTGCCCAAGGGCGCCACGCTCTCGCACCACAATGTGATCAACAGCGCCAACCAAGTGGCGCACAGGATTGGCCTGGAGGAGGGCAGCGCCCGCATCTGCCTGCCGGTGGCGCTGTATCACGCGTTCGGCAACATGTTCGGCTCGATGCTCAGTCCGCTGCACGGTAACGCTCTGGTGTTCCCGTCGCAGGTGTTTGACGCCGGCGCCTCTCTGCAGGCCACGCAGGACGAGCGGTGCACCCACATGTACGGCACGCCGACCATGTTCGTGGACATGGTGAACATCGCCAAGCAGAAGCGCCTCGACCTCAGCTCACTGTACTCGGGCATCGTGGCCGGCGCGCCGGTGCCTTTCCACCTGATGCGCTCCATGATCGAGGACATGAACATGCGGGACGCGGTGGTGCTGTACGGCATGACGGAGGCATGCTCCATGGCCACCGGCTACCCGTCGGACGACCTGGAGCACCGCTGCGGCACCGTCGGCTACCCCAACAACCACATCGAGGTCAAGGTGGTGGACGACACCGGAGCGACGCTGCCCATCGGCCAGACGGGCGAACTGTGGGTGCGCAGCTTCAGCAACTTCCTCGGCTACTGGGACGACGAGGAGAAGACGCGCTCGACGGTGACGCCGACCGGCTGGCTCCGCACCGGCGACCTGGCCACCATGGCCTCCGACGGCTACGTGAAGATCGTCGGCCGCCTCAAGGACATGGTGATCCGCGGAGGCGAGAACATCTACCCCACGGAGGTGGAGGACTTCCTCATGAGCCACCCGGACGTGCTGGAAGCGCATGCGTTCGGTGTGCCCGACGAGCGACTGGGCGAGGAGCTGGCCGTCTGGATCAAGGCCCGCGAGCCGGGAGCGATCACGGAACAACAAATCAGGAGCTTCTGCAAGGGCCGGATAGCGCACTTCAAGGTGCCGCGCTATATACGGTTCCGGGATGACTTTCCAGTCACCGTCTCTGGAAAGGTGCAGAAGTTCGAACTGAGAAATACATTCGCTCGAGAGCTGGGCTTGAATAAGTAGCCATGCTCAGCTGAAAAAACACGAATGCGCAATACAGCGGAGTGAGTAAGATGACGCATATGAATCTCCCGTCGCTCGGAGATCGGCGAAATCGAGTGGTGCTCCTAACTAATCTTAACTTTTAAACAAAATGTTGCCACACCTAAGAAAGGCGAAATAACAGTTTTTTTTTAATTGAGAAACTTCTCGGGAGAATCCCCGCAGCGCCCCATGCCTCTGCTCTTGATCCGTCAGTCACCGAACTCCTCCCCTGAGCCGTGCGTATTTCGCTACAAACGCTGCAGTGCATCACCTCGGCAACGGCCTTGGCGTAAGCTTCAACGTCACTTATTAGCTGAGTTGAACATCCCCGATAAACGGTTCTCAACGTATTTAACGACTTGAACCGTGGCGGAGCGGTGGTCCTCAAACCCTCCCATCAGCCGTGCGCATCTCGCCCTATCGTGAGAGTTGGCGTCGTCACCCAACTCTCACGAGGCACGAGCCGAGCGGGCACCCACGTGCGTGCGCCAGGCGCGGGTGACGCCAAACACCAGACTCTGCTAGGAAAACTGCTAGACAATTGTGTCCCTCACACTCTTTAGGCCAGGAGGTGCTCTGCAGATGTAAAGGAGCAGTCACCGATCCCCAGTTCTACCGACCTAGCAGCGGTTATTATGAGGAAGGTGGCTAAGGCATAGCGTCAGTCCCCAACGGGCCACGTCATCGTATGTTGGATCTGAAACCGTCACCATTTTGATGCTTGGGTGCTTGCTAGATCGTCTAGATCGCCAGTTCACTCTAAAATCGCATCTCGCATCACTTGAGCCAGCGAAATAGTAAGCACATGACGGTTATCGCCACAGCCAATGTTAGCCCTACGCTGTCAGCCGCGTGCGAGTCACTTGGGTGAAGTGGCAACCGGAGCCCGGAGTAGCAACCAAGGGGACAATGGCAGACCTCCACGCCGCTTCTCTCTCGTAGATGACGCCACCGTCTTAGCTCCCTCACGGAGTAGATAACATTACTCATCATAAAAAGCCCCAGCCTTCGCCCCCCCCCCCCCCGACGACGCTTATCCACACAAACACACACTCAATTAACCATCATTTCGCGCTGTATTGGCTGAGAATGACCTTCGGGGAAAGCTTTACAAAATATGAAAGCAGAAGTGGTGGTGGACACACAACTGAGGAGCGCGGCGCTCAGACCGCCTACCAATGTCCAGCGGCGGGGCGGGCGGCGCCGTCCAGTATCACAGCTGTGTGGGTGGGCGGTCGGCCTGTCCGTGTGTCCGGTCCGGCGGGGGCGGGGGCGGGTAGGAATAAACGATACCGCTCCGTGACGACGGGAACCTTTGTACCAAACACATGATTAACCGTCCGGAACAACTGTCTCCCCCGCACTGACTACGAGCTCACTATGTACACTTGGCCCGCCCGATCACTACATGTTTAAAAGCGAACACCGAGGACCAAAAGACTTTCACAAAACACGAGAGCAAAAATAGCCGTACATTTGACGGGCACGCGGCCAGGGGCGGCGCGGCGGGCCGCGGACACCTGCGCCCCGGTCTGTTCGCCGTGTCTGTGGACCCACCCGGGCGGGCCGGGCCGGCCGACCCAGCTCGGGCCGGCGCGGCCCGACCGGCGCCTCTAGTTGCCGGGCCAGAAGCCGTAGCTGGGCTTTCCGGTCGGTTTGGGCTGGGAGCCGCGCGCCGGTCCGCCCAGCGCCGACTCCTGGTGCGCCGGATGCACCAGCGGCGAGTGCCCCTGCGTAGGCAGCGCCTGCAGATACATGTGCTGCCCGTAGGCGGCGCTCTGCCCCTGGCCGGCCAGCGGGAACGGCGGCGGCGTGCCCGTGTGGTACGCCTTCGTGTCGTACTTGCCGGCCAGCGGCGCCTTGCCGTAGCCGGCTCCCAGTTCGCCGGCGCCACCGGCCGCCTTGTGAGGCGAGGAGCCGCCGAACGCTCCCCCGCCCGCCTTGAAGTCTCCGGCCGAGCCCAGCGGGTCGTAGCCGGCGCCGAAGCCGCCGCCGGCGCCGTAGCCGGCCACCTTCTGGTACTGTCCGGCGCCGCTGGAGCCGGGAGCGGCCGTGGCCGGCGGCACCGGCGTGTAGATGCCGTACTGCGGCAGGAACGGGAAGTAGGTGTAGTTGGGCGGGATGCCCGCCGGGTTGAAGAACGGCTGCTGCTGCTGTTGCTGCTGCTGCTGTTGTTGTTGCTGCTGCTGCTGTTGTTGCTGTTGCTGCTGCTGTTGCTGATGGTGCTGCTGTTGATGCTGTTGGTGCTGCTGATGCTGCTGCTGGTGCTGGTGCGGCTGAAAAGATGTAATTAAATTTTATCGATATTGAACAGCGAATCTAGAAACAACACTTCCTTCGACTATCACAAAGCAAGACTCATCGACGTGCTGATATTACACAAGTTAACTTAAGGATTTAGATAAAACTTTACAGAATCAGAGATCAATAGCAACACTTATAGTTGCGAAAAAGGTGCCGATAGCACCACACATTTTCCACAATACTTGCACGCATTCTGGGCAGCAGCGGTGTAGCCGTCTTGAGTTGTACAAATCGTCTTTTGTAAAGATAAACTCAAGCCATGTTACGAAACGTAATTAACTAAACGAAATGTTCATGCATGCGAAGTCCTGAATCTTATCCAAGTTTCCTGCTCAAGTTTACCATAACACAAGAAATTTGAACAGAAGCTAAGAAGAAAGCAAGACAAGATATTCACTCAAACGCATCCACAAAAACAAGCTCGTAGTAAAATGGCCAAGATACAAAATGTACGACCACCTCGAAGCGAAAGTCCCCAAGAAACAACAGGACTGCTACAGAAAATAAGATGGCCACACACCGTTGGTCGAGGGTGTCACTGCGGCCAGCCGTTTCGACATACCTTGAGCTGTTGACTGAGCGCCGACTGGACCGGGGACGAGTTGTCATGACGGCCGAATTTGGCGTCTGAGAGCGAGTACCCTCCGGCGGAGACGGATCCGAGTGCTGAGGTCACCTCCGGCCGGCCCTGAGCGCTGCCGGCCGCCGACTGCTGCTCAGAGACGGACAGACGGACACACAGTGTTAGAACAGGGGGCGGACGGTCTACCCGGCTCAGCACAAACGCAACTCAACCACAAACACACCATTCAATAGGCACATAATGGCTGCAAGCCCAGTGACACATAACCATCCAGGTATTCAGTCGCAAGTCTCTCCCCCTCCCCACATTACCGGCCCCAGGCCGCACCACTCCAACCCCCCCCCCCTCCCCCAGTCACCGCTGCGGGCCGGCGTCTCACCATGTGCGGCAGCCGCTGCTGCAGCGCATGCAGCTCCTCGTAGTTGTAGATGGGCTGCACGCCCGGCACGCCCGGGTAGAACGGCATGCCCGCCGTCTGGCCCACAAAGTACTGCATCGGCACGCCCGGTGGCAGGGAGGGCATGCCGCCCGGCCGTGCTGCGGGAGAGGGCACGGGTCAGGTCACGACTCAGGTCACGACTCACGGGTTGGGGCAGGAGCGGACTTACTCTGGACCAAAGGCTAGAGGCCCGGCCTGCGGCTCATATTGACTGGAAACTCGTAAATATACAAGCATAGTAATTCGAGCCTGGCAGGAATGTAGCTACACCTGTAGGCTTTGGAGATTCAGTAGGGTTGCACCGGGAGGCAATCACCTTTCGATTTTACATTGATTTAATATGTAATGTCAGACATCATCGCTGCAGCATCCAAGAATAGAATCCGACCCGACTAAAAACAGCTGCAACGATCAACGTTACAGTTATTTGTGGAGCCATTCCCGCAACACGTTACCATGATACTCATTTTAGCCGACAACACAGCAGCGGTTTACCCCTCCCCAGCCGACACAACAACCCCCTGCCCAGTTCGGGTCGTCTCCAGCTAACACTTTCGATCACCACCACGTACTTGTGACTGGGTGCGCTGACCCGCGCGCTCCTCCGTTGCCGCTGCCAGCCGAGGGCCCTGCCGCTGCTGCTGAGGGTGCTGCGGAGAGCGCCGAGCCTCCGGCACCGGCACCGCCGGCTGACGAGTCGTACTGCGGGGGACGGGGCGAGAGAGGTCAGTGGAATGCAGCGCGTCGGGGTTCAAAGTGATTGGCAGTACCATGGCAACGATGTATATGGCAAGACTAATGAAAGCTAAGCAATGAGCACGACATGTGTAAAGCAACCAGCCCAATTAAATAACGAGAGACCAAAACATATCATATCCATATGGAAAAAAAATAACCGACCGACAAAGACTCTGCTCATGAGACTCACGTCATGACGTTTGTACCACATCGCTGCAAACTGTGAAGCAATAACAAAAATCGCAATGGTGGGCTGGCCCCACCGCCGTCAGTTTTTCACAGTCGCCCCCACCTGGCTGGTCTTTGCCTGCGCGGCTCCCAGTCGCTCGGGCAGCAGACCGCCGTTGCTGTAGCCGGCGTGGCCGGGCAGGCCGCCGCCGGACGAGTAGCTGCCGCCGCCGCCGGCAGGCTCCGACTGGCTGAAGCCGGACGTGGCGCCGGCCGCCGCCGCAGAGGTGGCCGTCGCCGAGCCGAAGCCGGGCGCCGGCAGGCCGCTGGACGCCGCACTGGCGGCCGGCAGCTGGCCGAACGGGCCGGCCGAGTCGCCGCCGCCTGAGCCCGAGCCGTACAGGCCGGCGGAGGAGACGACAGCGGCGGCCGCCGACGAGACGGGCGCCGGAGAGGTGCCCGGCGCCGCGCCCACTGTCGAGGTCAGGCCCGAGCCGCCCGTCGGGCCGCCGCTGCTGGCAAACGATGACGCTGGCGACTCCATCGAGGTCTGAGGAGCGACGACAGGGCGTTAAGAGAAGACAGACGGGGGTTAACAACATACCTGAGAGATACTCAAGGTTATCGGTACCTATTCAATGAAGACGACAGAGACTATCAGCAATTTCAATCACAACGCGAGACTCATCGTAAACTCACCAGATAGATAGATAGATATATGTATATATATATATATATATATATATATATATATATATATATATATATATATATATATATATATATATATATATATATATATATATATATATATATATATATTTATATATATATATATATTTATATATATATATATATATAAATAATATATTATATATAATAATATAATAATAATATAATATAATATAATAATAATATAATAATAATATAATAATAATATTATATATAATATATATTATATATTTATTATATAATATATATAATAAATATATTATATATATTTATATATATATATATATATATATATATATATATATATATATATATATATATATATATATATATATATATATATATATATATATATATATATATATATATATATATATGCTAGTTAGCATGGCTGTAGACCTTTATCGTGCCCATTATGACAATCACTTACGTCCTCACAATCAGGCAAGGCATCCCACCACCGACAACACCTATCACAGCTCATATAAACTCCACAGAGCACCCGCCATGCGCCGTGCTATCCACCAGCTCACCTTCACTGCCTGAGCGGCCGACGCGAGCGTGCCTAGACCGGGACTGCGCGCGTGCGGTGGGAACGTCACGGGCGCCTCCGGCTCCGCCTTGGTCGCTGCCACCGCCGCCGGGTCCGGCTGAGGGGCCGGCGGGGCCGCCGTGGCCGTGAACGAGGCGGGCTCGTCGGCCGCCGGCGCCGCCGCCGTGCCGAAGTCGAGTCCGCCGAACTTGACGTCCAGAGTTGACACGTCGTCGGGCATTTCCACCGCCATGTCGGGGATCTGCGGATAGCAGAGAGTAATAAATAAAATATAATACAGTACAGGTGACGAGGGGGCGCTGTTGGGTCCGGGGACATGACGCCGAGCTGAGTATTGTGGACGAATGATCGCCCACTGTCGGACAGGGTGGCGCAGCCGCAGGAGTCGCTTCTTGCTTACCGTTTAACTATGAAAATGAAATTATAAGAGCCATAATGCAAGCAGTATCGATCATTCAGGAAAAGCCTAGCAAGGAAAATGCATCCACATAATCGTGCCAAGCTCAGAGGGATTTTCCTTACAAAGCTCATCACAAAACGATACACCAAGCTGCTTATCTAGCCACATCCGAAAATGGGCACCCATGTACTGCACAATGCACATCGACAGCGTCGCTTTCCATTCATGGCACACCCAAGGGCCAACTAATTCACACGCCCACTACAAGCGAAATTCGTCTTAGTACACACCAATTTACCACATATCAAAGTTACCACTGCACATAAAAGTCTTATAAACCCCCAGCAGGTTCTGGTGTCCCCGACGCACGCACCTTTACCGGTGGTTTCTGTGGTCGTCCACTGCGGCTGGACAGGGCCTGTGAGCCGAGCGGTACACCGCCCGCAGAGGAAGCCGGGGCCGACGAGCCGAAACTGGACGAGTACAACAGACCTGGCGGCGAGACGACACAGGCCGTCACGGAATGGCTGAGTGGTGCGACCACCGAGCGAACGTGAGAAAGAGGAGAGTGAGCCAGAGGGAGTTTGTGAAATTCTCGGTAACGTGGCTCAAGTGGACGTGCTGACAGGGCGACGTTAGTCAGGAAAGGGCATGTCGGGTTGAGCATCGCGATACACAGTGGTTATCTTTTCTGAAAGAACAACCGGCAACGGTGGTCTAAAACAGAAAACAGTTCGCGATCAAGTAAATGGAGGAAGTCAACACATAATCGCGATCATGCTGAAACACATACCTAGCATACCAAACTAAAGACTCGTGAGCGTGACCTGCTCACCGAACCAGAGCCCATACCCCGGCCCTCAGCTACGGGGGTCGGTACTCACCGGGAGGATTGGTGTAGCCGGACGGGAACGAGCTGGGCGCCGACGCCAGGCTGGACGGCTCGGCGACGGCGGCCGCCGGCGGCGACGGGAAGCCCGGCGCACCGCCCGCCGACGGGTCGGCAGAGTAGGGCGCCGCCGGCGGCGTGGTCCGCACCGGCTCCGCTGCCGCCGGCGCACCTCCCGCAGAAGAGGAGGCCGCCGGCGCCGCGGGGAACTCGGCCGCCGCTGCTGCCGCCGGCCGCTGAGGGGCCGCGCTGGCGGCCGGCGGCTGGGGCGCGGCCGCCGCCTGCGCCTGCGGCTGCAGTGAACGAGTGATGGCGCTGCTGTAACTGAGCGGCCCGGCCGACGGAGCCGGCGCCGCCGCCAGCTGGCTGTAGGTGGGCGCGCCGCTGCCGGCCGCCGTGGCCTCGCTCGGCTGCACCAGAGCGCCCAGCTCCAGACCGCCCGTCAGCGGGGAGGCGGAGGCGGCGGGCGCGGCGGCCGACTCGTCCGGCGCCGCCGGGCTGGCCGTGAACACTTTGGTGTCGCTCAGTGAACCGCCCCACTCGTCCCAGTCCTCCGTGGCGGCAGTCGCCGCCGAGGTGCCCCAGTCGTCGCTCGGCTTGGCGGCGGCCGGCGCGCCCCAGTCGCCGGCTGACGAGGAGCCCCAGTCGGTCCCTGAGGACGCGCCCCAGTCGGCGGCCGGCGCGCCCCACGAGTCGTCACCACCGGTGGCCGCCGAGGCGCGACTGCGCGGCGGGCCACCCCGCCCGCCGCCGCCGCGGCCGCCCCTCCGTCCTCCCCTGCCACCGCGCGCCGCGCCACCGCCGCCGTCCCGACCCGAACTGTTCCGCTCGTTCTCCCAGTTTTCCCGGCTCTTCCCTGAGGACAAAGATCACGATGTGTCAGTTAACGTCAAGGAGGTTCTGTATAAATTTATACAACTAGCAACATCTGGGGGTACCACGTAAGACACATTTCGGGTCTCATTTCCATCTTACAAGTATTTGATATTCCATCACTATCACCAATCATTACAAGAATCTCTTATCAATAGCTCCGCTAGATGACATCATCAACACCTTGACAACCTCATCATTTCACGGTCAGTTGAACATAGGCCGCCCACCGACAATGCATGCCAAGTGTACGCAGTGACTCAGTACTCAGTGTACTCAGCGACTTTGTACTCAGTGTACTCCGTGACTCAGTGTACTCAGTACTCAGTGTACTCGGTGTACTCACAGCTGCGGTCCTGGCCGCCGCCCCTCCGCAGCCGGGGCGGCTGTGACCGGTCCCCTGATCGGCCCCACTCCCCCCGGCCGGCGCCACCGTCCTCCCCGCCACCACGAGACTCGTCCCGGTCGCCAGCGCGCGGCTCGGGCGCCGGCGGCTTCTGAGGCTTCTTCTTCTTGGTCTTTTCCACCCACTGGCCCTGTGGGTGATAGTGATAGGGTTATAGGTAGAGCATGGCAACACACGTCGCTATACCAGGGGGGGGGGGGGGAGGGGCAGGCATAGTGCAGTTAGTCACGGCCGGGTCCATATCTCAGGACGTTCGGTATACAACCCACGACTGGAGGAGTTACAACTTACATGGCCTCAATGTCTGTGCACAGCCGTGCCGGTGTCATAGATCGTTGAAGGACGTGTATACATACATAATAAAAAAGAACAGTAAAACACCTCACGCCAAAAACCATGAGAGATATTCCAAAACCTGCAATTAGTTTGACTCCATATGCAAAGCTCGTCATAGATTCCGGTACATCCCCTTATCTTTATTATGACCATTAGTTATTACTGAGCCTGGCGGAACACTGATAACCTAAGCTGCTTAGTCTGACACATCATCGAACCAGCTGGGCCTAAGTTCAGGCCACAGAATAGTATTTCTGAACCGATAAATATATAAAGAACCACCCCAGCCCCGAACAAACGCTACCAAAGGCTTATCCTTCCCTTCCCACCCTAACGGCCCCGGCCATCTCCACCCTCCCCAGCAGAGCCCTCTCCCATCTGACCTGGTCGTCGCCCTCAAGCAGCATGTTAACGGCCCGATTCGGGTCATTGTCGCAGTCGTATAGAGCTATCACCACCTCGTCCTTGGTCTTGCCTGTGAGCTGCACCACCTGACTGATTTTGTCTTCAAACACCTTTTCTTCCTTCTGAAGACGGACAGGGCACGAGGATGTAACACATAGATATATCACCACAAATGATCCCTGCACAGTAAGATTGGTTTTGAGCCATAGACTCACTGTATTGCGTATTGAGGTGCAATCGATGACACGAGTCTCGTTCATCACCACTCGCGGTGCCGGTCGGCAGCGCTCAGTCCGGCTCGGCGCCGCTGAGCGCGCACACACCTGTTTGGCGCTGGAGGCGGGTTTGGACGGCCGCTCCGAGCCGCCGCCGCCGCCGCCGCCGGACGCCGTGCCGTTGTGCTGTTTGGCGTCGCGTCGCTGGCGGCCCGTCCGTCCGGCGTTCTGACCGCCGCTGCTGCTCATGTTGTGTGTGCCGCTCACCCTCAGCCAGGCAGTGTTCAGGCTGAAACAGAGCAATCGCGCGCGGTGATACGTCACTGGGCCACATAGCGGGAGAAGGGCGTGCGTGGGGGAACGGCGGCAGCGCGGTAGATAGTAGTCAGAGTGACACATGAACTACAGTGGGCCAGTGTCGGAATGTTACTGCACGTACCGATTTTAGTGAACATGTAAAGATCTGTTGATGCTTCCATTGCTGTGAAAACCTGCGTGGGCTTTCTCTTAATGGGTACAACCAGTAGAAAGATGCATAGTTATGTTTCCCCGGATAAAGTAACATAAAAAACATAAAAAGTACCTCCCTTTTATCATCAACTCTAACCAGTACCATCAAAATCATTTCACCCTAATCCATTGCAAGTTTCAACGGCAAACGCAACGTGCAAATCAACAAAACACCATTCAGTGTGTATCAGCCTGCGCGCTATCAGCGTTGATCGGGTGCGGGGTTCAGGCACTCCACACGACGTTGACCTAATCAGCACCCGAGCGGGGTTTCCCGAGTTTTGCCGGTGCTAGACACATCAATGGTTCCACAACCACGGAGCTCGAGTCAACGATCCATCAGTGTTCATATCAAGGTCATTGTCCTTAGATGACCTTAGTTCACTGACATGACCCGACCTTCCCCAAATAAACAAATAAATCAGCTTTGATTAAAAATAACAGGAAATTTGTAAGCTGGAGCGCTGAAAACACCATTGATGCATTCAGTTTCACGATAGCAATCAACTGATATACAACATGACTTTTATGAGACCTTGACCAGAGGTCAAATTCAGAAGTTTACCTTTTCAGGTCAACCTATAGTTCATTTGACGCGTCTCGACGAGAGAACCGCGATGCTGGTAAAACCAACGTAATACAAGCTTGGTGTAATAAGTTATTACAGAGAAACGTTTTCTTTTTAAAAAAAACTTTGACGAAAAACACGTAATTAGCTTTGTATAACCCATACTGGGAAAAATACATGGTAGGTACCTACTACCTACTATCGACACATCCGGCGTAACGGGCGGATTGCGCCAAAATTTCGGCGGAGCGTCGGGCGCAACTTTGTGCGCCGACGTAACGAAAAAGTTTCGGCGCAAGCGTACGATTTAAAAACATTTCGACGCAAGATGACAAGATCTAACCTCAGCTCACTTCAATCGCTTCATTCTACATTTATAGAATCATAAACCTGAGCCGATGACTGAAGGGTAGGTACATAACGTTCATCGGAGGCCACCCGGTCCCGAGTTCCCCAGGCCGAGCCCTCGGGACCGGGAGCAATCAGCAAGGTGCGGACTGGGCTGGTTGATCTTCGGGCTCCTAGCCTCCTTAGTTGTGTCTGGAGTGGACCGTACCCGAGTGAGGCGACTGGCACTGCACACAGTCTTCAAGTGGTCTTTTGCCGGGCTCGAGAAGACTGATTGGATTACTGAAACCAATGGTCCCGCCCAATGCCCATTCCCTGTAATAGGGCATGCGATTACATTCTAGGGGTAGTTCGCTGTTCGCTGAGGCGACTGAAGGGAAACACATGATTTTGCTTGCAGTTCAGTATGATGTTCAAAATTCAGTGCTCCACATGATTGTCTAATGTCTATCATCTGGTGCTGATGTAAAGTCAAGCAATGTTCCTAATACCCCTATTGATACCTATGTTTTGGAATTGAACAAAATAATACCACACTGGTTATAAAAAAGACTGCAGCAGAAGGTCACAGGAAAGGGGCACGGACCAGCCCCAGGCTTCGGCATATGTGCACAGAGTTGCGTGCACAAGGAAGCCAGGCAGCAGTCAGTAGTGGCGAATAGGAAGAGGATTTGTAGAATGAACAAGGCCTGGTGGCTGGTGCACCCAACTATATTGTATTAAAGTACCTTATCTATAAATAGGGACCTTATGTCCTGGCTCAATTCACTTTTGAAGAGCTTTGAGCTTGTGACACAAATACATTTGTGTTCAACTTGCCCTTTGTCCAGTCTCTTTGCTAAGTATTTGTTATCAAACTTCAGCATTCATGGGATAGATAAGCATGTGCATGTGCTTCAATGGTAGAAAAAGTTTGAAGTTGCACAAAAAGCTTTAACTTTTAAGAGCAAATTGGGCTAAAATATTGGCACAAAAGCACCAGTGCTGAATTTCAGTGCATTTAACTGTCAACCTATAACAGAGGAATAACATGCCAGAACATCACTTTAGCTGAGTACTTACAGGATCGAGGATAATTCATAGAGCAGTCACCGACGGCGAAGAACCTTGGCGTCACATTTGATGCACACCTGTCGTTTGACACTCACGTATCCGAGGTTGTGCGCCGCTGTACAGGAGTGTTGAGTGGCCTCTGCCACACCAGACACTGCCTACCCAGGGACACGCTAGTCACGCTCGTGCAGGCTTTGGCTGTGTCAACGATTCGGTACGCCATCAGTGTTTACGGTGTCTGCGGTGTCACGCAGACCAGTAGGCTTCAGAGGCTGTTGAACTTCGGCGCTCGCGTTGTCTCGGGTCGCCGAAAGTTCGATCATATAAGTGACGTCATGAGAGAACTGCGATGGCTCTCAGCTGAGAACTTGTGGCGATTTCAATCAGCCATGCTGCTGAAGAAGATGCTCGCCACGGGACAGCCCGAGGTTCTGCGTGCTAGTATAGCGTGTCGAGGGAGCGTGCATGGCAGTGTTCCACTTTTCCGACTTTTTGGTGGCAAATCACACTTAATGGGGAAAATACTTTCATCCCTAAAATATGAATGACCGACTTTACTTCATCTCTGAAAAAAAGAGTTCAGGTATTCCCAACAGCCAGCTTAAATGTCACTTGACAGTTGATGCACCCACATCCTTTTGTTTCACACCCTGTCAAGATTCTGACATAAAATCCTGGTTTATCCGTTGGCATACAAATTGGCATTGCTCCATTTTGCAAATATACTTCGGTTATTTATTTCCTTTTTTCTCATCCTAGGATTTTTTTCATCATCGGCACACCCAACCAAAATCCAATTTTAGAACACTGGTGCATGGCCGCGGCACTCGACAAGCCGATCATCTGGACACGCCTATGATCCGAACGGAGGCCGGCCGCCGTCGATTTCTGTATAGCGCTGTGACCATGTATAACAGCCTCCCAGCAGCACTCCGCGAGCTAGGCCTGCACAGATTTAAGAAGGAGTACCGGGCGATGCTGCTGAGGGAACAGTATGGCGAGGACTAGTTCTCCCTGTTTAAGAAGAACACTGCATGATGAGGTATATTTTTACACGCTGTATGGTCGTATATTGTTTGTCTGTCCTGAATGATGTGCATACGATTCCCAATTCCGTGATTATTGGACACGACTGCCAAGAACAGCCATTGTATGATGGAAAGGACAGTCACGATGTGAAATAAATAAATAAATAAATAAACACTAAAAATAGGCATAATTTGTGATTAATTTTAAGGTGTTTGAAAAATTATCAAACTGATCACTGGCAAAACCAGGGCCCAAGGGAGAGCCAACCAGGCCAGTCAGGACTAAGGGCAGAGTCAGCAAATACATAATTTGTCCTTGAAAATATTATAATAAAAAAATTTAATTAATATTAAAAAAAATAATTAAATTAAAAAAAATTTAAAAAAACGGTCTTTGAAACCGGTTGGATTTATTAAAATATGCTGCTCTGTGCCTCAATATACGTCTTTTTGTTATAATTTGTCCCCTTTCCAAATCAAATTTGCCCTTTTAAAACCTCCTCTGGACCGCCATTCACCAAAATGACAACATGCATGAAAGATAAGTTAATTTAACCTCATCTCCGATTCCCCATTTAGCCATTTGGCTAAGTATTTTAAAAGTGGAAAATTTTGTCGTTGATAACCTTCTGAGACACAAGCTTTTGCCCCTCCCTTTGCAAACAGTATTCTATGACCGTGTTGCAAACTGCTGGATCCGCCAGGGAGAGTGAGACAGACAGCAAGATCAATATTCATAACTTGATAATTTCATTGCACATCAAGGCCGGGTGAACGAAGAGTAAGGTAAAGTTGGCGTGGCCCATTCTAACAAAGGCTTAGGACTATCTTGGCATGTCGAAAAACTTCAATCAACAAACATATAGGACAGCCGCAAGCTTTCTTTAATGACTGATAGCTTAAAATGGAATAAAAAAATACGGCATACTTACTATCCTGAACACCTAGAAATGATCCTATCTTCCTCAGTCAAGTGCGACGCGCCACGCACGCCAGATTGGTAAGGCGCGCTGAGTTCGTCGAAGTTATGAAGGCAGAGGGTTTTTTGCAGCTTCACGCGAGAGAGAAAATTTATTGAGGCAAAAGTCTCTAAAACAAATACATTTTCATCGAAAGTGGGGGCTGTTAGGTTATAATATGCATTATGCACGGTGACTATAAATAATAATATGCATATTAATATTTGATTTTCAAGTGAAAAATACTCTAAATTTAGACTAAAAAGTGATTGCGCTGCCCCAAGGCTAAAAACGAAAAAGCTAAATACGCTAATAAGATAAATATGAAAAGCAAATGAAGTAAAAATTGCGTTAGTTTGCCCTCCAGGAAAATGTTACCCAATAGAAAATTCAGAAATGCACAACTTAAAACAATTTTCGTGGTTAAGCTATTTCATTTGTCACACCGTATAATGAAAAGTGGCATTTAAAAACCTGTTGACCTACATATCTTTCATAAAACCCTAAATGCTGACTTATGAAAATTCCCTAATTTTCTCTAGTTCTCCAAAATTTTAAGCTCATGTGTATTTTACCGTCTACTTTTTATAACAATGCGGCATTCGACGCTTCGATGCTTTGAATTCTGTACTTTAAGTTAATTTTTGGTGACGTCATTAGACTTTAGGATATCTCGTAGCTGATTCGGTAATCGATACCCTTATTGCGTGCCTCTTTACGTAAGATCAATGTAAAATGTAACCCAATTTCGTGACATCAAAGGCACATGAAAACCACTGAAGGGTTGTTGAAAGCCATCTCAATCTTGATCATCACGGTAGGTGGAGAATAATAATTGGCAAGGCCCTCTAAATAATTGGTAGTGGTGTATTCTGCAGGGGCTGGAAGTTGGGCGTGCTTGCAATATATTTTTATGTGCCTATCAGGGATGCGGAGCCGGAGCCGGAGTCGGAGCCGGAGCCGCCGGAGCCGGCATATTTTGCCCGGAGGCCGGAGCCGGAGCCGGAGCCGGAGCCGTGAAACAATATAGCCCGGAGCCGGAGCCGGAGCCGGAGCCGCCAAAAAAGGGGGCGACTCCGGCTCCTTTTTATTTTTTGAAGAGGAAAAAAAAATAATTGACCTAGTTCGGTTTGACAGTACAAGGCAGTAAAACATATGGTACTTACGTCATGGGCCATCAAGTGAATGAAAAAATCCGAATATCCCCAGTATCCCACAGTACGCAAACAACTTCCTGTTTGCTCTCCCCCCCCCCCCCCACGTCTACTGCATCCCCAGAACATGAGGACCAGTCATCAGGTGACGGCCATTGTTTTCAAACCAGTGCAGTGGACTGCGACTCCCAGCACCGTCTCATCCCACACACACCCCACCCCTCACCCCCCAATGCAGCCGAGACGGGTGTCAGCTTACGATGGTTCACTGAACTCCGATTCGCGGCGACTGCGTTTCCAATGCCATCGCTTTCTAGCCCTTTGTTCTGCCAGTTCTCTCCGAGGTGCGTTTGCGCGGGACGCGGTGAGCCGGTCATGGCAAAGAGTAACGCGTATAACCAATCCAATTTTTCTTCCACCCGTATTTAATTGATTGCGTAGGGGATGTACTGAGTCGGAGCCGGAGCCGCCGGAGCCGGAGCCGCCGGAGCCGAACCATTTTACTCGGAGCCGGAGCCGGAGCCGGAGCCGCCATAACATTTCACCCGGAGCCGGAGCCGGAGCCGGAGCCGATTTTTTCTCCGGAGCCGGAGCCGGAGCCGGAGCCGTCTGAAATTTCCACGGCTCCGCATCCCTGGTGCCTATACATTGATAGCTTGATTGATAGTAAACACATTCGTGTGCGAGACGTCGGCGGAGGAGGAGCTCGAGTTTAGCTGCGATCTCTCGCGCGTTACTGAGGGTGTTGGAGTTTGGGTTCATTGGTTTCTATTTTCTGTTTTGTTTGCAAGGCAAGTTCTTTCTTTGAAGTAAGAGGTGATGCAGTGATGGATCGGAGGCGGCCCGTAAAGCGGGTGCGACCTGACGAGTTTTTCTTTGACGGAGGAGAGTCCAACAACACAGGGTCTTTCTTGAAGGTAAAGTTGTTATCTGATGTTTCATTTAAATCAAAGGGATGGCCTTGGGTTCAGCTCGGAATCAGAGGGATACTGGGACCTGATGATAGGTTGGCTAAAGCTAGCCTCTTGGCTGATGGTGGGCTGCTGATGAGGACAAAAAATGAGTCTCAGACTTCCAAGCTTCTGAAAGTTCAAATGTTTGCAGGTGAGGAGTGTCAGGTGATCAGGGATGAACGGCTCAACACCTCCCGGGGTATCGTGCGGGCCCACGACCTGATGGAACTGTCTGAGGAGGAAGTAGCTGGGTGGTTGAAAGAGTTTGGTGTCACAAAGGTCAAAAGGTTCACAAGGAAGGTCAATGGGCGCACTGAAAGGACAGCAACACTCCTTCTAACTTTTGATACCCCCACCTGCCCTTCTAGGATTTCTTTGGACTATGTCACTTACAAAGTTGACCAGTACATCCCAAATCCAATGATGTGTTACAAATGTGGTAAATTTGGCCATTCTGAAACGACATGCAAGGATGATCGTGTGTGTCTTGTCTGTGGGGAACCGAGTCATGAGGGAGAGTGCACTCCAAAGTGCATCAACTGTGGCAAGAGTGGCCACTCCTGTCAGGATAGGAGGTGTGAGATATGGGTCAAAGAGAGGGCAATATGTAGAATGAAAGTAGAACAAGACATTTCCTTTGGGGAGGCGAGGAAAAAATTTGAGGAACAAGCACAGAAACAGAGTCCAAAATCATATTCTGAGGTCCTTAAGGTACCACAGAGCTCATCCCCACAGGAGGAGGAACTGAAAACCAGGGTGGGTAAGCTTGAAGATGCAGTGACAGAGCTGGTGGGTTTGCTCAAGCAGGTTCTGGGCAAACAATTGGATCCCAAAGGCACAGACAAGGAGACAGAGCCTGCCTGCATCACTGACAGCGGTGCACAGGGTGTAGAGAGTAGTGGTGAGATTTCATGCATAGAGACAGAGAGTGATTCTATGGAGGTTCAAAAACATGGTGATGTCGACTCAGATGAAAGACCAGTGACTGGCTTTGACAAGGAGATTGGGAAGTGGCAAACTGTGAGGAAGGGCAAGGGAAAGAAGGGAGGCAACATGCCTGTCCTTCCAGCACTGACTGGGGATGACGAGATTTCGCCGTCCCCCGAGCTGACTCGATTCACTCGAGCCCCAGGGCGAGGTGAACGTGGTCGGCTCAAACCAATGCAGCGGGCCCACAGTGCTTCGCGACTTCCTTCGTCCAAACAGTGTTGGCAAAACAATTCCCATCCCCCCAACTCTTAGACAATACCCAGCAAAAGCATCATTTCTGTGTTTGTGGTTTTTTCTGGCAAATATCGAACAATTATTTCCAGTGATTACAGTTGCCTGCGTTTGTCGCAGGTTTTAGTCGGTACCCAGATTATGTATTAATTATTTCCTTATCCTGATTTGCATCTGGTGTCTGGTTTCAGTATCTCATGTGTTATATTTGATTTTGTGGTGGTCGTCGTCAGTCTGCCAGGCGATCCTTTTTTGGGTCGGTTTGGCGGCGGGGCTGATGAAACGGGCGTGTTCTGTCGGAGCCGGGATGGTTCGACCGGCGCCCGGGGCAGTGGGGCAGGTCACGTGACCCGATGTTATCGCGAGGTCGGCGGGCCGGCCCCGGGGCTAGGCGTGGGCCCGGTCCTGGGGCGCGGCGTGAGCCCGACCTCAGAGCCGAGAACGAGCGCAAAGGTGACCTTGACCGTGCTGGGTACTTTTCCGTCGAATAGTTAGTTAGAAACAGCGTTATGGTTAATAGTGTGAGGAGTTTTACCATCATGCAATGGAATGCTCGTGGAATGATTGGAAAATGGCCGGAGATTAAACCTGTGCTACTGGAAAAAGGCAAAGATGTGATTTGCATCCAAGAGTCACATTTTCTCCCTAATGATCCTTATGACTTCCGCCTTAATAATTACACTCTTTATAACGCATTTCCCAATACGGACAGGAGACAGGGAGGAGTCAGTATTTATGTTAATAATAAACATCCCCATTGTCAGATAAATCTGAATACTTGTCTACAAGCTGTTGCAATATCGGTCCCAACTGGCAGATGTCGGCTGTGTATTTGTTCGTTGTACCTTCCGCCGAACGAGCGTCTTTCGCAGCAGGTTCTCAGTGGTCTGGTGAGCCAGCTGCCACAACCTTTTATTATATGTACAGACGCTAACAGCCGACATTACATGTGGGGCGCAGATCGTTGTGACCAGAGAGGAGTCATATGGGAACGAGTTATTCGTCAACACGCACTGAATATTCTTAACGATGGCAGCCCGACACGGCTCGATGAATACTCTGGACTATGGTCCCATATTGATTTAACATTGAGCACGGGTAATATAGGTCAGTACTTGCAATGGTGTACCGACTCTGATCTATATTCCAGTGATCATTGCCCAATATACATAACATTTGATCTGCCTGGAACTGACACCTGTCGGAACACAGATTTCACGGGATGGAATACTAATAAGGCCAACTGGTCTGAATTTACTGAGAAGTGCGACTTACGATTTTGTGAAGGAATAGGAATGGAAAACTGCACAGCTATGACCGAAGCCTTACTGAGGGCTGCGGAGGATAGCGTACCTATGAAACGGAACAACTCAAAGTACACTTGTCCATGGTGGACTGAGGAATGTAAAGAGGCGATTCGTAGTCGGCGACGAGCACTCAACCGGTTTCGTCGTAGCCACCAAACTTTACACCTCATGGAATATAAAGCTGCTAAAGCAAGAGCAAGGCGAATTATTAGACAGGCAAAACGGGACTCTTGGGAGAAACTGCTACATATGTTCAAACATACCACCCCTATGCGACAACTATGGGACATAATACGGCGTTTTACAAAGAAGGAGCGCTACCAGCGGCCATTGCCCGTATTATGCATCAATGGCAATATGACAGACGATCCCAAAGAAGTCGCTGACGTGCTCGGGAATTTCTTCTCGGGGATGTCGGCGTCCATTAATTATAGAGCTGCCTTTAGGGAAAGAGAGAGTGTTTTGCTCGAACAGCTTCCATCGTCTGCGAGCGACAACGACGAGTGCTACAATGACATGTTTACTATTGATGAATTGAGATGGTCAGTTTCCCATTGTGGAAATACCTCTGTTGGGCCTGATAAGATTCACTACATGTTTTTTAAGCAACTTAATGATGAGCAATTGACACAGATCCTAAAGCTGATTAATTACATTTGGCTTTCAGAGCGTCTTCCCGACACTTGGAAACATTCCATTATGGTGCCGATCCTTAAACCCGGGAAGCCAAGTCACCAACCCGAATCTTACCGACCTATACAGCTTACATCATGCTTCAGTAAGGTCATGGAACGAATGGTTACCAGACGGCTGGCGTGGTTTATTGAAAACGGAGGAATGCTTTCAGCCATTCAATGCGGATTTCGGAAGGGACGGAGCACAGCTGATCATTTACTACGACTGGAGTCCAATGTTAGACAGGGCTTCTTTTACAACCGGTATACTTTAGCTGTATTCTTGGATTTTAAGAATGCGTATAATCTTATTTCGACGGCGGCCCTGCTGACCAAGATGCACGCACTTGGTTTCAGAGGGCGAATGATGCACTTCATTCGATCCTACCTTGATAACCGAACCTTTCAAGTCAGAAATGGCTGCCTCTCCGATACATTTGAACAGGACAATGGCTTGGTACAGGGTGGTGTAATTTCTCCGGTGTTGTTTAACATCATGATAAACGACATATTTGATGGAGTCCCCGGAAACCCAACATGTGCGCTGTACGCTGACGATTGTACCATGTGGGTGCAAGGAAGGAGAATTGCACAATTAGTTGACCGAATGCAGTTAGCTCTCGACCATGTTAGTTCATGGGCTGACAGATGGGGCTTTGTTTTTTCACCGCACAAATGCAATGCCATTATATTCAGACGATATATGAAAGCAAGGGAATTAGCCACTGTGCCCCGATTGAGACTTTACAACGAGCACTTGAGCTACTCCGAGGAGGTCAAGTTTCTCGGGGTTTTGCTCGACACGAGACTGAATTTGAGCAAACATATTAAATATGTGAAGGGAAAGGCAACTAAACGTATATCAATCCTAAGATGTTTGGCCGGAGGGAACTGTGGAGCGGATAGAACGATACTTTTGCGAATTTACAAATCAATGATACGGCCAATACTTGATTATGCATGCCAGATACTGGATGGTCCACGAAACAAAACAGTTGAGTCGCTTGATAGCATCCAGAATGCATGCGTGAGGATTGCTACGGGCGCGCTTAGAACCTCCCCCATACTACCTCTGATGGTGGAAGCAGACGTACCCCCTCTGAGATTAAGACGGTGCGATTTGACCTTACGGTACTGCTTGAGAGTGAAGAGTGACCCCAACCATCCATGTCTTGAATTGATATCACGCGGTGCATCGCTGCCTGCCATTGATAGTGATTATTTGAAGCGAATCGCAGGCTTCCCTGTGTATGAGAGGCTCTCGGCTATATGCGCTGAGACAAACTTTGATATGCCGAACGAATTGACGTCCTTATCTGGTACCATCCCGCCTTGGCACTTGCAGAAATGTGATCTGATTCGACTAACAAATGAGAGAAAAGCAAACTTATCTGATATTGAAGTGCAATGTCAGTTTAATGACCTCAGAGAGAGATATGCAACGTTCTCTTTCTGCTTTACTGATGGATCAAAGAACCATGATGGTGTTGGATGTGCGTATGTACTTGGAAACCGACGTGAAAGGTTTAAGCTGCCAAATAACTGCTCTGTATTTACGGCGGAAGCATTCGCTATACTACGGGCACTGTTATTTGTGGAGGAAAGTGGTATCATGAGATGTGTCATTTGCACGGACTCCCTGTCCGTGCTGACTGCTCTTCGTGGGCCGGTCACTTCCCATCCTACTATCATGAAGATTTTAGAGACCTGTCATCGATTGATTACTTTGTCTGATCGCGAACTTGTTATTTTGTGGATCCCTGGACACTGCAGCATCACTGGGAACGAGCTAGCTGACCGTCAGGCCAGGGAGGCTATCTCGCTGGATCAAATAGTAGTCCTTGAAATGGGTCCCAAAGAGCACTATCCCGATATTGGGTTGTCTGTCCGTCGCCTGTTCAATCAGTGCTGGCAGCAGTATAACTCAAACACCAACTTGAAGTTGATAAAGGATGAAGTTGGATCATGGTCATCTTGTAAACGCGCCAGTCGCAGGGAGGAAATCTTGTTATGTCGCATGCGAATAGGACATACACGATTCACTCACGGACATATAATAGATAGAGACCCCAGGCCTGAATGTAACCGATGTTTGTGTCCCCAGTCAGTTAAACATATACTTGTGGAGTGCCCAGTGTATGCTACTCACCGACAATCGATTGTTCAGAAGTGCCTTCAATTGGATGTACCACTTACCCTGAAAACTCTTCTGGGTGATCAACACCCGGACATCACTGACGAGGTTTTCAGGTTCCTACGTGCTACCAATCTCTTCAAAAAGCTGTGACTGCGATGATCTGCGATGAACTAGCTGTGATTATTTGTGTTTGAAGCTATCATGTGCAATTATTGGATTATGTTAGTCTACCTGCCGATTGGCGAACCCCGTCGCGACTGATGCGGAGGGCATGGCCGTCGATCTGGCACATTGATGCGATCTCCTGCTTTTGTAATTTGTGTTGATTGTTTACTTTATCGTCTCTCTGGTGTTTTGTGTTATGTGCTGCGACTGCTCTGTGGACGTCCTCATGTGTGTAACAGTCGTGCATTGTGTGGAAATGATTGGATGAATGGAGATTGAATGTTGAATGAGAAGGATGCGGGAGTGGAGATGCATCGGTGTGAGAGATGGATGCAGTTAGTGGATGAATGAAGAGCAGCCTGTACTGGTTTGCTACTGTAGTTTCTTTTTCTATATTTCTCTTGGATGTATACCTTCGTTAATCTTTTTTGTACCATCCGGTCCCTTCTTTTGTAGAAGTAGTCGCATAGTTCCGAAGTTGAGGCTCGTTATGATCGGTATGATCATGAGACATGAACCCTCCAACGCAAGTTGATAACTGAGTGAGGTACCAAGAGCAGACTCGTGCCTGAAGATCCTTTTGAACTGAATGGCTCGCTGGACAGATGCGAGGTCAAGAGCGTTATGATTGAATGACCCATAACCAGAAACCATCCTTTTTGTTTCTATTTTTAAGTTTTTAATCAGTTATATGTTAGAAACTAACCGTTACTAATATACTTCACCGGACATTTCCTGCCTGGACATATCCGAAGCCCGCGCATACATCCCCATGCCATCCCATGCTAAACCTATCATTTTCCTTCATCTGCTTAGTTTCCCTCTGCACCATCTGGCTGCAACCGATTGCAACATCTACTCGATCGAGACAAGAATGGCGCACTGATGACAACAACTACGGACGCTTGAGCCCAACGAGGCTATGCGCCCTAACCCAACAAGTACAAGTAAGTGATTGATAGTAAAGGGGCCGAGCTGTATTATATCAATAAAGGATAGAACAGACTTGGAGGCAACAGTAGGTAGGGTGAACGTGAAGATTAATGGGTGGTTTTGTTATTTACCTACATGTTTGGTGCAACAGCACAACAGAATGACATTTTTTAGTTAATGCTCATAGATGAAACTGAATGTGCAAACATCTTTTAAACACCCTCATCACAGATGTGGTGTTTTTGTGTGTATGTGTTGAGCTGCATTACAAGTGTAAAGTAAGTGTCCTTGTAGATATCATATAAGGTATTTTGTCTAGTTAGATGTTTTGGCTATGCCAATATTATCAGTAGTATGTTTCCAACCTTGGATTTTATCTTTCAGCTATGGACAAGCTAAAACGAGCTCTGACAGGTCGAGAAAATGACCCAGAGGACGAGGAAGCAGGGTTCTACACTCAGGTATTTATCTGCGTAATGATGGAATGTTAAGTGTAAAACGTATTTGCTAGCTTTTAATTCTTATTTCCAGGTCTTTTTGAGCTCACTTCAGTAAGTGCTTATTGAAGATTGCTCCTTTTTGGCTCATTGCATGAAATGAGACTTAATATGCCCTGCTTGTTTTTTGACATTGACATTGCAATTTGCAGGTAGCAGTACAAAGGTTGATCAAGTTAGATTGACCTTGCAGCATGCTTTATATATGCTGTAAGAGAGGCATGCTTAGAAAGGATTCCTGTTTCTAGGTTTCCTTTATAGCATATACCTATCCCTGTTATTTTCACATGCTGAAGTATGCTATTATGATTAAGCATGCCATTTAGAATGGTATTTCACAGTTTCTAGCCTGCACACAGGGTGCATGGTTATGTTTGTATGGATGATGCATCTCATTTGCACTTGCTGCCACTGTTTCAGGTTGTAGGCTCAACCACCTTGAGTTGGAGCACTCGCCTTAGAGGATTTATCATCTGTTTTGTCACCGGAATCATTTGCTCCATTCTGGGATCAGTTTTGTTTTGGTTCAAAAATGGCATTGTCATATTCTGCATCTTGTACACCATCGGAAACATTACAGCAATGAGCAGGTGAGTCCATGGTACTCTCCAGGTGCAGTTGATTCATATGGTAGGTCATGGTTGTGTCTTTTTTTTCATTTTGTTTGCCTATTTAACCCGTGCCAGGTGGGAGGGTGTGTGAACACCTCCCCCCTGCGGTCTGCCATGTCAAGTGACCTCACGTCAGAAAAAGTTTCAATCCTCGTCATAGCTACACTGACTAAACGATCGTCTTGAAACTTTCAGCGATTGGTAAGAGTAACAGTACCTGTGTACCTACAAGATGTATATCTTGGAATTTTGATATCGGTGACCTTAGATCAGGTCAATTTTGCGACCTCTCCATTAGTAACTACTTATTAGTACTCCCATTGACTCCATAGGTAAGTCAATGGGATAAAATTGAAATGTGCCCTTTTTGGAAATAGGACCGATGCTGTTCAAAACCCTTTCAAACATCGGTTCATGGGTAAACATAACACACTGAATCGGAAAAATGCACCTGTGACCCCTCTGTGTTCCCCTGAGGTCATCTCAGGTCATGACCAGTCACCAGCAGTTTTTTTGCTCTAACTTTTGATAGAGATGTGCTAGAGCGATGAAAATACGTCAGATGTATTCAGCTCGACGATACGGATCGACTGATATGCAATATGGCCTATCCGGTCAGGTCATGACCTTGTCTTGACCTTGACCTGAGGTCAAATTTTCAAAATGACCTTGCAAGGTCAAAGAATAGTTCACTCGACGCGTCTCGACGAGAGGAACACGATGCTGGCAAAAGTATTGCCGTGGATTGCTTGAATCAAAAGTTATTACCGAAAAACCTTTTTCGGGAGAACGGCTATTTTTAGTTCTTGCCCTATGAAAGCTAAACCGTTGACCTGAGGTACAAACTACAATCTGAGAACATTACTCAGAAAGTTATGTAAAATGGCTATCGAATGCGCTTTTCCGTGGCGCTGTAGCTTTATTGGTTCCCGAGTTAGCCGTTGGCAGTTTCAGAAATGTTGAACTGGACTTCATTTGTCCTTTGATGACCTCTGAGGACCTGACCTTTGACTTGACCCAAAAATGAGCTAAGTGGTTTCGTCATTATTTGTTATGCTCTTTCGAATGCCGCTTACCGCGTGTCGTTATGTGCCCCAGGAGCTGAGTTAGAGGGGGGAGGTTCAGACCCCCCCCCCCCCCCCGGCCCGGCGCGAAAGTCGCGGAGCACCGGCCCGGCGCGGGTTAATTTATTAAATGTCCGGACTGAATGCTAAGGAAATATTAATAGTGTTAACTATTGTCAGTTGTCACTTGTTGTCTGCATTATTTGCCTCCTGTCATGAAACATCTTTTTTAGGACCCTGGGGCAAATAGTCCAAATTTACTATGACATTAGCTTCAAGTGGGATTCCTGTGATTCAGCAATGTCATTACGGTTCGCTGATTTGGTCGACAGTTAAAAACTTGTGAGCTATTATGCCCTGTCACTAGGTAACTCTTAGAGATTTCTTACACGGCCGTGCCGCTTGCTTCAAGAATCCATGTCCGTCGGGAAAAAAAAATAACGGGCATTAAAACAGCTCGAACCGTTCTGTCACCATTGGTCATACCATCAAGGTTTCTTTCACTCAAGCTCCTGAGACCGTTTCACGAGTACCCTTAAGTGAAGCGGGTTCTGTGGCTGAAAATAAATCGTGAGAAACGAAGACAAGCTAGCAGCTTGGGAACATGCTTCTTTCGTCGCTCGTTTTGCACCTGAGTGTAGCTGCAGCTACTGCTTGTGACCTTCCGTTGTGCCGCTTCTTCAGCACACTGTTCCTGATGGGTCCCGTGAAGCAGCTGAAGAACATGTTTGCGAAGACGCGCGCCATCGCCACCGTGGTCGTGCTGCTGTCCATCGTGCTCACCATCGTCGCCGCGGCGGTGAGTGCCCTGTCGGCGGTGAGTGCCCTGTCGGCGATGAGTGCCCTGTGGCGGTGGTGAGTGCCCTGTCGGCGGCGAGTGCCCGCCTTCAGTGAGGACACTCGTTGCGTCTGGGAGTGCCCAACGTGAGGGGAAAAGGTCGTGACGTATATCAGTCGATCCGTATCGTCGAGCTGAAGAGACAGAAGACATCTGATGTGTTTTCATCGTTCTAGCATGCCCCTATTAAAAGCTACAATAGAAAAAAAAACTTAGTGGGACCTTAGTGACCTTACTCTCAGGGACCTTTAGTGACCTGAGATGACGTCGTTCTCACTTCTCAGGGATATGGGTAAATAGAGTTTACGGGTGAAATTTTTCGATTCAATGCTTCACGTTTACTTATAATCAGATGTTTGCGAGCATGACTTTTGTGGCCAGTGTCCCAAAATTATATTTTGGATTGGGTATCAGAGGGAAAAATTCCTCACCACAAGCCGGGGGATGAGAGTAGAAAATTGCTGGTCTTATAAGGCTCACAAAAGAGTGATAAGCGATCAGTAGCATAAATGTCTATATAATACGGTAGAATTTAGGATGCTAAACCACCATCCCTGCTAATGTTTTTTTTTTCTCTCGGTAAAATTTGGAGTGGAAATTGTTCTTAAAAATCGGAGGTGAGAGTGAAACATGATACTCATTCAGATGTCGTCTCCCACCCAAACCGAGAAGTTTTGGGGTGCTTCTTCCGTTCAAAGGAAACAGTACAATTTTCCCATTGACTTATAATGGAGATATCGCAAAATTGACCTGACACATGCTTATGACCTTATATGATATATGTGACCTTATACATACTGTTAGTGCTGCCCTCATCAATCGCCGAAAGGTTTAAAGCGATATGTGAGTCAGCTTGCTATGACAAGCATTGGAACGTATTCTGAGGTAAGGTCGCTTGACGTGACCTGGTGACCTGATCTGGGCTTGAAATTTTCGCAACATGTACAGAAAAAATGTATGCTAATGTGTGATTAAAACGTGGTGTGCTTTGGGATATTAGTGAAAACCGAAAGGGGGTGTTTATGAGCAGGGTGCTGTTTAAAACTGACACCGATGTACTGAACAGGGACGAAGTTTGGTTGGTGGGTCCGTGGTGTCATTCGCGATTGTATCCATTGTTCTCCGCTGTGTCCACTTCCAGTGACGTCCTTTGGCATCTGGTGAGTCCTGTATCCTCATAACATCTTCCCGCCTAACATGTACTACATAGTAAGGGAATCATTTTTTCATTTGTACATTTTTCATTCATTCATTTTTTTAATTTATTAACATTCTTTCGTAGGTATATGGAACACTATGTGCCTGGAGATGATTGAGTCGCATGTGCGAAAATATAACATGAATGAATAGTTTATTTTGAAAGCCTCACCAAACTATGACATTTATCCAGATTTATCCCGATCCAGATTAATTGTCTCGGAATAAACTTTTTTAGGTATTGTTATAATGGAGTAATTGTTTCTTGGCATTTTTGCGTATATTTGTAGAAAGACCGAGAACTCCTTCTGATACCTCCAAGGATCTAGATTCTAGAGGATGGCTAGGAAGGTCCCTAGACCGGCCCTGGGAAGGCCCGGTTCCTGACACATTAAGAAATACTCATTTTATTGGACTTTCTCTTCAGATACCTATTGCTCAATCCGCCACACTGTTGGAAATACTCTGTATAATTTGCACTGGTTCTTATCTCTATCACGCCTGATCGTGTTTTGCTCAATACCTTAAATGTCGGTACATATTTCCGGTGCTGAATAATAAGAGAGGCGTAATGTTTGCCTTATCGTACACTTCCCGGACTTTTCCTTCTTCAGTGGAATTAACATGTGCATTTAGATCTGGTTCGTTGAGATCGATTTTCCTCTATTTTTCACAATGTTCTCACGAGAATCAAGTGTAAAACGTCCTATGATTTCCACCAGTTATCAGTTGCTTGCTACATATTGTTGTTCATGTGTGGAGCCAAATTTTATCCTGGAACACTAGCGAAATATGTATTCGTTAGTATTATTCGTAGATGTGTTGTAAGTGATTTAATATATAACAATGATTTTCATGCCAACATCATCCCTTGGCACATGGCAGGCAACCCTTTTGCTCATCTTAACCCGCGCCGGGCCGGTGCTCTGAGATTCCGCGCCGGGCCGGGGGGGGGGGGGTGTCTGAACACCCCCCCCCTTCTAACTCGGCTCCTGGGCCACGTAGCGACACGCGGTAAGCGGCAATCGAAAGAACGTCCAAAATAAGGACGAAAACATTTCTGTCATTTTTTGGGTCAGGTCACCAGAGGTCACCAAAGGTAAAATGTTGACTATTTCAACATTTTGGAAACTGCCAACGGCTATCTCGGGAACCGATAGAGCTACAGCGCCGCGGAAAAGCGCATTCGATAGCCCGTTTACACACCTTTCTGAGTAATGTTCTCAGATTTGACTTCAGGTCAACGGTTTTGCCTCCAGAGGGCAAAAACTCCAAAAATAGCCGTTTTTACGAAAATCGGTTTGTCGGCGATAACTTTTGACTCAAAAGAGCCATGACATTACTTTTGATGAGGCATTACTTTTGCCAGCATCGTGTTCCTCTCGTCGAGACGCGTCGAATGAACTATAAGCTGACCTTGAAAAGTCAACTTGAAAATTTGACCTCGGGTCAAGGTCATGACCTGACCGGAAAAGGTCATGTTGCATATCAGTCGATCCGCAACGTCGAGCCGAACACATCTAAGGCGTTTTCAGCGCTCTAGCACGCCTCTATTAGAAGTTATTAGCGAAAAACTGTTAGATTCTGTTCGTGACCTGAGATGACCTCGGGGACATAACGAGGGGCCACAGTTGCTATTTTCCGGTACAGTGTGTCAATTTTACCTCCATCTCGATGTTTGAGAGTGTCTATAATAGCGTTCGTGCAAAACAGACGCTGTTCAATTTTCTCCCATTGACTTATAATGGAGAGGCCGCAAAATTGACCTGACCTTAGGTCACCGATATCAAAATTCCGAGATATAAATTTTATAAATAATGTGGTTCTTATCAATCGCTGAAAGTTTCAAGGCAATCGATCAATCGGTGTGGCTATGACGAGCATTCTTATTCTTTCTGAGGTGAGGTCACTTGGCGTGACCTGGTGACCTGACCTAAGGTGACCTGGGACTGAAATTTTCACAACATGTGCGGTAAAGATGCACGAACAGGTGAACAGGTGAGATATTTGCGAAAAACCACAAGGGGGGGGGGGTGTTCAAACACACCACACCCCCCCCCGGCCCGGCGCGGGTTAAAGGGACCCTCCCACCTTCAAAAAAGTTAATGAATTGGCATGAAAGTGATGTCCCTTGGTTCAGAAAGAGCGAAAACGAATATCTACCAAATTTCACCGAAAAATATTCACTGGTTTTCAAGATATTAGGCTTTTACTTTTGTTTACTTTTTGGGATCTCCCCTGTTACTAGCGACTTTATTTGGAAGCAATAATTTGGCAGCCTTAAAGTGCGGCAGACGTTGCGCGCAAAGCAACGTATACCACCACGTGTTAACGATGGTTTTGGTCTAAGATTTAAAAATCGTTAGATCTCCGCTGACGTCACAAATTCTAAGGGGGCATTCCAATGCATTAGCCCCTTAGAATCCGAAAACTGCAAGTTTGAAATTCCATATCTTCGAATTAAAGCATTTTTCGATGTTGTGAGTGCCCAAACCGGTATTTGCAGGCCATGGCCACCAATTTGGCTATCTCAACTCAAAACTAATGTTAAGGTGGGAGTGTCCCTTTAAGGGTGCGCTTCACCCATTCCGCCTTTTCTTCTTGCTTACAAACGCGTGCCAAGATGCCTGTGTGAGCTATCGTTAGGGCTGTCGTTTCCAAAGTCTTTGTATCACCATGACCATCATTGTTCCCTTCACCGGCAGCTGCACAAGAAAGGCCTGGTACTGATATTCTGCATCATCGAGTTCGTGGCGATGACGTGGTACTCGATCTCCTACATTCCGTTCGCTCGCGACGCCGTCATCAACACATTCAAGTCCTGCATCGGCTGAAATCGGACCACCACTCTCCGTCCTTGCGTGGCGACGACAAGAAGTCGGTGCGATGCCAGGCTCCGTCAGAGGCTCTGGATCTGTGGTGTGGAGTCACTGTTGAGTGTTAATTGCAAACCGGTCGAATGCGACCGTGGTTTTGTACGACGCAGGCTCTTGATCTGTCTTCCATTGTGATTTAAGACACGAGGTATCGGAATGTTGTGAGATGCTTACGGAGATGAGGCGTTGGGGTAAATGATTAAACTGGTTAAAGCGTGGAGCGGCGTTGGCCAATCACCGTTCTACCGTTGTTGGAACATGCACATCTACATCGTTGTTTGCTCGTGGTTCAATTTTGTCATCGCCGAAGGGCATTTTTATGGTATGTAGCTTCGTGTCAAATTGCAGGTGAATGTTGTCCTACCTCTCAAATGCTTTTCGATTTGCTTGAGAACGGGGTTTCGTATAAATCCTGCCGTCCGATAGCCGCAGAATGTTTTGTTAACGCCTGTCCCCTGTATCGATGTAACTTTCAGTTAAATAAGTAATCAAATCAAACTGCCTGTATATTATAACCCTCGATTGGTGACCTGACCTTTGGTCTTCTACATGTTGTCGCGATACCATTGTTTAGTGTTTGATGTGCGCTGTTCCACGTGTGTCATCTCCTCGTGTGACTATCACTTACGCACATTGTAACAGGTGTTTACTTTGAATGCAAATAATATATCTTATGCGATGTGAATGATTCATCATGGAGAGCGCATTTAACACTCACGAGGTTGATGCCTTCAGGGCTAGCAAATACCTAAGCACTAACAACCAATATTGCTGCTCTACAATGGCGCACTTCGCAGTGATTTGCCATACGCAATCAGATTACAAATGCTAGTTCGGATGGACCACACGATTGGAACGACTTCCAGCTTTATTGACGCCAACAACTATGGCACACCAAAGAGCGTTCTCAGCATTACCTGAAATAGCTACTGCACAGACACCCTTCGTCATCACGTCTCTAAGAATCACGTCCGTAAGAACATAGCGCAGCGAGCATGCTTTCATTATGCACAGCACAAATATAGACAGTTCCAAGCCTCGGAGACGGTCTGTTCGTCAAAGGAGTCACCTCACAAGTCACAACTGATAAGTAAGTGCAAGTAGAAGAGCGCACCTATCGGGCTCACATCTAGCACCAGCAGAAACACATTCGACGGAAATCAGATCTTCGGATAGAATAGAACGCTCATCTATCTTAAACGTACTTTGCATACAAAACACAGGGTATAAACTCAGACAGTAATTCTATTTCTTGAAATAGGTGTATGTTGCTACCCGCTACTCAGGTAATATGTCACACGTATAAAACAAGCAGCATACAAAGCATTGTCTGAAAGAAAACGCGAGCACTCGTTCAAACACCCTGTACATGCATTTAACTACTGCGATGAAAGAGCCACAGGGCATAATGATGAGGCAATGGTAAAGCAACTACGCCGCGGCAGTACCTATTCTATTGATGCTTGTTGATAGTATCTTGATGAATGTGTGCCAGATATCGTCAGAGAATGCTTACTCCCGGACTGGTGCGGCTAAAGAACAACGCGTCTTTTAAGTCAGCTCCAGGCGTTATCGGCGGGTGATTTCAAGATCTGACAGTCCACACCTCATCACGGATCTTTGCGTCGCTGCGCTCCGTCCCGACTCGATCCATCCCTCTCCCAGGGTTCCGTGAGAACGTTCATCCCCGGCTGACGACACTCGGCCGATGCGGCGGAGATGCGACGCTCGACGATCTTGACGCACGCACACGACGTGGCCGGACGCGTGAGAAGATCTGCGCTTTTCGAGGCCGCTCCGCCGCCGCCTTCACCCGACATCCGGCCCCGAACCTCGCAGCTGTGCCGGATCTCTCGCGAGAAGCCACTTTTTTGTTTGTTTTTGCGTTCCATCTGGCGGACGCCGAGCCGGAACCAGCGGCGAAGTAGTTTATGAGTGCAGATAAACAGTCTGCGAATGTGAGGTCATGTGAAGTTCGCAGAGGACTGCACTGACCAGTGGGGATGCGATCGCCGAGTCCTTTTGCCGATGTTTGATAGCTGGCTCGTATGAACGCCGCTGGTCTCGTATCGTAACCAGACATCGCTATCCCAGATCTATGACAGGCCGATATCTTGCATGACCCATCACAGTCGGTGGTCCAGGATCTCACATACTAGATCTCATGTCTAGGACCTACGTCAGAATACGAGTGACTGGTGGACAACACTCGCAGCTCCGGCATTTCATGTCACTTTGCATCGGTAGACGGCATTCGATCTCTATAATAGTGCTGGTGATCCAGCCAGACGCAAACGAAGTTGCCGCAGTACTGATGGCATCAAGCGTCCTTACCGCCTCTTACGTTGACGTAGTCATCATATTTTTTTCCTCTCGTTTCACGTTTGAACTGGCATCTGCCAGGCGATACGACCAGTCGCTGCTCCGTTTTCTTCCGGTCGCTCACGGCTCTGCGGCGCCATTGGAGCCGGCGGTGCCGGTGGATCCAGTGGAGCCGCTCGAGCCACTGGCGGCCGTGCCGGTGCCAGAGCCGCCCGAGTTGGTGCGCGTGCTCGCCACTCGGGTACTCATGGTGGCAGGCGAGGAGACGGCCTGCGGCGCGCGCGCCGCGGCGCCGGCCTCCGCGCCGCCGCCGCCGCCGCCCCTCTGGTGACCGTCGTGCTGGGAGTCGTGGCCGAACGAGCGGCTCAGTGACTGGAGCGCCGTCTTCTTGATGTACTGCAGAACCTTGGGTCGCAGGATGAACGCCACGAAGATGAAAAAGCCCTGACGGTGCGAAATGATTGTTAGTTTTACTGTTCGGGCAAACCACATACATGCATGTGTAAACGGGCGCGTTGCCGACAGGTGGGGCGTTCGTGATCCAGGGGCGTGAAAGTATTAATGACTTCCTTGACAAGTTATCACTAATGCGACGCAGCAAGCTATCAATATCCGTTTGTTGAACGAAACGATGAACATTCAAAGTGGCTTACAAGTGGACGATTCATTCATTGGCATTACCGATCCTTTCCTAGATCCGCATGCTTTGTGCTCGCACCTGACCATCTTCCTTATGACTACACGGAACGAAATACTAGGTACTGGAGGAGGAAAATGGTTGCCTTTTTACGGCTCGCACACCTAACCTCGCCGTCCACTGACCTGGAGGATGTTGATGACGTCAAAGAAATACCAGACGGGACTGTCGCCGATGAGGTAGGACAGCAGCTCGGCCACCCAGGTGATTCCCATGATCAGGAACAGCTTGGCGCACAGCTTACGTCTGGTGGATAGAAAGGCGTGCAAGTCGGTCAGACACGATGTATTGTTGTCAGGTTGGACAAACACACATGATTCAGATGAATGTGATCCATTTCCGTCGATGAAATTAATGATATGGATACCACAGTCATTTTCTGTTCGCGATTCATATTTAACATCCTCTACTAACATCTGTTCGGTAAAAGGGTCATTGCAGTTCCAGAGAAAAGAGATCGCATGGGACCGCAAAGAAACGCTATATTTAAAAATGAGAAAGACATTAATGGTCATATACACTCTATAGCTCTATAGCACTTCATAGTCGTAGCAAGAGTGCTGGACCTGAAGCTATTTATGTGCATGGCAAGCCATATGGAATATCCTGGAGGTTGTTTGGACTGGCGTTGTTTAGGTAGAGTGGTATCATCACCACACGGAACGAAGGCGGATCTGCAGCGCTGGAATCTGGTGCAAATCAGCTCTCCCGAAAGAGTCAGTGATGCTATTGTTTATGTTTATGATAAATGATGCTATTGCGGATGTAGATGTAGATGTAGATGTAGATCGGGGTACTACGTATAGGTATGTTACCAACAACTAATGTATCGGATGGGATCATAGTAAGCCTCATCTAAGGTCGCATCACCTCTTGCCCTGCTGCTTGGCGCTCTGCTTGCTCATGGCACTGGAAGCGTCCTTGCCGGGCATCTTGCTGGGGACGCTGAGGTTCTTTACCGTCAAGATGTAAAGCAGGAGGCAGATGGCGAGCAGCACTCCGATCGGGATGTAGAAATACGCGATAAACGCTTTCCGATCTGTAGAAAAAGAAGCACATGTCAAACGGGTTTGTAACTGGGACTCAAAGATTGCCTCATGCGAGCATTATAAAGATGGTCACATTGCGTGCCACCAATTATTATTTCTGATGCGGTCAGATTACTAAACCCACCAGTATGCGGGAATGTCTCGTGGCGTTCTATTTCGCACAGTCATCGAAGTGTTTCAAGCTCGGCGAGTCGGCGACAGCCGTCCGGGTTGACTGAAGGGTGGGATCTGCTAGCTAAGGTCTTAATGGTCGCCTACTTAATCTAGTTCGCACGGGAGTGAGATTGTTCCTTCCTTGACTTCGACATGGTAACCTTCTGTCGTACTGACTTAAAAGTCACCGTCCAGCACAAGAAGAAGATCTATTCTGCTCTCCTCTACGCCTTCCAGCCAACTAAACTCACAATCCCCCTCCTGGCACATCCACAGCTCGCAGACACACATCTCACATCATCACCAACCAATCGCGCTGTCATACGTCATATATCTCACATCATAACCAGCCAATCATGCTCCCATACGTCATGCCCGGCCCAGCTACTTGCAGGGTGTAACTCGGCCCTGCCGGCATCAGATGCCGGCGGCTATGACCAACGCTGGGTCACCGGTTCACAGCTCGACGCTGAAGCTGACTCACACTTATACGGCTCACATTCATCCTTGCGTCACGCTACATCACCCCCTGGTTCTGAAGAACCACATTACTCTACATGTTACATGTCATTCAATCAACGCATCAACTACATCCTCTGGCACACCATCGCCATATCTTTCCGGCTCTCTTCGAACACGCGTACCACGCCGCAGCGTCGCAGGCACGAACGTTTCACTCTCGTCTGCGGACACATCGGACCCGGTCGGTGGATCGGGGTCCGGGGACTGAGCGACGCTGGGCGGCCGCGTGTCCGACTCCGTCACATCACTCGGAGCTGGCGACACACACACGCCATCACACTCGCTGTCATCAGACCACTCCACCGTTGGCGCTCGCAGAGCCCCTGGCCTCGGACATTCAGGGACGGTCAACCGATGTCGGAGGTTTCGCACATGTCGTGGGACATTATCGACTTCGATTGTCTGGGCCGAAACGACGCCTGTCACAATACCCTCGTCTGACTTTACAAAACATCGGTCGCCCCGCCGCCGAACCCACACCTTGTCCCCTACCTGGTATACACCGGGTTTCTTCAGCGGCAGGGCGTCACCAGGCTCGTCTGAGGTTCTGCGGGGCGTCACGTCAACGTCTCGGCCAGGGTGTCGAAGCACCCCGTTGATTGGAGCTGTGGCCGGGTCACTGCCATCCTTCGGTGTCACGTTGTATCGATGGACTGCTTCAGCAACGGAGCAGGACTGCCGGGCCACCATCACTTTGATGGTACGATGATGGCGCTCGACGATGCCGTTCCCGCCGGGCTCGTAGGCAGCGCGGAACCGGATGGATACGTCCCAGCGAGCCGCGAACGCTAACATGACCCGGCCACGGAACTCTGTCGCATTGTCCGTGAGTATTTCCGCCGGGGCTCCACGCTCTAGAAACACGTTCTCCAGCTCACTCACAATCTCCAGAGCTCCTGCCCGGCGAAGCCGTCGCCATATGGCGTACCTCGACGGCCCGCAGTCCACCAGCGTCAGGTATGGGTGGCCGTGCACGTGGGTGACATCCATGGCCAGGCGATCCCACGTGCGTTCTGTTCCGAGTGACCCACCGGGCCAGCGCTCCGGCGCCGGGTCAATCGAGGCACACGTCTGGCATCGTCTGACCACGTCTCGCACAGCTGGTTTTGACACCCGCCTCACCCCCAGCTCACGTCGGGCGTACCACAACGTTCTCCTCACTCCTTGGTGACCGATGTTTTCGTGGATGGTGCGGATGTCACTCGCTGAGGCACTTGTGATGGCAGCGACAGCCACCGGTTGTGCTTTGGACGAATCAGTGGTTGGCTGGTCGGCAGTCTGCAGCCAGGCGTTGGGCACCCGCGTCACCTCATCAGCACGGTTGACCGCTGACGCGACCAGCTCGATAGTGACCTCCAGTTCGTACTCGATGACGAGCTGACGGAAAACAGCCACGCGCCGTCGGATAAGCATTTCGGACTGCGCCTTGGTTCGCAGCCTTGCCTTACCCGACAGCGCGTCACTCAGCCAGCGGTGCACCGTCACCGAGTCTGTCCGGAGCGTCAGGCGACGGAAGCCCCATGCTACCGCCAGGTTGACACCGTTGAGAGCGGCATCCAGTTCTGAGATATTGATGTGCACGTCCCTCTCCGATTCGGCACGCAGCCAGGACGCGTCCTCGATGATGGCGCCCGTGTCAGGGTCAGTGAGCACGACACCGCGGGCGATGGAGCTGGCGTCGGTCCACACCACGACGCTCGTCCCTGTCACACACCACTGGCCGCGTGCCGGGTCACATGCTCGAAACCGCCGTGACACCTCATCCACCTCACGTTGTAGTTCCTCGCTGACGATCGGAGTGTCCCAGTCCGGGCTGAGGCGGTTGGCAGTCCGCTTCATCCATGCAGCGGCCGGCCGCAGCCAGCCTGCGACCGGCACATGAGATGTCAGCTGGCCGGCCCACGCGAAGACAGATCGCCGCGTTAGCACGGGTGGAGCCTGCGTTGGTGACTCCCCGTCCCTACTCCACTGGAGTGCCGGCCCGTCGCTCTCGGCGACACGAAGGCCCAGCATACGTGCACCGGTCGCGACCCGCTCCGGCGGCTTGCATGTGAGCCCGAATCGAGCGAAGTGCTCGGCAACCTCATCAGCCGAGACCACCGCTTCGTTGACCAGCAGATCATCGGCGTAAGGCAGCACTGCCTCTGCCAACCCGGGGCTCTGTGCGAGCACCTTCCTGACCACAGCCTTCATGATCAGAGGCGCGATACTGAGCCCAAAGCCGACCCTGGTCAGGCAGTACCGCCGCCCTTGCACGATGACTGTCTGGTACGGCCACAGGGCCGGGTCCACACGAAGCTGAAGAAAAGCTTTCTTCAGATCCAGGACAGCGACCCGGCGTCCGTGACGTCGCCACCTTCGCAGCTCTTCCACGCAGACGTCAGCGTCGGCTGTGTGACGTGTCAGGTGTTGATTGAGTTCCCGATAATCTAACACCGGCCGCACCTTGTCCTTCGCTGCCTGAGTAACCACCATCAACGGGATCAATCCCTGTGCGGGACCGTACATCGTCTCATCGTATTCGCGCAGCCAGCCCTCACTAATCCACAGCGCCAGCTCTGCATCGAATTTTTCACGCGCACAACTCGGCACACCGTACTGAGCTATCGAGTTTCCAAGCGGGGGCGGAGCCACGCCACCGGCCCATTTCCAACGGACTGTCCACACATCATCGAACACAGCCGTGAAGTCAGTCTCGTCAATCCTTAGCTCCGGCTCCGTGTCGACCGCTCGACACACCTCCCGCTCCGGCGGGACCTCACGCTGCACCACAGCAGCCGTGTCGACCGCACGACACACCTCCCGCTCCGGCGAGGCCTCACGCTGCACCACAGTAGCCGTGTCGACCGCTCGACACACCTCCCGCTCCGGCGGGACCTCACGCTGCACCACAGCAGCCGTGTCAACCGCTCGACACACCTCCCGCTCCGGCGGGGCCTCACGCTGCACCACAGCAGCCGTGTCGACCGCTCGACACACCTCCCGCTCCGGCGGGACCTCACACTGCACCACAGCAGCCGTGTCGACCGCACGACACACCTCCCGCTCCGGCGGGGCCTCACGCTGCACCACAGCAGCCGTGTCGACGCTCGCAACTGGGTTGTCGCTCCCGAAGCGAACGGATCCTCCACTTACACTCACGCCCTGCAGGGCGTCAATGCCGGTCATGCCCAGCAACACGTCTACGCCCAGCAACCGGGCCGGTACGACGACCGCCCGCACACTCACTGTCGCCCCGCGCACTCCAAGGCTGACCACAGCCCGCCCACAGCACAGCACCGGGCTGTCGTTGACAGCGACCAAGCTGGCGTCACTCCGCTCCCAGCAGGACACCATGCCCTTCCACACCACTGTCTCGCTGCACCCTGTGTCGACGAGTGCTCGGCACTTGCGCCCATTTACATTGATGTCGATGATGGGGGCTCTTGGGTCACTGCGGCAGCTGGCGACGGCGGAGCCCGTGGCGCTGATGTAGCGCCGTCGCCGTGCCCGTTTGGGCAGAGCCGGGCGATGTGGCCTACCTGGTTACAGGTCCAACACCGCAGTGGTGGACGGCGACCCGTCCCTCTGGCTCCCCGCTGCTGCTGTACATATGATGGCGGCGGCTGGACGACAGCCACCGATGCAGTCGCTCTCTCCCTGGCCGCCATCGCCAACGTTGACCTAGCGACGGCGACGGCTCGCTCCAAGGAGAGAGTTTCATCTCCAGCACTGTTACGTACTGTTAGCCGCACCTCCGGCGGCAGACCTTGCAGGAAGTGCGTCGTCATCACTTCGTTGGACACTGAACCTATGAGGGATATCAGCCGCTTGACTGATCCCAGGTAGGCATCCACAGACTCGCCCGGTTGTAGACGTCGGTGATACAGCTCATACATAGCCGCGTCGGGTCCCAATGCAAATGCACGATGCAGTTTTTGGCGGACGATTGCAGCATCCCGCTGCTCGGTGGAGGAGAGGGTGGCCCACACCTCGTACGCCTGGTCCCTCAGGCGTGTGGGTATGACAGCGGCCAGTGACACACGACGCAGGGCACACAGCTGTGTCGCCTGCTCCAGCCATCTGACGACGTCACCGCTGCCGTCGAACTCCGGTATTGCCCGCAGATCGAATGCAGGCGCAGGAAACTCTGGTTCCATGGTATTGGTACCAGCTACCGGTGCACCACTGCCCTCTTCTACGTCAGACATAATCACAACACTTAGTCGAGAAGGCCGAAATAGCTTGTCGTACTGACTTAAAAGTCACCGTCCAGCACAAGAAGAAGATCTATTCTGCTCTCCTCTACGCCTTCCAGCCAACTAAACTCACAATCCCCCTCCTGGCACATCCACAGCTCGCAGACACACATCTCACATCATCACCAACCAATCGCGCTGTCATACGTCATATATCTCACATCATAACCAGCCAATCATGCTCCCATACGTCATGCCCGGCCCAGCTACTTGCAGGGTGTAACTCGGCCCTGCCGGCATCAGATGCCGGCGGCTATGACCAACGCTGGGTCACCGGTTCACAGCTCGACGCTGAAGCTGACTCACACTTATACGGCTCACATTCATCCTTGCGTCACGCTACACCTTCCCAAGATATATCAATATTTACCTATTACGCTGGTTTGTGGAGTCGAGAGTCGAGGCTGCCTGCGCCATAAAATGGTACGTTTGATTACTTAGCTTCCGCCTCCCTCTGGCAAAGGCAGTTATTTGCCTTGTTCATTGGGTACTACCTGCACTTTCTTGCCTCATTTACTTTACTATTCGTTGAAGCTGTGTTCTCCTTTGTGTCCTAGGAACCACATGAAGTCACCAAACTACTAGTTCTCATCGTACCCGTCTCAAATGCGTAGCCTACAATCGCCTTTGTCTTTGTGATTGTCAGTGCACGACTTCGACAAACGCAGACGCCAGGTTATCGGCTGGTACTCACTCTGGAAGAGACAGCGGTAGCGTCCGAAGGCCGGCTTGATGACGCTGCAGTTGTCGATGCCCGGCGCCAGGTCCATAATGAGCGCCAGGCTGGCCATCAGCAGCGGACAGCCCCAGGCGTACACCGCGTACAGACGGAAACGCTTCCTGCCAGAGGTCCGCTTGTCGGCCCTGTGGGCAGACATCCAAACCGGGTCAGTGGTGGTGGAGAACACGCGAGGCGTCCACGGCGGCCGCACTGTTGTCGTGAGGTGTCGTTTTCCTCAATTAGCTTTGTGGTGCCGTGCAACGGTGTCGATTATTTCAAGGCGGTCTGGTTTAGCACAACACCAGGACACATGGCGTCATGAATTGTATTGATACCTACTCGCACGCGCCTTTGGATCAGCAGAAACATATTATTTGCTATTGTGGTGTGTCTTCGTCCATGTTTGGTTATGCAGATTAGGTACAAGGTCTTGGCCAGTTAAGTTTTATTCGGACGACGTTCACAGACATCGCTCGTTTAAGATATCTCATGTAATGCACTCATCAACGACGCAACGGCGACCATCAACATCCTATACCACCCTCCCAAAATCTCGTGAGCGGTTGTGGGACGCTCCGCGCAGGGCTGCCAATCGTCTGGGTACGTCGGCAGCCAACCAAGGTCAGACCCGGCGCGAGCCTGATGCAAATGAGGCTCTGTCACGCGACTGATCGGCCGGAGCCGGTTAAAGGTCGCCTCACTCCGCCGTCCGGCCCCGGCCATCGCTGGGCGGCGAATGTGCGATAAACACATTGCTTGCCGAACCACTGGACACTCGGCGTGGAACAGACTAGCGGTGCAGCAGCGAGCAGGCCGTTCGGGAAAAAAGCGAGGACTGGTTTTGACGCGGACATATGTGGTTTGATAGCTCAGTCACAGTTCCGTATATTATTTTAGTTACGCCTTATTTTCCTAGCTCATCCATTGTCACTTTGGGTCTGTCCCGCGCAGAGGCGGATCCAGCTCAGAGTTTTTTTTTGGGGGGGGGCAAACCATAACAATTTATCGATTCTTTCCATGCCTCGTCCATAGGCGTAATGTTAAAATCATGCCGTTTGGGAGGGGCAAATGCCCATTTTGCCCCCCCCCCTGGATCCGCCACTGGTCCCGCGCTTCTATACCGCAATTTTCTATCGTGGACTGTGGCATGCACACTGCTTAAATGTTAGCATTTAGCGGAGAAGTCGTGAGGGACTGAGGGTCTACATTCGAAGAAAGCATCAACATGCCCGACATCCTCGGCATGATCAAGTTTAGGTAGTTTCTCCCGCTTGCAATTTGCCTTCCTGTCGATAATGCTAGATTCATATTTAAACATAATTTCGCTCCAACTTTCAAAGCTCAAGATAGCGCCGCCGAAATTTCCAGCGATGTAATGGGCCCTTCGATAATTGTAGCGTACATATAACATGCCAAGAAGTTTGATATGCGCCGTCTTACTCGTTCAGGGTCATCGGGCCATCACATAGAAATTTTTAATGTGTTCCACGACTGGCGAAGGGGAAGTCCAAATGCTTGTAAACCGTTTCACAGTCGGGTTTTGCTATCGGGCAATGTAGGTATCTTGTATTTCATCTTGTTTCCCTGGATAATCAGCTTTGCCGACCCTACCGAGCTCAACGAAATTTCCGTTGCATTACAATGTCTTGTTTACATTGTCACGGATCTCGTGTCCTGAACACCTGACGGCCTGTTGAACAGCAGGTCGCCAAGCTGATGCTGTACCTATGGCCATTAGACCATCGTGGTCACATCACACCGTGGCTTCACGGCCAGACAAAGAGCAGTAGCGCCACTGCAGTGCCGAACCCCTGAAGCCTGCATGTCGGCCGTGTCTGCGGTCGGGACGGCCTCGCCTCAGTCCCGTCTGTGGCACCATTGGTCACCGGCCACCGCGGCCGTTCCCACGTGTCCCCGTGAGCAGCACCGTGTCGCGGCTCGGCGCCGTGCAGGGCCACCGCCGAGGGCAGTGGAGGTGCCTCCATCCGCAGAGCGGCTGCCGGGCGCCCCGCCGGCCCCTGCTGTCTGGCCATGGCGGCGGAACTCTGACCCTGTACCGAGCTCCAGCTGAATGGAGGGGCTTCACGGCCAGCCGGACCTGCATACCTTCGAGCCAAGCGGTAGTGGAGCGTAACTGGCTGATTACGACCGCACCAAAACTCTGGTCGTCTGTAGCTTTTGTCTGTGATTATACAAGATTGCCATAATACTATATTTAGCCATCGCATTCATATGGATAAGATTTTTCCTCTGGATTTTCCGAGACAAAACTACAAGCGGGTATCTGTGTGATTGATTGTGGGAGGAAAAATGTTGTACAATTCATGCACATCGTAACATTTTAAGCTGATGCAATGGGCACTGGGCATAGGTAGGCTTGGATGCATCCTGAAAGAGGCATTATCACAGCCGTAATCACATGTCCCTGTTCCTGTCCTTGAATTGACCGCACCGACGCCTCATCTCAAGAAATCGGATTAAGGATCGCCATCGATGAAAATATTCCTCACTTTGAGATCACCAAACGTGACTGCATTATAGGCCGTAAGCCTCTCGGTCATAAAGTGAAATCGCTGGGAAAATCGATGCTCAGTGACGTGGGCCCGCATCACTGGTTGATCCCATTGCAACGTTCACAGATACATATTACGTTGCGTGAGACAACCCACGTCGGGAGAGTCGGCCCGAGAGTCGGCCGGCCATACCAGAGCTGTTGTCCAACATTACCACTGACTTAAACAAAGAATGATTAATAACTGCCCATCATGACCAAAGTGAGAGATAACTCGTCAGCCATGGAATAACATCTATGGCACCCAGAACGTAGCTTTGCTTTGAACAGCAGACGGCATGTTCAGATACTGAGCGCATCACTCATCGTCAGTCACGGATGCGGTCGGCGCAGCCAGGTAGCGGGGCGGCTTGGAACGATGCATTGTTCTAATGCCGTGAGATCGGGCGTTATCGGAGCAGCCGTGATGAGGCGCGCCCTGCACGTGATGGCCTTCTTTCCTGCGCAGCACGACGGCCGCCGATACAAAGAGAGAGACTGATCCGCCGGCCGACCGAGTCGTGCTGAGGATCATGACAGTGATCAGCTAGATCGGAAACGCAAGGCAAGGTGCCTTCAAACTGTGCCGCATTCAAGGTGACGCATGATATGGAGAACTGCTTGATGTCCAGCCGTCTCCCACTGGCACCGCTGATGCTGAGTAGTTTTGGAGCGAAACCAGCTTATAGTTGGCAGTACCGACAGGAGATGAAAATGTTTTTACATCCGGATATAAACTTATCTGATCCTGTTGCATAGTAATGTCTCGAACACTGCATCGGTCTTTGTTGTGTAGAGCTTCCTTCCTTACTCTGTAGTTTTAAGTTTTTGCAAACGCCTTGGTGAGGTTTCTAGCCACAATTATTTCTGCGGTATCCTTTTACCGTAACGCTTCGCCGGCGTCCAAGGCTGCCGGCACAGGCACCGTCCTTACCAACGCTAATCGTTCACCGTCAGCGTCAGCCCGACCGGGTCTGAGGCCGGGACTGGGGCTGGGGCCGGTTTTCCCCCGGCCGCAGACGGACGCTCCACGCGGCGCTGGCAGAGCGGCGCAGGCGAGCCTCCTCCCGCGCTCTACCCGACCCGCCAGCGAGCCTCCTCCCACACTCTGCCCGACCCACCGGCTACCAGCCCGGAACTGCCGGAGAGCGCACTGCGCCGCATCTCGGCCTCAGCCGGCTAGCCGCGCGTGATCCGCCCAGCCCCGAGGGCCACCCGCTGCTCGGCAGAGACGAGGTCGGGTGGAGCCAGGGCGCTGGCCATCGGCCCCTGACCAGACGTCTGCAGTTGCACAGGATGAGTGGCAATGACCACACCCGTAACTGACCTCAAGGCCTCCACCTCCAGTCGCCACACGTGAACATTGTCTCGTGCGACTACTAGCTTCGCGAAAACCGGCGCATTTCCGATCATGTTGCGCAAGGTCGCCTTTGTTCTCTAGCCCGATCGTCGTGCAAACAAGTAAGTTTTCATCGCTGCTGTTGGTTTCACCCCCCGCCCCCTCCGCAGCACACACCACACCACTCAGCCGATTCCCAGTGACGCACACGTCGTTAGCGCCCCGGCTGATCCTCAGAAGGCGTGCGTCAAGCGGGATCGCCGACCGCCGCGCCGGGCCGTCACGCCAGCCAGCCGTGTCATTGCTGCCTCGTCAGGGCCGCGCAGCGCACCTGAGTCAGGCGCGAGCGGCGGAGCCCCTCCACTGGCCACGGCCCTGGCACATAAACCCGTCTCCGGTCGGCGCACGCAAGGCGACGAGGGGGTAATGGTCCGTTCAGCCATGCAGCTTAACCCTCGCCCGCACATGGGGGGGTTGCCACCCCCCCCCCCCCCCCAGGTAGTCTTTCTGCTCTGCACTCAACATTTTTGGAGCTAGAAGGCTGATTTTTCGTATAGCTGCTCCTCTATCCTTTCTTGATGCTCACTGAAAATTTCAAGTGTCTAATTTTTGGTTTCGGAGATATGACCTTGTTTTTCAGGTCATGTCATGACCCAAATGGCCAATTCTCAACATCTTTCGTTTGCCATGGGCCTTGTGAGCTTTTGACACCTTGATTTCGGCCTTTTTTGCCAGTTTCACCTCCCAACTATCATGGAACATGTTGTTCGACGATGTACAGGTGTCAAGGTCAGGGTCATGGTCATTGGTCAACCTAGGTCATCTAAGATAATTGCGTTTTAGGCAAGCTGAATTTGCTTTTTGTGAATTTTTTTTTTGACTGCATTTTTGGTAAAAGCTTCTCAGATCATGATTTCATGTAATATGGACACAAAAACAATCGGTGCACACAGCAGTATACACACAGACACACACAGACATACAAACACATATAATTGACCTTGACCTAGCTTGACCTGAAATGACCTCAGCAGCAAAAATCTGGTCGGGTAGTGTGAGAAAGAGGTTCTAGCTGGCTTGGCACCAGAAAACAGCATCGTCATCGGTATATGATAAGCAGCGCACTTGATATCCAACGGTGACCCAAAACAGCAACATTTTTAGTTTGACCTGACCTGGAAGGTCAATGACTGACCTGAGAAGGTAAAACTGGGTATCATTGGATTCGTCTCTTCCCAAAGAATCTTTTTGGTCTTTACCGCTAAGCTCTATCTCCAACAAGAACAGGGGCGGTCGCAGACTTGGAGTTTGGGGGGGGGGGCAACTTGGCAAAGGGGCCCCTGCGCTGACCCGGGGGGCCCGGTGCTAGCTCAAAGGGGCCCACGGGCGTAGTGCACGGGTACAGAAATCCAGGCCATGGCCGGTGAAACGGGGGGGGGGGGTAGGGAGCGGCACCCGAGCGGAGGCTCATTGCGAGCTTTGAGGGTGCACCATGTCGAAAAGGTACCGATAAGTGCATTTTGAAGCATTGATATTGTCAATAATTCACGCAACTGTGAATGGACTACCGCAAAAGTAAAGGCGGCTTAGGCGGCTAACTTTGCGGTTTTCTAAGATCATCGTGCTAAAACTTTTGACAGTGGGTCATCGGTATCTTTTCACTGTTCAATCACATATGTTCCGTTTCATCATCTTCTTCTTTTTTACTTGGGCACAAATGTAAGTTTTAAAGATCATTACAGTATCAAATGCTTCGAAAGATGGATAGTGGGCAAAATATCCTAAATTTGTCGTGCTGCATGGAAAGTAGTGTTGCTGAGAAAGGGGGGTTTTGTTCTAGATTATTGTGGATGCAGAATACATTGTCTGCACCCACTGCAGAATTATTGTTGGTGCAACTGCGCCCACTGCACCCATGGTTCCTTCACTTATGGGCCCATGGATAGCGCTTAGGCGATACCTATCGCCTAGAGGCTGCAATGGGGCCCTTAGAGTACGGTGTCAGACCCCCAGAGGCCTGCGTTGGACCCAATGGTCAGCGAAGGGCCTCAAAGGCCGCCCCAGGTACGGCCCCAGAGGCTGATGTGGGCCTTCAGAGGCAAGTGCGTGACCCCCGAAAGTAAGGCTTGAGCCCCCCAGAGAACATAATAGCACCATCAGTGGCCGGTGTAGAGACCTCATAGGCCAGTTTGGGGCCCCCTCAGAGGCTAGTGTGGGGAATGAGGTGTCGGTATGAGGCACTTAAAGACCGTTATGGGTCCTCAGAAGCCGGCATCGATCTTTCAGAAGCCAGTTCGGGGCCCTCAGAGGCACGCACATAAGGGTCAGTTTGGGTCCCAGAGACAAAAATGGGACCATCAGAGGCCGGTGTGGGACCTTTAGAGGCTGGTTTGGGCCCTAAGGGGCCAGTTTAGGGCCCTCAGAGACCAGTACAGGGCCTGCAAAGGGTAGTTTGAGACCATCAGAGACCTAATTGGGCACTCAGAGGCTAATGTGGGTCCTTCCAGGCCAGCATGGAGCCCTCAGAGGTTAGCGTGGGGCCCTAAAAGACCGACATGGGCCGGCGTTGGACCCCAGAGGCCAGTAGAGGGCCCTCAAAGGCCAAGATGGGCCCTCAGAGGCCGATGCGGGCCCTTAGAGGCCGGCATCGGGTCTTCAGAAGCTCGTGCGGGGTCCTCAGAGGCTAAGGTGGGTCCTTACAGGCCAGCACGGGCCCTCAGAGGTCAGTGTGGGGCCCTAAAAGACCGGCATGGGCCGGCGTTGGACCGCAGAGGCCAACAGAAGGCCCTCAAAGGCCAAGATGGGCCCTCAGAAGCCGATGCTGACCCTTAGAGGCCGGCATCGGGTCTTCAGAATCCAGTGCGGGGGGCCCTCAGAGGCTAATGTGGGCCCTTACAGGCCAGCATGGGGCCCTCAAAGGTCAGAATGGGACCCTAAAAGACTGGCATTGGCCGGCGTTGGACCCCAGAGGCCAGTAGATGGCCCTCAAAGGTCAAGATGGGCCCTCAGAGGCCGATGCGGGCCCTTAGAGGCCGGCGTCGGGTCTTCAGAATTCAGTGCGGGGCCATAGAGGCTAATGTGTGTCCTTACAGGCCAGCATGGGGCCCTCAGAGGTCAGTGTGGGGGCCTAAAAGACCGGCATGGGCCGGCGTTGGACCCCAAAGGCCAGCGGAGGGCCCTCAAAGGCCAAGATGGGCCCTCAGACGCCGATGCGTGCCCTGAGCGGCCGGCATTGGGTCTTCAGAATCCAGTGCGGGGGGCCCTCAGAGGCTAATGTGGATCCTTACAGGCCATCATGGTGCCCTTAGAGGTCAGTTTGGGGCCCTAAAAGGCCGGTATGGGCCGGCATTGGATCCCAAAGACCAGCGGAGAGCCTTCAAAGGCCAAGATGGGCCCCCAGAGGCCGATGCGGGCTCTTAGAGGCCGACATCGGGTCTTCAGAATCCAGTGCGGGGCCCTCAGAGACACTTAAAGGCTGGTCTTGGGACTCGAGAGACAGAAATGAGGCCACCAGAGGCCGGTGTGAGGCTCTCAGACGCCGGTTGGGCCCCTGAGACCGGTTTAGGGGCCCTCAAAGGCCAGTGGAGGGCCCTCAGAGGCCCTTTACTGTTCTTGCGAGTTACTATGATGTGGGTCCTCAGCGGTCAATGTGGACGCTTGACCGCCACTGAAGGGCCCTCAGAGGTCAGTGTAGGACCCTCAAAGACTGGTATGGGAGCTGTTAATAGCTGGCGTGGGTTTCTCGAGCCTCGTGACAATCGAATACGGGCCAGGGCCCCATACGGCCATGGGGGCCCATCGGTTGTTTGGGGGGGGCCAAATGATATGATGCCCCCCCCTGATTTGCCTTTGGGGGGGCCATGGCCCTGATGCCCCCCCCCCTGCGACCGCCACTGAACAAGAACGAAATGGCGCGGGGGGGGGGGTGGCAACCCCCCCCCCCCATGTGCGTTCTAGGATGGGAAAATGCCATGTGCGGGCGAGGGTTAACACACGGGACGGTGTGGCTGTTTGGACGTTTGATTTGGTTCCGTTCGGACGCTGAGGCTGCATCATTTGTGCCGGTGGATGTCAGCCGCCAACCATGTGAACATTTTCTGGAGCCGAGCGTAGGAAAGATCATCATCAAAGCGTCACTCACTACCCAGTCCTTGGTGGTGGTTCAAGCGTAGCCAGCATGCAGCGTTTGATCCTTACCAGCCTTCTCTTGCCTGTTGATTTACGCTGACGTAGGCGTGGCTTGTGTAATCTAGCCTTTCAGGAATAGCTGCGGCCTGCGAGCCATCACTTTGCGGTGAGTTTCAGCAGAACAATAAAGCCACCTCAGTCAGCGCCGATTGCAGCTATTTACGTGCTTCCGCTATCCGCTACAGCGAAGGGCGTCGCGTCACTCAGAAGTCAAGAACGCGACGACCCCGTCGATAGGTAGGTATTCAATTAAACTACGTGGAGAAACGTTCAGTAAACAACGGCTGTGACGCAACAAACTGTCAATAACTGTCGCTGCACTACCAGGCTTGGTGGAAGTAAGAGATCTTGAGGAAAACAGACCGTGGAAACCGTGCCTTGACATTGACGACAGTCGGGTCTTGTTTAGTACTTCACACGGCCATTGTGTGATCCGAGTTTACTGCCGCGCCTACTGCAGCCGCAGGCATCGCGGTTCCTACAGGAAAACGGACGCAGATTAAATCGTGCACTTTGTTACTCGCCCATGCATGTGCACTCGTGTACTCGGTAAGCATACGGAGTTATCGTGGTCCCTCCGTAAACGACAGGCTCAGTGGGAAACAAACAGACCAGCCCTCGATCAGAAGTCCACAGTGCAACGGTGACCGATTACGACACCCATGTCGCACATGCAAGTGGACTCACAAGTTACAACCGTTGTCCCTCCCGCTACGGTCGTCGACTTCATGTCGACTTCCATTTTTTTTTCGAGCGCACATTTTGTTAGGGTGAGTGGGAATTTATAAATGAATAGATCGGTCATTTAGAATAGTTTATTGTAATTTCGACTTCAATCATTTTCAGTCTTTTGCATAGTTGACGTTCGCAACAACAACTTTGTTAAATGCTAAGTACCTGTTCGTAAATATCGGGTTCCTATGTATGAAAAGGCCGCTTGAAGAAGTTGGTCTGATCTTAAGAAAAATACGTAACATTTCTGAATCATATCCTCATTGTCGCGTCACAACGCAATATCTCTTCAATTTCAGCTCGAGCCAGGCGTCTAGACAATAGGCATGCCTCTGTTAGTATGCGAGCTCAAGTTGTAAGGAGCCCAGATAATAGTGCTTACGTCGATAGCGTTAGGTCTGACTGCAATGGAAGTCGACTCTCGTGGCATGGCAAGGCCCCGCCCACAGACGATGACTACGCGCAAGGTATATAAAAACACTAGGTAACACCGAAAAATTCCTTCAACATGAAGGCAACGGGTTCAGGTCTTGACAACTAGTGCTAGCATGATTTGCAAGATACTTGCTACGTAACTACTTTACAGATTTTCCTAATACTTTGCTATTACTTATGTTTCGCGATTTAATAAAGACATATTTTTAGTTATCCTCATTAAAATTCGTTCTTGCCAAGAAATTTGTAATTTCACGGTATGACATCATGCCTTCAGGAAGCCTCGGATATCTCAGTATCTAGGCAGTGAACCTACTTAATTCTGATGTTTTTAGAAATGAAATTGATTTTTGCATTCTCTTGATATGAACTTTTTGGAAAACAACAGAAAAACATTAAATTATCGCTTTTCAAAGTGCCATTTTGTGCTTGATAAGAAGTGATGGCCCTTAGACAGAGCGTTCCTATAAAAAATCTAGAGTGAGCTGGCCTCTATAAAAATTAAAATTAGCACCAGTATTTAATTGTCTGTTAGATGTTAATTTTCATTAAGCTTAAGGTTCTACGGAAAAAGGCGAAATTCGCCCCTAAAGGTGTAGTGTGAGAGTTGGGTTTTGGAGGCTGTCGCCTCGGCGCCGCGGGGAGCGTCGGCCGGCCGCCGTCTGCCCCGTCCCCTCCGGTGTGGACGGAGGGGCACATCTGGCGTCGGAGCGGTCCCGGCGGCCGTTCGTCCCAGTTTCGGGGCCATGCCGGCGCGTCGGACGGGACAGAGGGGGAGTCGAGTCGTAGCCATGTGACTGTACGGTCGTGTGTAAGGCCGATCGACGAATACAGGTTGAATTGGAGAAGACAACCTTTTACAAGCTATTTCGGCACCATGCCTGAAGAAAGTGGTGGTGCAGCGGCAGAACAGTGATCGGGGCTGCTCGTGGTGGCAGCTGACGGGGCTGCTGCAGGACTATGAGAGCGACCGCAGGAGCTGGAGCTGGTTCGAGGCTCCGGAATGGTACGGCCGCTGGGTCAGGTCGAGCAGCGGCTGCAGCGGTCAGGACGGCGACACCCTAGGGCTCGGCACGGAGACGAGAGGCGAGCTGTGGCTGCTGCATGGCAGCTGTACCGGCAGTCTACCGCGCTGGTGTCGTGTGTGCCGCTGGAGTCAGCGTGTAAGCGCAGCTGGGACCGGCGCCGTCGGAGGATGCAGCTGGACGGAGGAGCTGCGGGCACGGCGCGGCGGGCTGCAGCTGACTACAGGACCGTGCCGCCGGACTGTAAGCTGAACGCCGGAGCGGCGAGGGTGGCTAATGGAGTAATGGAGGTGCGTGCTGGCGAGTTGCGCTCGCAGCAGTGATGAAGGTGCGTGCTGGCGAGTTACGCTCGCAGCAGTGATGGAGGTACTTGCTGGCGAGTTACGCTCGCAGCGGTAATGGAGGTGCGTGCTGGCGAGTTACGCTCGCAGCAGTGAATTCGGCGTGTGGCGGCAGTTGCCGGGACTGCACTGAAAATTCCACAGGAGGGCCGTGTGGTGGCAGTCGCCGGCACTGCACTGGAAATTCCACAAGAGGGCCGTGTGGTGGCAGTCGCCGGCACTGCACTGGAATTCCACAGGAGGGCCGTGTGGTGGCAGTCGCCGGCACTGCACTGGAAATTCCACAGGAGCCGTGTGGTGGCAGTCGCCGGCACTGCACTGGAAGTTCCACAGGAGGGCCGTGTGGTGGCAGTCGCCGGCACTGCACTGGAAATTCCACAGGAGCCGTGTGCTGGCAGTCGCCGGCACTGCACTGGAAATTCCACAGGAGGGCCGTGTGGTGGCAGTCGCCGGCACTGCACTGGAAATTCCACAGGAGGGCCGTGTGGTGGCAGTCGCCGGCACTGCACTGGAAATTCCACAGGCGTGGTGGCAGTGACCGGGACTTTTTAGGATAAGTGTCTGATTGTTTGTGAGCTAGTGGTTTTTGTGTGCATTTGATTTAAGGTGACCAGTTGATTTTGTGTGTGCCGTTGATGGACAGGAGAGGGCAAGTGGTTAAATGAGAGAGCTGGTAGTTTCGTGACATCTGTGGTCCGTGACAAAATTGGTGAGCCTGGCCAAGCGCATTTCTTCATGCCGGGCGCTGAACGTAAAAAAGATTCTTAAATGATTGGGGAAGGCACGTGGACATTATGCGTGCTGATTAGGAGCGTTTAAGAGAATGTCTTAGGATTGCTTAGCTGGTTGTGTGCGTGTTTGTGTTAAAATTTCAGTGGTTGATTCTTGAGAATCAGGGGAAGGTGTAGTGTGAGAGTTGGGTTTTGGAGGCTGTCGCCTCGGCGCCGCGGGGAGCGTCGGCCGGCCGCCGTCTGCCCCGTCCCCTCCGGTGTGGACGGAGGGGCACATCTGGCGTCGGAGCGGTCCCGGCGGCCGTTCGTCCCAGTTTCGGGGCCATGCCGGCGCGTCGGACGGGACAGAGGGGGAGTCGAGTCGTAGCCATGTGACTGTACGGTCGTGTGTAAGGCCGATCGACGAATACAGGTTGAATTGGAGAAGACAACCTTTTACAAAAGGCTTCAATGTCTGAATGAAAAAAGGCACTATGGTAAAGAGGTAGTTGAAAAATGGGAGGGAGCTGGCCTCTACAAGTTGTTGATTGAGATAGATTAGCGTATTGACTTTCGATTGATATACCTCATTAAGCATATGGTTTTACGGAAAATGGCTAAATTTGTCGAAAACTATCTCGTTTTTGTTATAAACCGTATATTAGAAATGGCGACGTGCGCCACTTCCGTCGCCGACGCCATTTGGACGCCATGTTGCCCGAGATTTGAGCGCTTGTACGCCTTGGCTTCTAAATTTCAAGATGAATATTGACGGCAGAAGACGGCGTTGTGCATATGGGGGGCACGCACTGATTTCAAGTGAGTCGGAAGTGCCAAAATTGAACAAGATTGGTTCCAAGTACGTTTCGAAGTCCGTCATTCAGGCCCTGGGAATGGGTGACCCTGGCAAGCTTGCTGGACGATACCTGTGTCATAAGTGTATTTCCTATGGCAGGTCGCAGATGAAAATTGTTCAGGTGAGATTACTTGACTGATGTGTTGGCTCATAGCTGGGCTCTCCATTGATGTTTGCAGTGTGAATTTACTCTTGTGCTGTGCAGATTCACAGGAATTTGTATCGGTCTGGGAGGTTTGGTCAATCAGTCATTTTTATCATATGCTATTTTTGTCACATGTGCTAAAAATGACAACGATTCTGCTATTTTTGGGAGCGATCCAGTCTGCAAAACGTGGCAGGGTTCGACAAGATCTGGTTGGGGCAGACACATGCTGCGTTCGGATGGGCGGTTTCGTTTTTTCATCGGGGATCAGGTACTGTCTTTGCAGACGTCACCCGAGCTGCCATATCTATGTCTCACTTGCGCAACAATTGTCTTTTCATGGTTAAATATATAACAAAACATATCTAACCTGACCTTACCTTACCTACAACCTACAACCTACCAACCTACAACCTAACCTACCAACCTACAACCTACCAACCTACCTAACTGGATATGGCAGCTCGGGTGATGTCTGCTAAGAGAATCCCAGGGAATATTCCTCAGACCGTTTGGGCAGGCTTCTACGGAGAGTGCGCAAAAACTGTAGCCACTAGGTATATCTCACTCTGCATTTTGGGTCCGCGCTACTTGGAGATACTCCTTAGTCCTTTCTAGCCTAACCAGTTACCAAACCAAATCAAATCAAACAAAACCAAACCAAACCAAACCAAACCTGACCTAATCAAACTCATAAATAAAGCTGGTCCTGTAGCTCAGTCGGTAGAGCGTTGGACTCCGCGAGGTGAGAGCTCGTGTCCCGGTATGACGGTCCGGGTTCGAAGCGCGACGGGCGCTCGATGTTTATGAGCCTCCTGGCGGGTATGGTTGCGGTTGGTGGCAGGCCGTAGCCAGGCGAAGTCAGTGAGGGGACCGGCCGTGCGCGGCTATGTGCGTAGTTAAACTTCTGACTCTAAATTCTGCCATGCACCAGGAATTGCACAATCGGAGGGTAGAGGGCAGAGCCATCGCAACGAGCTCTGCTTAGCGGTGGCTCTGTCCTTGAGAATCCTTCCATTCAAAAGGTTCGGACTAAATTTATAAAAAATAAATGTGCCTCCTTATAATCCTTATGATGGTTGCCGTCCGGCCAAATGATAACTATTACGTACCTAATAATTACCTAATACCTAATGATTACTTTGCTTTCTTTCAACATCAATTAATGACTATTTTGTTTTCTTCCAGGAGAGCCAGCGCCATTCCGGATCTGAAAATGCTCTGCATGTCAGCATTGTCTGGTGAGGATTACCAGCAACTGATAAGCACTTGGTAGTGCTGCCAATGTTTGCCATTGATAGTGTTTATATCATAGAGCTTTGCCTTTCACTGTCAATTGTTGATTTCTTTATTTGGGACACATTTCTATGCTTTGCCATCTGATCTTTTTGGCCCCCCTTTCAGACATACTATGCTACCCAGTAGGTACCCTTATGGAATGGTTATGTATCTTACCCAGTCACTAGTCAGTAAGGTCCTTTCCACATATCTGGAAGTAATCTAAATCCTTTCACTTCTGCACATGCAGGGGTCACCCTGTTGCTCACTTGTTTTACAGCCCTATCCTGATTTGCCATCTTTTTGGCCACCTTTCAGACATACTATGCTACCCAGTACCCTAATGAAAGTGTGGTCAAAAATATTGCAAATCAGGATAGGGCTGTAAACAAACGAGCGACAGGCTGACCCCTGCAGAGTCCTTGTTGGAAGCTGGAACTAACTGAACTCAATTAGTACAAGACATGGAAGACATCAAATAAATAACAAATGAGTATGAAATGTATTTCATTATCCATTGATATTTATTTAGACAACTTAATAAATGACGTTGAATGAAAGAATTATGACATTTCATACTCACTCGTTATTTATTTCGAGACCTTCACCTTTGACATCTTTGTTAAAGGGACCCTCCCACCTTAACATTAGATTTGAGTTGAGATAGCCAAAATGGGGTCCCTGGCTCACAATTACTGGTTTGAGCACTCACAACATCGAGAAATGCCTCAAATCGAAAATATCTAATTTCAAAGTTGCAGCACTTTGGATTCAGAGGGGCTAATGCATTTGATACCCCTCTGAATGTGTGACGTCAGCGCGCAGATCTAACAATTTTTAAATGTTTTGACTAAAACGTTTGATAGCATGCGGTGGTATATGCTGCTTTGCGCGCAGCAAGTGCCGCACTTTCAGCTGCCAAACTATTGCTTCCAAATAAAGTCGCTAGGAACAGCGGAGATCCCAAAAAGTAAACAAAAGTAAAAGTCTAATATCTTGAAAACCGGTGAATATTTTTCAGTGAAATTTGGTAGATATTCTTTTTCGCTTTTTCTGAACCGAGCGACATCACTGTCATGCCAATTCATTAACTTTTTTGAAGGTGGGAGGGTAATTTTGTGTACATTTGCAAATATGTTTTAATCCATTTTCCTCCTTTCACAGGAGATTGCAATATCCTAATCAATCACTACCCTCTAATGACCAACGGGTATATGCTCAGCACATCATCATATCACCGTTCCACACACCATCACATTACAAACATCATCACGCACCAATTAGTATGCGTTTCTGCTCTGAAATGGGTACATTTCAATGCTGTTCACAACCATTAAATCACATGTTCAATCCACTCCTGTTCGTCTCCTCAGTCACCCGGAGACCTTGACCTACTCCTGGTCCTCTACGCCCGCCAGCGCCGCTTCGTCTGCGGTGCCGACCAGCGCCGCTTCGTCTGCGGCCCCCGCCAGCGCCACTTCGTCTGCGGCCCCCGCCAGCGCCGCTTCGTCTGCGGTGCCGACCAGCGCCGCTTCGTCTGCGGCCCCCGCCAGCGCCGCTTCGTCTGCGGTCCCCGCCAGCGCCGCTTCGTCTGCGGTGCCGACCAGCGCCGCTTCGTCTGCGGTGCCGCTGTGCTGGCTGTGGCGGGAGCCGGCGGTGGCGTGCCGCAAGACTTTAGCGTGGCCCTGCTTTGTGTGCTGCGCCGCTGTGCTGGCTGTGGTTGGAGCCGGCGGCGGCGTGCCGCAAGACTTTAGCGTGGCCTCGCTTTGTGTGCTGCGCCGCTGCGCTGGCTGTGGCGGGAGCCGGCGGCGGCGTGCCGCAAGACTTTAGCGTGGCCTCGCTTTGTGTGCTGCGCCCCTGCGCTGGCTGTGGCGGGAGCCGGCGGCGGCGTGCCGCAAGACTTTAGCGTGGCCTCGCTTTGTGTGCTGCGCCCCTGCGCTGGCTGTGGCGGGAGCCGGCGGCGGCGTGCCGCAAGACTTTTATGGTATTGGTGATCAATGATCATTCACATTCGTGATCGTGGTAACCTCGGTTATTTGCCGTTTGTGAGACTGTTTGGCGCGGTGAGAACTGATATTTGCAGAGCTGAGTTCGGACCGAGCATGTTGGTTCTGCGCTGTTGGTTACTACTCTGTGCTCGTGGTAAATTCACATTATCATTTATACAATTAATGACAGCTCAAGTTTCGCCTCAGTTTTGCGTGTGAGTGGTGAAGCTTGTTTCCGTTTTAAAGTCGTTAATGTGTGTTTTGTGCGCATATTTTTAACCCGGACTTCTTGAAGCATTGAGATGAATATACGAATCGCTGGGAGGGATGCAGATTTTTGGCTCCTCATCAAACTTCCGAATGGATGGTCGAGACAGATTTTTTTGGTGCATTCTCCATCAGTAGGTCAACAAGTCACGTCGATGTCAGGTTAAGTCTGAGACAAGTCACTGCATTGGGTTTAGAGACCAGCTAACGTCATTCAATATTGGAGCGTCCGAGTTCTTAAATGTATGTGGAAACCACTGAACTCTAATGGTGGAAACCGATTTCGCTGCGTGTGGTGGGAGGGTGCTAGCAGCGGCCGTGAAACGTCGCTCACGACGACGTACAGTACGCCGGGATGTCATATAATTAAAACTTTCAGAAAGCGCGTTCTCTCGGCCTTCATTTACACTGGAGATAATAGGTGGACAACCAGCACCATTTCAGAGTTATTTTATTTACAGAAGCGGTTTTGCATCAAAGTCCCTGCCGTAAGTGTTGTGTCTATGCCTGCCGCTGGATATTCGGCATCAGGGATATATAGTTGCGGATGTAAAATAAGAAGCGATGCCAAAATTAGATCAACCAGGAAAGCGACTCTGCCTAATTCAATTCTATCCATTTTCTCACAAATACGCCTATGCTTTACTACGCGGATAATATGCTATTTCTATTTACTGGTAAAGACTCAATTTATAATTTAAGCCTTTTGATAGCTACTTGATTATACATTGAATAACACATTATAATGATTATATTTTGACACAATGTAATAATATAAAGTGTCATTTTATAATAATAGAATTTGAAACATTGGTTAATTTTTAATGTGAACGATATGTACCGTACGCAACTGTTCAAAAGCAGCACACGCATCAATCAGCTGACGCCACATTCCCGGTGGCGCTGCTCACGGTGCACGCGTGACTACGCGGGACTGCGGGCGGGTCTGTTCTCCGGCTCGACTACCGACTCATCACAGACTCCTTTGATATGCGCTTCAGTGACGAGGCTAGCTTGGCTTCAGGTCACCTTACTGACCTGTCTGTGACGCGCTCGCGCTAGCTGCGCAGTGCGCTGTGTTAGGAGGCTGTCGGAAAACCCCGTCCCGAACAGAAGCATCACATATCGAAACGCTCCTGCTCCATGGCGTAATGCTAATCTGCGACGATTTCAGCCAATATGTTTGTTATTTGATATGCTGATAGACGGTTCCATAAATTGTGCAGCTGCAGGTCTAGCGCCTATCAGAGCTTAAATTAAACAGTGTTCACTGTCCATCGTTAAGTCAGATTCAGAAGTGAACGTTTTGGCGAGCTAACTGCAAAGGTCTGCTCAAACTGCAGGAATTTTGAAGGTCAACAGTGACCCGGCAACACAGTGATATCCGACACCGACTTAAGCATTACCAAAGACTGGCGTAACACCGGTTTCGTCCAGAGACTGGCTGTCATGCTGGTCCCAAAAATTTACATCACGGTGCACTTACTGCATCATTCCTCAGTGAATGTCCTAAATTTACATAATAGGTATATGGAGGATACTTAGTCTTTTTCATTACCATGCTGCAAGACAAACCAACAGTCGTCAGTTATTGCATCGATACAGCTCTACGCTATAGTAACTCGTAACCGGTTATTGATTTCTTTCTTTGCGCTCTCTGAGAGACACGTGTACTTAACACGGTAGCAGAAGCAGGGAGCCGTGTGCTGTCAGTTGTCCGCGACGGTGTCCTCGTGTTGGGTCTCCTAACGAGTGACTCACCTCGTGCTCAGGTAGATCTCGAAGCAGATGACACTGAGCCAGTAGAACGCCGACAGCAGGAAGAAGTACAAGATAACAGCTGTCGAAAGAACAGGTTGTAAGCTGATTGTGTGGTTAAGAGGAGGTTCGAACCGAAGTACATTTTGGTTTATACGCAGTCATTTAGGCATTAAACGAGCTGCCAGACACTTTTTAAAGACTACCTGATATTAGGCAATTGAATTTAAAGTAAGGTCATCAATTAAAAGAAAATAGCGTACGCATAGTGATTTATAATTATTTTAATCACACGCCCCGCACTCACCAAGGACCTTGCAGGCCACTCTGTACTTTGTGAGCTGGGTGACGGCCGTCTGGACGATCATCAGCACCAGGTAGGCGAAGAACAGCGAGCTGATGTAGGCCAGCAGGATCATGCCCAGCACGCTCTGCGATAGCTTGCGCTTCTTGTTGAGCCCCGTCTGGGTGGGATCGGGCACGGTCAGGTAGACGATGAACGTCACCAGCAGGAAGAAGTCGGTGATGCCCATCAGGATCGGGTAGAAGATGTAGTTGACGTTGGTGTCGTCCGGCTTCGTCTCTGGGAAGCAGTAGAAGGCGTGCACGGGCTGCTCGCTGCCCACCTTGCGGTCCAGACAGTAGGTGGAGGCCGTCGCCTTGTAGATGGCCTGGTTGTGACACGCGTACGGGTCGAACTCGATCAGCTGGAACGAGCCGTCCTCGCGCACCGAGAAGTTGCCCGTGGTCACCTCGAACAGGCCCCCCTCACACGGCGGCATGTGGATCAGGAGGGGCGCCGCGCGCATGCCGACCGCCACCTGCTCCAGGCTGTCCACCTCCAGCGTCCGGCCGCTGGGGACGCAGTTCATCTCGTCGGCGGCCTCCGCGTGCACCACCCGCTCCACCTCCATCCCGGGCGGACAGCACTTGCGCACGCTGGTGGCGTCCAGCGCGGCGCGCTGCTCGGCGCTGGGGCAGAGCATCGCAGTCGCTCCGGCCGGCTCCGGCACCGGAGCGTCCTCCGGGCCAGTCGGCAGGCCCTCGTTCAGACAAAAGTCGCCCAGTGGGATGGTCAGGTTGGCCTCCGGCAGCGGCAGTGTTCCCAGACTGTCGATGGCGAACGGCTCGGCGCCCATGCGCAGGAACACCATGTCGGTGCCATTGCAGAGCGGCGTGGTGATCTCGTAGCGCACCGCGTCGGCGCCGACCGCGGCCTCCTCGAGGGGAGGCGCCGGCTCGGAGGTCATCTGCAGGTCAAACCGGCAGCCGCGGTACAGGTCGAGCGGGATGAAGCGGGCGCAGCAGCGCGGCACCACCGGACGGTCGTCGGGTAGCGCCGTGATCCCCGGCGTCTCCTCCGCCATGCCCTTGCAGACCACGCCGCCGAGCACGGGGCCCCCGGGGACGCCCGTGCCGGTGATCGTCTCGATGCAGTAGGCGTCCGGAGAGTACAGGTACTGGAACGCCGGGACGTACAGGAAGCCGTTGTCCAGCGGGTACAGTACGTCCGGGTACTCGGGATCCATGTTCATGGCGATGGTGGAGCATTCCTGCAGACGCTCGGCCCGGATGTCGTACTCGGCAGACTCCACCGGCGTCGGCGCGGTCGCGTTGAACGGGCTGTGAGCGTAGATGGTCGGCTGCCACGGTCCCTCGCGGTCGACACAGTCGCCGACGCTCAGGTCGAACTGCTGTGACTCCGGACAGCATTTTCGTATGACCGCACGGACGGGAGACGGTGGCGCGTCCACGTCTGTCGGCGAAGTAGAATTGTTGTCAAATTGTTGTGATCGACATGACGTTACGTAACAAATATCATAAGCGAACAGCGATACTTTTCGGAATGAATCGAGTTCGATGAGATATTGCAAAAAGCTGAGGGGGTTTTTAGCGCACCAAGTCGCACGTTTGGTGAGACGAACGTTAATTTTGTTGACGTCGTTAGGTCGCTCGGACCCTAAATCCAGCAGCGCAGCAGAATGACATCACTGGTGAGGTGGACTGTTTATCTAATGACGAACGTCGCAGCTCACAGTGTCATCAGTGGAGAATTCGGCAGCGGGCAAAACAGCTTCATCCACCTCATGCAGCAAACGTCATGCTCACTCCCACACTAATAGATTGTGCATGAAGCATGTGGCTAGTAAGGCATTCGTCTAATGGCGACGCAATACGCATTAAACCGGTGCGCTGCGCTGCTGATTGCCGTGAAATGCGTGACAATCGTCACAGTGACACTAATGGCGGGCCGCAATCGAAACATTCGATCAGGAGTCCAGAGATTCATTATGCAAGATGGAAGTCGCTGTCATCGGGTGTGGTTTGATGAATTGTTTTATGAATTTCATGTCATGTTTTATAGTCTGAGCATTTACCCTAACAAGCCAGTATACGTGCCATCCATGGTGTCGGGGAAAGCAACATGTCCGTTACTTTACGAGGCCTAATCACTCAAGCACGCAATTTGGTCTCTGGAGGAGCACTGGCACGCAAAGATCGGCTTGTATGTGCCGTTATCGGTACGTTTGCTAGTCGCTGGTGTGAGTGCCGGACCGCCACGTGTGGTGATGGACGGCCATCCTCTCAGATCCGGCTCCCGGTCCTACTCCTGACACGACGTAGGTAAGTCCAGCCGCGCGGCATCATGGCGCAGACGTCACTAGAGGACGTTGCATGATTGGCTGTGGATGGTGCACTGACGAAATGAAATATGAATGGCTCGTTTGACAACTGACAGTTGAACTGGTATCTGTATAATGAAATAGCCCATTAACACGTTTATATGGATTAACACTAGACGTCATACAACGTCTGACTGTGTAGAAGACAGAGTCCTGGAATTAAAAGAACAATAAATTCATTCCATGGCCGAAAGCGTTGTCATCAAGACCAGTTTCGACTTCCTCTAAATAGACTCCTTATCTACACCTTAGCGCTCGATATCCGTAATAGCTGTTAGTTTGTCCTATTCTTTAGTTGACGGTTTCGACTCGACACCTGACCTTGGCGATAGTCCACGCTTCTCATGTAGCCGCTAACGAACTACACAATGTCGGACCTGATGTTTGACATCTGTCGCGTGCCTCCCACAGCGCTACCGAGTACCGATTCTCTAAATTGGCTGACGCCTGCTTGAATCTCCTCACTACCCCCGTCACAGCAGGTCACTTCCGCGTGTCGACTGAACCGCCGCTCCGGTCGGCGGTGGTCACTGTCCGCCGAGGAAAGGTGGGGGGGGGGAAGGAAACCCGTCTCCTGCGACTGGGAGGAACCACTGACCACATGTGGAAGTAAAGGTCTCGTCACATCCTGCGGATTCGCTGCGCATGCTCCGGCGGCATCTCAGATCCGCGACAATCTGGTCGGAAGGGCGACCAGCCGGGCCGGAAAGCGGGATGTGGAATGAGCTGACCTTCATCAATTTGTTAAATCCAATGGTGTTATGTAATTTCAGGTTTCCATCCAACGAAAGGTGCATAAGCATGTAGGCATGTCTTGGACGAAATGTCGAGCTTTATTCAATATTCATATATTCCAAACGATTTTACCTTTTCTTTGGGAAAGTCCGCCGCAAGCTCTCGACCGAGACATTTATCAAACCAGTAAGTGCATGTTTTTTGGCGAATAGCATTCAAAGATATCTTCATCCTTTACATTTACACTGGACAGTCCCCAAATGGCATCGAGTTGTATGAAAAGAACCAGATAACAGGGTCCTGAGCTATTCGCCGAATAATGAACACATCACGCAAGTCACATAACATTCAGACGCCAACGCCCATACGTGATCGTTACATATCGCCCTACCTCATGCAGACGCATGGGCTTTCACAGCTTTCACCGCTTCAATAGCAACCAACGGACGGCGGCGTAATCCAGGGCTGGCCCAGGTCGCGGACTCCGGACGTCTCCCGTCACTACTGTCCAGTGCCCACGTGTGGACGTTGAACAGTGACTCAGCGACCGCTGCCCCTGGATCGCACCCTGCCCACCGGCGACCGGCCTCGGCCAGTCGAGCGAGACACCACGCTGCGCGGGCTCAAGGTCCTACCGTGTGCCGCTCGGCATGCTTCGCGAGACGCCGGGGCTTGTCGCGGATCAACGCGGCATCCCACCTTGATAGGGCGGGACAGGAACGTTCGATGACAAAATGATGCCCACCATGGTGGCCGGATCATTGAGCCCGGTTCAGGTTGACCCAACGTGACGCAAGCCTGATTCCTTTCCTCACATTGTGTGCCAACTCGCGTCGCCAACACTAAACACAATGCAGTTTACCGTCATATGCCGAGTCGAGGTCTCTTCCGAAGTTGGTAATAACGATGACTTTCCAGCAGAAAAAAAAAAACGTGATACCTACCTATGTGACTTTACAGGTGGACAGTAACGTCCTAGATGGGGACAGGGACGATTGGAATGAGAAAGCTCCTGAACACCGTCATCAACGACCTGTCAGCCGTTTGTCACCTGACACTCCGGCCACTTAACACATATGTCACCTGACACAGGCACCCATACGCACGGACACCCATCACCTGACCTGACTTCGATCACTGTTTCTTTACTGACCTGACCTGCAGGTTGAGGTCGTCGTACTGACTTGACCTGCAGATCACCGTCTCCACCAACGCGACCCACAGGTCCTCCCCCTTATTGACTCGCGCTGCAGGGCAATGCCTTCGTCTTCTTCTGACCTAGCCTCCAAGTCACCATATCCCTTCTTGGTCTGACCCATATGTCACCGTGGATGACCTGACCCACAAACCACTGCCCCAACTGACGTCTGACCTGACCCATACACCACAGCCCCTACTGACGACCTGACCCAAAGATCCCCGCCCCTTCTGGCGTGGGGGCAGATCACCGCTCCAACTGACCTGACCCACAGGTGGCCCCACTGACCTGACCCGCAGGTGGCCACCGGCGCCGGCATGCAGCGGCCGCTGGCGGTGTCGAAGAGCAGTGACTCCGGACAGGTGACTGGGGTGCCGTCGGCTCCCTCCAGGTAGCGTCGGCAGCTGCTCGGGTCAGCCGTCCGACCCGGCTGACCGCGCGCCGCGGCCAGCCCGGCCAGCAGCAGCAGCAGCCGCCGCGGCGTCATAGTCCCCGCAGCTCAACCAGCGTCCCCACCCGGCAGTCACAAACAACGGCGCACCAACTCCTCACAATGACTACGGACGGACCTCGCGACGTGGCCCACCCTCTCGGCGATTACTCGACAACTGCCGCCGCCGCGCCGCCGGTCACCGCGCGGCGGCGATCACTCGTGACGTCACGGCCAGACCCGGTGACGACACACCAGGAGTGCTGACGTCACACCAGCGCTGGAGCGGGAGTTCCGACTTCCGAGGCACTCGGCACTCGCCTGGCACCGGAACCAGTGTGAACGACGCGGAACCGCTTGTGTGACGTCGGAAGCTTGACTTGGCGATAAGTCTGTCTTGTGTTGAGGCAGGGAAGTTTTGGAAAGTCGGAACTGTCGCGCTGTTGTGGGGGGAGGGGGATGGAGAGAAGTCGGTTCCAGCGACGTAAAATATTGTTGGTGGATACGCCCGCGCCCTGATGGGGGGGCCATTTTAACCCCCCCCCCCTGTGGTTTTTCTTGAATAGCGAGAAAAGGCGCGCAGCGCCGCCAACTTTTGGGTACCTTACCGGGCATCAATTTGACACCTTCACACAAAATTTCAAGTCACAGGTCACCTCAGGTCAGGAGTTATTGAGGTCAAACTGAGGTCATGTTCGAGTAAAAATGAGCAAAAAAACATGACATCTTGAAACGCTCACCAATTCTACAGTTAACAAGCAATTTTAAAGTTCTTTATGTGGTTGTGTAGAGAAAAGACGGCGCTACAAAACTGCTATCTCGGATTTTCGAAATTTTGGGGTTTGGATCCCCAAAAATAAAAAAAATGATTTTTTTTACAAAAGCTCAAAAAATTTCCAAAAAATTTTCGAATTTCGAAAAAACGGAATATATATGATAGTCCCTGCGCTCTTCGATATACATACCAAATTTGAGATCGATACCTCTTTTTTGGCCAAGTTATAGCGAAAAAGCTGTTAAAAATTGATGACGTCAAATTTTTGAACTCAATTTTAAGCAGTTCTAGACCTCGTAGCGCAAAACGGAGACCACCATTGAACTCCCCGTGACAAGCTGCATCGAATCGATACCCATTTTATGCAAAAATATCAACTTTGAAATTTGACCTAATTTGACCTGACCTTGACCTGACCTTGACCTGACCTTGACCAAAACGTGACCTAAGCTGGCCCAAAAGTCTGCCTGACCCACATAATCGCATTTGTCATGTAAAATGGACCATAAAACATGTATCACACGACACTTTCATATTGTGACCCCCCAGTGACCTGACCTCTGTGACCTGACCTGGTATCAGTGACCTCAAATAGCAAAATATGTGTTTAAAGAACATTTCCCCATCGATAATTTTCAATGAAATGCATTTTACTCGATTGTACAACGCATTTCTTGAAATGCCTGTAAACGGTGAAAATTCGACCTTTGACCTGACCTGTGACGTCATCGGTTTGACCGAGGTCAATGAAATTGGGTCACAAGGTAGTTCCCCGTTGGGGCTATCCAACGCCGTTTACCGCTTGTCGCTATGTTGCGTGGTTCTCGAGATCTTAGGGGGGGGGCCAAAATGCCCCCCATCAGACCGCGTTGCTCGGCAGACCCCATCAGGGCGCGGGTTAAGTTAGGTGGTACGGCCGGCACAACTCTTCTTGGATGGAGCACCGAGCATGCTATACCAAAGCAATTGGGCTTCGAGCTGTCGCATGGACGCTTAGTTGCGAGTTCGGCCGTCTGAGAAGAATGCTCCGATCAGTGACGACTGCTTGGGGATCATGAGACTAATGTCAGCCGGTAACCTGAGACGTCCGCCAATTTTCCTCTGGGATTACGGGCTCAATCTGTGGAATGTACCTACTATTTGGCAGCACTGGCTGCAGCAGCAGAAAACGGCAATTGGATGCAAACTAATTTCGCATTTCATACGCATACGCATTTCAGTCTTTCGTATATTGACGGTCCCAGGAATCATTATGTAGATTCGGATACAGCCTTGACCCCACCCTACCCCAGTTGCAGTGCGCTATCTAGTATCTACTAAGCTCAGACTTAAACCAAACCCAATATTATCTGCCCAAAAGTAAAATGCGTAGACCAAAATGTTTATTTTATTGTGTTTCAACTTTTTCCATTAACCGTTGAAGTCGTCTAATCAGATCGTTTGTGCTTATGAATCATGATTTACAGCCGGTGCAACGAATGACGACTGGCGGGGAAGACGAACAACGGCAAGTATTTGCCAGGAATACATGACGTTCTTCACCACAGGAGCTTTTGGACAGGTGGCGTCCAAACGTGCACAGTGCGCTAGTCCCCCAGTAAAGAGCTTTTTGCCGCTTAGCCAAAGAGCCCCGTGCGTCTACGGCGGCTTCCACTGAAGCGGCGTCGTCCACCACTACTGAAGCGGCGTCGCCCACCACGGGAGCGGCGTCTGCCCGGCATCCGGCCGGTGCCGCGGCTGGTGCTGCCGGTCGCCAGCCGCTCGGCGATGCTGGTGACGCAGCCGTCGACCGACTCGGTGGCCCAGCAGTCGAGGAACGCGTCCACCGTGTCGGCGCCGTTGGCCTGGCACGTGCTCAGCACGGTCTGCTGGAGCGCCTTCTCCGAGTCGGTGGTGGTGGCGCTGGCGGTGATGGCCGTCTGCACGGCCGTCAGGTCCACCGTGTCGCCGCTGGCCAGGCCGGCCGCCTGCAGCGAACAGTTGGCCGCCGCCTTGGCGCCCTCCTCCAGCGTCGGACACAGGCTGTCGGAGATACTCGAGCTGGAGAAGTCGCCACTGAAGATGCTCGTGAACATGCTGATACCGATTGACGCCTTCGCCTGCATCTTGCAGGTAAAGAAGGTGGACAGGTCGACCAGAGACTGGATGCCGAGTGGGCACTTGACCAGTGTCTTGGCGTTAAGGCAGAGAGTGGTGTTCTCGTCTTGGCGCTTGCAGTCGCTCTTCTGGCTGAGTTTCAGGCAGGTGAGGACGTAGACACGCTGCTGCTCCGCGGTCAGGGTGGTGTTCATGGCGGCGATGCAGGAGTCGGCGCTGGCCTTGAGCTGGTCGGTGAAGGTGGTGTTGCTGGACAGGGACTCGATCACCGTGTCCAGAGCCGCTGCGTCCACGCCCGTGTCGCTGGTAATGTTCAGCCTGTGGACACGCGCAGCGACCCGTCAGAGTCGGTCGAGCATGGACATTGAGCATACATTGAGCATTGAGCAATGAGTAAAGAAATATATATTTAAACGTGATATTTGAATGAGAGCTAAATGAGAGCGGTCCAATCGCACCCAATATAAGCATCGGTACCTCATGTGCGCTCCTCATGGGTTTGTCCTTGTAATGCACCCAAGTTTTTAGTTCGTCTCTTTTCAACGCAGCTCTGCCCGGTGTCCATAAGGTAATTAGCATTCCGAAAATTATCCAGGATGAAGATTATTGGCATGCATGCCGTGTATAGATTGTTCCCTCCCTTTGGTTACTCATATTGAACGCTATCATTCAACATTCAGAATGCTGTATGCGCGTCTGATGTCTGATCTCAGGACTGAGCAAGCAGCCTCACTCATTGGGTGGCGATGCAGCTGAGCTTGTCGGTTTTGCCGCCGAGTCTGAAGGCGCTACTCCGCCGGCCCCACGCCGGGGAGCGGCCAAAGCGGCGACGCGGCATGCACGCGCTCACGGCGTCGGTGACGGTGGTGGGCAGCTCCGAGGTGAAGTTGGCCGGAACGCAGCTGTTCGAATCCAGGAAGCACAGCGACGTCACCGTCGGCTTACTGAACTCACGGAAGAACGCTGCCGCAGAACAGAACGGCTCAATGTCGGTTAAGAAGACGGGAGATTTGTGTATTTCATGTGACATCAGTATCCTCAGTGATCTGACTGAAAGGCTGCCAGCTGGCATCAGTTTCGGCCTGCGATTTGATTTAAGTGATTAAAGCCTATCAGAAAAAAAAATAAAAAAAATTGCAGATAAGGGCAACGGCACACCGCTAATTTTGGAAGCTTCGTCTTACGTTGGAAGTAGGTACTTACAGCCCTCATCTCACTGCTTGGACTGTATTTTTTTTCGACAAAACCGATGATAACTCGAAACTATGCTATCTGTCACTCGAAAATCGTAACACCAAGACGCGTGAGGCTTCATGTTTTAGATTGGGCTCATCATGGTATAAAATTTCAACACATTTTGCCCACAATACATGATAGTTTACATTTGCCCCAAAACAAACTTTGGTCTTTTCTTGCCAGCACTTGGTGTATAAGTTGTTTAATGATGGACCCAATCGAAAGTGTCGAGCATGGCACATCTCTGTGCTATGAATTCCGATCGACTGAAAACATAGCCCTCGAGCTATTATCGCTTTCGTCTAAAAAAGAATACCTACTGCACGCAGTAAGATGAGGGCTGTAGGTACCTATTATTCTGAAAACGCAGAAAGGAAATGGAAGCCCTGCTCGGGCCAATTTGACGCTCACTTTCCACCATTGACGGCAATAACGGACAACGGTTCCTCCCATATGGCCATGTAGATATATGTATGTAGATAACTGACTGGTCACTTCACTGGCCTAAGGAGTTTGGAGCGGTAATAGGCAGCCGGCGGCAGACACAACTAAAACCTGTCACCCTCTCGAAATTTTCCTAGAAGTTCAGTTCATTCCCGTCAAATTATTAAAACAAATAACTAAACAAGTCATAGAGCACTGACCTGTGGCCGCTCCCAGGAGGCCCAGAAGGGCCATCCAGGAGAGGAGCATCACACTGCCGACCGGGGCTGCCATTGGCGTCGCTCTGCGACAGCTCCCGCCGGCACGCCGTTTTATCGTGGTACCTCGCATTGCCGACTCATTGGCGAACTGATGCCGAGCCACACCCGTGACGCACCACTCCTGCCTCCACACCCCTCCCACCGGCCCCTGTACGAGCAGCTCAGCAGAGGGTCAGTGTGATCCAACCACGTGAATGCCATGGAATGAGGGCTATTCACTGACTGCAGTATAAAAATGCTTCTACGTCTTGATAGCCATGTTCACGACGCCCGACGGGTCATCTAGGAAGTGTACCAAACTTGACCAAATGTAGGTTACCAAATCACTTTTACCGTAAAGATTTAATTTCATGAATTTATTTCAATGTTTAAATCGAAAATAATATTTGATAATTCGATAAATGAGGTACCTACCTATACCTATCCATAGGTACCTAAGCAGCTAGTGCAACGTAAGCTGAAAACTAGGTAGGCATACATAGGTAGGTACCTATTAGCCGTTTTCACAACGGTCTATCCGGCGAGTGCACCTGATTTGACCAAATCTGAACCTTATCTCTTTTACAGCAAATATCTTCATTTTATGAATTTATTTCAGTGTTTTAATCGATGATGCTCCTGATAATACGGCAAAGCAGGCATAGGTATAAGCAATTAGTGCAACCCTACCTGATAGCTAGGGGAAAGTGGGGTAAGACGGGCACCTTTTGGGCACCTTAACCCGCGCCCCGCTGGGCTATTCAGCCATACGCGCCCTGCTGGGGGGGGGGGGGCAGATTCTGCCCCCCCCCCCCCTGTCTAACTTCGGAACCGATGGTCGTAGAAAGACGGGGAAAACGGCAATCGAAAGCTCTCAACAAGGCGGATTTTAAGAGTCCAAATTTTTTTTCCTTAAGTAGGTCAGAGGTCAGGTTAAGGTCAGGTCAAGGGTACAAAATGCAAGTTTCTACAGTATCGGCCTTGCACCGTAGTTCCCGAAGAATGGACTGAGACTGATTGCCCAAAACGTGTTCTTAGACTACCAAGATAATATTCGTTGCATACAATGTCATTCAAAGGTCAAGGTCAGGTCAGGTCACCAAAAACAAAATATAGAAAAGGGCATGTGCGATACATGTTTTATGGGTCATTTTACTCATATAATTCAATAAGCACACTCAATAAGTGATATGGACCACCTCTGGATGAATTTAGGTCGAGGTTAGTCAAGGTCAGGTCAAGTGAGGTCAAATTTTGAAGTTGGTTGTTAAGGCCTAAAAAGGTGTCTATCTGATGCAGTTTTTCACGGCGAATCGAATGGTGCTATTTTTGTTTCCGTACGAGGTCTAGAACTTCAAAAAAAAAAATCATTTTTCAAAAAATTTGTGTGTCGTGACGTCATAAAATTTTGAATAACTCCAACAATTTTGAACCGATTCTTCTAAAAATTAGTATATAGGTGCACATATACCACTTCTGACATATATTCCGGTCTTTTCGATAAACTCAAAATTTTGGATTTAAAATTATTTTCCCAAAAAGTCAGTTTTTTTAAGAAAAAAATGGGCCTAAATCCAAAAAATTCAAAAAACCGAGATAGCCATTTGATAGACAAAGTAGGAGCACGTGTAACATTTTTGTTACGTCTTGATTCCTTTAAAAATGAAGATGTTAGCGGCGTTTGAAATTTTGCCGTTTTGAGGCGAAAATGGCGAACATGACGTATTGTATTGTATTGTATTTGTATTTATTGCATACCATCAACAGGTCCGAAAACCCAATAATAGACGGAGTCAGACATATAAAAACAATAAATACGACACACATTGTTAAAACTTCACACTGTATGGCGAACAAACACAGACACACACTTCATAAACCGAGAGCGCCTTCCAAAAATGTCCGCTCCAGGAGTCACCTGGTACAGGCTATTAATCCGACGTAGTAGACGGCAAAACAATCCATCTTTGATGGTGCCTACTCTGGCGGCTGGGACATTCAGACAGGGCTGCGCGCGAGTTGCCCTGACTGGGACAGCAAGTCCGAAGCTGCCCAGGATTTCCACGGAGTCAACACGGCCCCCGAAGACGCCATGTAGGAAGGCGAGGTCGTGTTGCGCCAGGCGCTGTTTGATAGAACGGCGAAGTGGAGCAATAGCTGTGCGTAGTCAAATGAGTTTGAAGGGCGATTAGAGTTAACAGCTAGCCAGATTAAAAACTTATGCTGGACCCTGTCCAGTCGCGCCATGTGAGACACTGCGGCGCCCGACCAAATAACGCTGCCAAACTCCAAAACCGAACGAACGTGAGCGTTTAAGGCCGTAATAAGGGGAGCTGGCTCGAACCTGCGCCCTGTCCGCGCACGTGAGGTTTGGAGCGATCGCAGGTAAGTTCCCAAGGCACGATTCGCCCTCCCGACGACGTCATCGATGTGAGAAGCAAAGTTCAATTTTGAGTCCAGAATAACGCCTAAATCACGCATCTCAGATACGCGATCCAGGGTGACATTGCCAATGGAGTATGACGTCAGGACAGGCTTTTTGCGCAGAGTAAAGGTAATAAACTTGCATTTTGCTGGGTTAAGTTTTAGTTTCCAAACGGTGGACCAAGAAGATAGGATGTCTAAATCGGCCTGAAGGGTGACAGCATCGTCGGGAGAGCGAATCCGCCTCAGCAGCTTCACGTCATCAGCGTACATCAGGCATGTCGATGAGATAGAGGACGGAACATCATTGCAAAATAACACAAACAAGATCGGGCCACAGATACTGCCCTCCGGCACCCCCGACCCAACCGGCACCCAACTGGACGTCGTCCCGCTCAACACCACGCGCTGCTCTCTCCCACATAGGTAGGACTCAAACCACCTCAGGGCAGCTCCAGACAGATTGTAGGAATGATGAAGTTTGTGAAGAAGGAGAGAATGGTTGACGCTGGTGAAAGCTGAGGAGTAATCCTTGTAGATAAAATCTGTCTGGAGGCCATCGGCAATTGAGTCCCACAGCTGCTTAACGAGGCAGGCAAGGTTAGTAGTACAGGAGCGGCGCGGGAGGAAGCCGTGCTGGGCCGGAGAGATCACAGGTGAGACATGGACCATCAACTGGTCACACGTTACGCGTTCTAAAATTTTTGAGCAAATGGGCAGAAGCGATATTGGTCGATAGTTAAGCGGATCTTTTCGGCTGCCTTTTTTGTGTACCGGTGTGACGTGCGCGCGTTTCCAAGCTGAAGGAAATTCGCCCTGTTCGAATGATAGACGGCAAATTTTGGTCAGAGGATCGAAAACTCTTCAGCGCACTCTTTTAAGATGCGGGCACTAAGGCCGTTTTTTTTAGAAATTGACGTCATTAAAACGTCAATTTCTCAAAAAAAAAATCCGACGGATTTCGCTCAAATTTTCAGGGAACGTGTCAAATTGATGTATGATAAGGTACTGAAAGTTTGACGTCGCTGGCGTAACGCGTTTATAAGTTATTGGCGAAAAACTGGAGGGGGCAGATTCTGCCCCCCCCCCCCAACGGCGCGCGGGTTAACTTTGGAGCCATTTTTCGGCCGGTTAGAAACATCATAGAAACGGGAAACTGAGTGAAAACCTTTTTTTAGACATTTTACTTCCATTTGCCAGAAGATGAGACTTTGACCTGATTCAACAAATAAACTGCAGCTATTTTTGCAAAACCTTGCAAAAACCCGTCTTACCCCACCCCATGGGGTAAGACGGTCACATGGGTAGGGCAAGACGGCCAGCTTCTTTCACCGACCAGCACAGCTCGCAACAAATGCGCGAGATTAGCCGCATTTATACAGTCGCCCGTTGGTCTCAAGCAAGGCCATATATAGGTCTCATATATAGGTCTCAAGTGCTTCGGAAATGGCAGTATACGAGATTCGTGCAGAAGGCGTATGCTCGTATATAGCCCTAGTTCAGAAGCCATGTAGAACCGTTTTTTCCCATTCATTATTCGAGAATACCTAAACTGTACCGAAGGAATATTGCTAACATGTCTGTGAGTATCGAAATCGAGCATATTCTTATTTTTTCCTACAGCAACAAAAATATTTTCACCATTACAGACTCATTGGATTCATAGTTGCCCGTCTTACCCCAACCTCAATGTCAGAAGTTCAGCACGATTTTTCTCTGTGGGCAATTTGATGCAGACAAAGCA